TTCACCTCTCTGTGCCCGCTCACAGACCCCCAAAGGACGGACTAATGACCCCCAGCATGTCCCCATAACAGTGGCACCTCCATAACCTTGCACACCGTGAGTCCCCGGCAGAGCACTCCCCCACAGACTAAACCCAGGTATTCACACCCACCAGAACCTCGTGCCCCTGGTGACCCTAAAGGGGGTGGATTTTGTGGTGCTTTTATGTCCGCCCATCAGCATCCAAATTCGGCCTTCTTATTGGCACCACCACCCCCCTTCTGGGCTGGAGGTTCAAACACTTTTTTCACCCTCCTCTGGCTTACACCTCCTCCGCCAACACTTGAGCGCTCATCACAGGGTTCAGCACCAAGGAGAGTGCCTCCCCGGTGCTGATGGAAAGTGGCACTTTATCTGCCCCTGGGAACCTTCAAGGTTATATTTAATTTGTATTTAATTATAACAATTTATTTGAACAAAAACAGTACACACAGTATGCATAACAAAAACAATTTACACGGTAAACTATTTAAACAATGTTTACCCAGGATTCAGGCACCTTCCCTGGCTTGTAAAGTGCAGTTATGCGCCCTGGAGGTATTGTACTATTTACAAAATGTATACCCAGGATTCAGGCACCTTCCCTGGCTTGTAAAGTGCAGTTATGCACCCTGGAGGTATTGTACTATTTACAAAATGTATACGCCCAGACGAGAGTGCAGCAAGTGCAGCAGAAGCCAACTGTTGCTATCTTTAATCTATTGCCGCCGAAACATAATTTCAGCCAATCAGCGTCGTCAAATCTGATGGTCACAGGGCGCCTACATCAGCGCCCGGTGCAGTCTGTGAGTTGTTTGGACTCGTATCCAAGGAGACAAAACAGAAGCTGTCATACACTCTGGAAGCTATCATTAGCAGCTAATGAAAACTCCAGTTTTTTGACATAAAAATTGAATTATGGATCATCAACTATTTTTTAGAATGACAGACATATTGGATTAACCTATGGATTAACCTTCAGCTGCGTTTTTCTCGTTTTTGATCAGAATAACAGCAAAAGGTGAGCATATCTCCGTGTTTTGCTACCTAAAGCTACGTTGTGTGATGTCTGTATTTGCTTCCCCTGTCGCGAGTTCTGATCGCTCAGTGATGATACTTATATTTCTAGAATCTGTGGAATCTCAGCTTGTTAGCATAAGCTTGTTTGTGCATATCCGATAAGTATATCGATTGATTTATACCTAGAGTGCGTTAGCATTTTTTCGCTCAGGGCTCATTTAGACGCTTCTTGTGAGACTTGTGTTTTGTTTCGGTAAACATGGTTCATATCATCAGTTAGCTCTGCGTTCTTCCCGTTAAATGAGTAGGACACGAATAGTTTATTACATTTTAAGAAGCCCTGAGACACAAAAACGGGGGAAAAAAGCCCCTTAACAGGTTAAATGGGAATTAAATCATTTTAAGTAATTTTGAGTGTTCCCAAAGCCCCGGTGTTCTGCAGTTTGTGTGGGCCTACTGTACTGTTGCACAGTTTATGCTGTAGAAACTATGTCCAGGACAAGGTGTTTGACGTTTTGGAAGATTCATAGCTACACCACACTGAAGATTATGGAGGTATTGATCAGTCTTCTCATATTTTTAAGCCTCAATTTGTCCTCCCCCCCCCCCTCTAACATCACCAGAAGTCATCATTTAGGGGGTCTTTTCTCAATTTTTTTTTATTGTTTGGTCACCATTTCCACAGCCCCACCTAAAATATTTTCCACCAGCCGCCACTGCTCAGTAAGCTACATTAGACAGGTTAACATTCAGGATGTTGTTCATGTTGCCTTTGTCCTAGGAAAATCCAGAGTCCTTCCTTTAAAGCACATCACAGTGCCGCGACTGGAGTTGGCAGCTGCAACACTGTTGGTGAAGGTGGACAAAATGCTGAGGAAAGAACTACACATGGACTTAAACCCCTCAGTCTTCTGGACGGATAGCCAAACAGTACTCAAGTACATTGGTAATGACTACACTAGGTTTAAGACCTATGTTGCCAACAGAGTGTCACTGATACGTGACAATAGTGAACGGTCTCAATGGAGATATGTAAGCAACAAGGAAAATCCTGCTGATGACGCCTCGAGAGGAATGAGTGCAGTCAAATTCATTCAGCAAAAAAGGTGGATACATGCCCCAGAGTTCCTATGGAAGCCAAAGGAAAGTTGGCCTGTGGAAAAAATCATTGACCTCCGAGCCAGTGTTGCCAAAATGACCCAGAGGTCAGGAAAAAACGCTGCTGTATTCACAACAGTGGCAAGCATGAAACTCCCACAGACCATCTTATGTCATACTTCTCTGATTGGAAGAGGCTACTTAAAGCAGTGGCATGGTATCTCAAGGTGAAGAATGCTCTGATGTTGACCGTCAAAAAGCGTAAAGAGCTTTCCTCAGGTCCCATCACCACCCGCTCGAGCAGCGAGCACTGAGCTAAGCGCTTTCAGGAACACACTTGGTGGACAGCTCCTCACAGTGGAAGACCTCTCACAGGCAGAGAGGTCAGTCATCACCTATGTTCAAAAGCAATCCTTCCCAGTGGAAATGGCAGCGCTGGAAACCGCTCCATTTAGAGTGCAGAAGAGCAGTAAGATCTGTAGGCTCGATCCTATACTGGATGAAGGCATCATGAGAGTAGGTGGCCGCCTACACAGATCTGCAATGCCTGATGAGACCAAGCCTGATGCAAGAGGTCTGACCCGTACAGTGACGCTCCAGACGAAGACCTCTGGTATCGATAGGCCCATAGCTAAGCTGTGATGCCTCCTGGAGAAGGAAGAATAATAGGTCTTCCTTAAACATCAATAAGGGATGTAATGTATATAATTTATTTTTCTAAATTCATTATTTATTGGTTGTTTTACAGCTCCCTTTTGGTTAATTGAGTAATTGATTCTGAGAGAACAATTAGGGGCCGGTGTGTCGGAGCCGCATTTAAGTTTATTTTGTTTTGATTTATTTGGAACCTTTTATTAATGCATTTTTCTGTTTCAGTGAGTGGTGCGCTTTGCTCAGGTGAAGGGGGCGGGGCTAACGCTTTAAATTGGAGGTGCAGGTGTGTGACGGGAGGGCAGCAGGCAGCAGCAATACCGTCATTGACACGCAGACGCAACCTTAGGCTTATAGAAGATGGATTATTAGGATCTGCTGTTTAAGTTTACGTTACATTTTGTTTTCCTATTTAGTTTTATTTTTTGCTGGAAATAAACGTTGAAAAGCAACCGAAACGTCCAGTAGATTTTTTACTGCGAGTCTGACACTGCTTCCCAGCCCCAAGATCTACATGTGGCCAAGAACAAGAACTTTTGAGGTATCAAGTTACAGGACAAACTTTTGGGGTTTTGGCCACTACATACTTCAAGAACAACACAAGTACCTAAAGCCTTAACAAACAATGTATGACGTATAACTTGCAAAGCCCTCCTCCTGTTGAGATGTGCTTAAACTGACCCCACATTCTGCTCTCTGTTAAGGATGGAGGGGGAACGGGCCTCAAACATTATAATTTTGCAAGTCTGCCGTCCTCTAGTGGCCATACATATGAACAATAGGAAATGTTTTCTTTGGATTCCCTTCCTATGTCGACCTGCAATTATCAAGTGTGGCTGTAGCGGAGTGCATTCCAGATGTAATGGGTATGTCCTTGTGACAGTCCTGTGACCTCTCGGTATCCTCAGCCCCGTCCTGACTGTCATCAGGAACTTCATGTGTCAAAGTCATGTGTTTAAACTTTAGAGGTTCACACAGTATGTGGGAGATGAGGAAAATCTAGTGTTGCAAAATAACACTCTCATTTCCTGCTTAACCATAAATTACAAATATTGACCTTTGGAAGAATCCTGCTTATAAAACAGAACTACTAACATAATGTTCTCCTCCGTATCATAACTTATTACTAAATAGTTGATCTGAATGTTGGATTCCCCATGTTAATACTTTACTTTCACTCCCTTACTTCTGCTTCTTACATCATTTAAATAAATACAAACCTGTTTTAATCCAAAATGTTATTTTATTGTTTAGAACTGCTCTACTTAGCCTTAAACGTGTGATGTCATTAAGTATAAAGTATTGAGCTGCTCCATAGACAATTTATATGGAAACTTTAAGAGACCCTTCCTCAGGGTGCTAACATATTTATAAATGTATTGTCTATGGAGCAGTTCCTGGCATTATACTTAGTGACAGCACCATTTTGAGTTTTAGATCTTTTGGATTTCTGAGAGAGTTGTTCATGTTAAGTCATACTCTTGGATTTTTTTATCCAATAGACATCATGTATTGAAATGTAAAAAGACCCACCAGGGTAGATTAGAAATGGTCACTAGGGAAGGAGGACAGTTCAACTTTTATTCATCCAGATAAAAGTGTGGGAAAGCACAGTTACTGGTGTTACACGTCAGAAAACAACATGGATGTCAGTTTTTTTTATAGTGGGGAATAAAAGGCATGCAGCTGGTCATCTTTTTCACTATCGTAGCTTTAACCTCTTAAATTAAGTTTGGAATATCCCACACTATCTGGATGAAACAGGATTTTTACAGCTAAAAAACTTGAGGCTGGTTTCGTTTCCGTAGACATTCTCACATGGTTTTCATTCGGTGAGTCAGACTGAGATTAGACAACAGGAAACTACACAGGAAAAAACACGTACATACAGATGTTATCATGGCAGAGAGAGTTTAGTTATTATTCATCGACAAACAAAGTAACATTATTTTCTGTTAATCTGTCAAAAATAAGCCTTGGTCCCTAGTTAGAGTGTTTAGTACTACTAACTTTATGTACGTGTTTTTGTTGTTGTTTGTTTGGCCAACAAAAAAACATTTGTTCTTACAGGCGTCATTCACCATCTATTTTTGCTGAATTCTGTGTTCATATTTGTTATTGCCATTATGTTCATTATTTGAACAACGCTATACAAACACTGTATATTATACTAGTTATTCCTTTAAGACCCACCCATCCACAAAGAATGAAAGGGAGTGAAAGAAGGGAGGGTTTATCATGAATCTGTCGAGCTCCAGACCGTCGACTGGATCCCAGTAACTGTAAGACTTCCTCGATAATTGTTTTTAGAACGCTCTCGCTTTTAATGCGTTTCTTCCTGCCTCACTCAGTGCCAAACAGCTCCAGTAGAGAGGCTGCGTGATTCTCCTTTATTTTGTTTGAAGGTAAGTGGTAGAAAAACCTTTTTATTTTTACAAATGCAAAGTTACATAATGATCAGCTGCTGTTGCTACTATGTTAGAGTATGTTGTTTATGAATGTGTATGTTGACCTGATTTAGCTGATGTTATTAACCCACTTGTTTACAATAGATACAAAAAAATATAAACAGTGAATTGTCAGAAGTAGACATAAAAACCTCTATCTAGCCACATCGTCAAAGCAAAACAGGGCGAGGCACTAGTGAAATGGAAAATGGGCCAAGTTACTGTAAATTATTTATTATTATAGATTCAGCATGAGTCACAGGAAGTTAAACAGGGATTTACTGGCAGTCCGGAAGTATGAGCGAGAATGACCAGCATATGGAGACCACAATATTTCATAGCATCAAGTACAGCACTTTACCAGTTTGCTTCACTTAAAAGGGTCTTAAAATGTCCATCTGGAAGCTTTTTGTTTATATAGCTGTCCGTCAGTGGCGTCGCCTGGCCTGGGCATCCGGGGCTTTAGCCCCGAATGTTTTTTCTGTAGCCCCGGACAATTCTCCCTCAATAATATAATACATTAACCGTGCTTTACGTGAACCTCATCATGACACAAGAGAGGGCGGCATCACTGTAATTTCCCGTGTTCAGTGAATGCAACAGAGGCATGACACCAGACCAATCAGAGAGTTGCATGGAAATAAACGTGTGTCATTCAAGCTCGGCTCTGTGTGTGTGTGGCAATAGCGCATGTGAGAGAGAGAGAGAGAGGGGGAGAGAGGGAGAGAGGGGGAGAGAGGGAGAGAGGGGGAGGGAGTGACCGGTGTCAGCATGGACCGTGTTGTTAGCATCTGGTTAGCTAGCTGCACTAACGGACATAAGGAGCTGTTTGTTCCACAACAAGCTGGAGGAGAGTCCTCTCCTCTCAGACTGAGAGACTCAGGTGAGCTAAAGGACTCTCTGAGTGTTTAGATAGTTAACTTTAGTCTAAGTTATCTCAGTGGGTCTCAAACGGTTTGGTCACAAATTATTCAAAAGATTATTTCCGCGGCACACCTTCATATGATCATTATAGTTATTAAAAAAAAAGAGAATAAAGGAAAAACAGTTATGAAATACTATATGGCAGTAAAACAAGAATAGAGTTTAAAAGGGGAGTGATTAGTAAAATATCCATAAAGAAAAAGTACATCTGTTTACAGTTCTGCTTCATATGGGTGTTGAGAGAGGTATCCATAGATCTCTTCATTTTGCTCACAAAGTGCACCAGATTGATGCATTTAACTTCAATATTTAAAAAAAAAAATCTTCCCGGGGGAGCATCCCTCCGGACCCCCCACGAGGAGGTGAGCCCCCCACTCATAAAAAATACCACTTTACCCCTGCCTATATGCCGTGAGCTGATTATCGAGCCTTCATTGTAACAGTCGCGGGTGTGCGTGCGTGTGGGGAGTGTTGCAGTAAAAAATGCCACTGTAGTGCCGCCGCCACTGTGGGCTAAGCCCCGAATGTTTTCAGGTCCAGGCGACGCCCCTGCTGTCCGTTATGTCACTTTCTATCGCAGAATGAGTTAACACAATGGTGGTAGAGTCGATGACCCATATATCTAAACTCTATCTTTCCTAAAAAATGTGTCAACTAAACAGGATAGCGGTAATTTGGGGAATTTTTTGACACCGGATCAGTTCCACATTTTGCAGAGAGTAACAGTCTGGAGTAGCCACAGGGATCTGATGAGTTTCAGACTAAAGGCTGCAAACCTCTTTTCAGGGTTTAAACCAACTGGTTTCCGGGTCCGTCTGCGCCGCGTTGCGGTTTTGGTCCGGCCTCCTCCGGCGTCATACCCTACCAGGCGCGTTTCAGAAGCATTTCAGAAGCGGAGCGTCTTGCCTGCCGGCTCGCAGTTTTTGTTGATTTGGGCATATTTCCTGGACAGGCTACTTTGTACAGACAAAGTTAATAATAACTGTAATATTCCAGTTATAAACGACATGAATCAAAGATGTGTTGCTGTATTTTAGTGGTAAAAAAATGCATTCATCATCATAATTATTCTATATATATATAATTTACACAGTGCCTGTAAACCGGAGGAGAACGCTGGCATTTCTCCTCCTACTTGAAAGACTACGGAGGGATAGGGTCTGCAAAATTAGTTTGTGTGTGTGTATATATCTATATATATATGCTATATATGCTCTGAAAGTTCCACTTCCTGCCTGCCCGACCTTACGTTACGGCTGCGCCGCGACAAAAATAGGATTCGATCCTAATTTTAGAGGAGCCCTGCGCCGAGCCGCTTCTGGGACGCTTCTGAGCCGTAACGCGCCGCGTGTGGTGGAATAGCACCCATTGACTAGAGTGGCCGCGATCGCCGTGAGCACCGCGGCGCAGCCGTAACGCGCCCGTAACGCGCCGCAGACGGACCCGGTGGAATCTAGGCTGTTCTCATGCTCATGGCTTGAACAGCATGAAATCACATCCTGGCTGCTCAGAGTCATGGAAAAAGGCCAATTATTGCCTAACTTCTTATTACAACTGTTTGGTTTTTCGGCCCCAATAATCTGAAACCTTAAAGGGGACCTATCATGCAAAATGCACTTTTGTACGTCTTTTATACATGAATATGTGTCCCCGGTGTTCCAGGGAACTCACCAAGTGTCAGAAAACACAACCCTTTCTATTTTCCTCCATACCCAAATCTCTAAAAAAGGGGCTGCAACGGATCTGATAAAAACTGATCCAGATTTGAACACTGTCCTGACGTCAGGACAGTGGCGCTACGACTATTGGGCCAACTCCACCAATCAGGAGGAGACAGCCACGGCCATTGCCGTTCGAAAGCGCTGGAGACGCTATAGTACATATGCCAGGCCAGTAGATGGTGCTGTTCTCACATAATCAGCCCTTGCAAAAACAGAGCTAGAAATGGTCAAATTGAGCAAAATGAGGCATGGCTAAAATATATGATCTGTTTGGTATTTTGAAAAAAAAAAGTATAAATATGCCTTATATAGGTATGGTCCTACACTATATTATTCAAATATAGCATGATAGGTCCACTTTAAGAATTAAAGAACATTTTTTAGTATTAGCAAATCAACCAGGACTAAAATCTTAAGGAAGGTCTTTTTGAGAACCTGGACAAGTATATCGCAACATTATCAAAAACGACTTTAATGGCCTGCTTCTCTCACTACAAGCACATGTTTCGTCTGGTATATTGCCTCTTTTTACTGTTTTATTTTGCCTGTCAAAGACCAGTAACAAGCCTGCTGCTACATGTCTCCAAAGTCACGCTCAGTTTTTTCCCTAGTGAGGAAAGTGCATTTGTTCAAGTAGTGTATTTTCCTAGCACTTGTTATGTACTTGAGTTTTTGCATTTTTTCAGTCACTTTGACGCCCTTCAACAAAAACTTCAGAGGCATACCACATTAAGTGAATGGTTATTTTACAGATTAAATACACAACATACCTAATAACACACGATGCACAGTAATATATAAAACTAATAATAATAATGAATAAAATAAACAATACGATTATATCTTTACCAAATACAACAGTCAAAGTACTGCTTACTCATACTACTTAATACTTGGAGTATATGATAACATATATCATGTGTATGTAATAATGTCTTTACAATGTTACTTTAACTTCAAGCCATTACCGATGTTTTTATGATAATGTATAAATGACAATGTGAAGATAGTCATTGTGGGTGTTCACGGTTGTGTGATTTTGTAAAGAGGATGTGTAACCTGTGGTCAGTGCTATTCTTCTGCAAAGCTAAGTTAGTATGCGGAAGTGAAGCTGTGTTATAATTTAATTCCTCCTGCTGAAAGTGTATCAGTTTAATCAATACATCTGAGTTGAGCTTAATAAACCCAAGTGCTACTGTTTTGCTAGCTTCCTCTTTGCTTACATCTACATAACAATCCCCTTTTTCCTCTGGCTGTAATCCTAACCAAACCTAAAAAAAACGAAGGAAATTAAATTTTGGCTTCTCAAAGGGGTTACGTGATGCAATAAAGGTTAACTGCTTCTGGAGTAAGCTAGTGATTGGGAGCAAAGTGCTACTGGAGGAGGTATTCGGTGGAAGTTGTTGAGGAATTTGATTAGAGGTATACTTAACCTCGCGATCAGTCAAGTGAAGGGGAGGGCGTGAAAAACGGTTATGAAGCCTCAGTATCAACTGGTTCCATATCTTCAATAGTCAGATTACTCAAATCAGCTTAAAGGGCCTTGAAATTAAGTCTGGGCTTCTTGATAAGGTTTGGTAGTTGAAAAATATGGAGTATGTTCTCGTTGGAGAAGCAGAGGCAGAATTACAGTTTAGGATTCCTTAATCTGTATTTCTGTATCTGTATTGACACTGTCCTTTTTAAAGATTGTAACCTTTTTGTTAACATTATATGTAAACTATGCGTGACATAAGTTGGAGGATGTGCTTCAAGACCTATGAAACAGACATTCAGTAAACTATTTAATTTCCCTTTTCCTTTAACCTGTTATAATATTTATAAAAATAAAAATAATAAAATGACAATTTCTAGATACAGTACAACAGTAATCTTAGTGGTACAATGTTAAACCATGCATATCGAAGCATACCCTTCACCAGCTTTTCATCACACATGTAGCTACCACTATGTAATGAAAAGTGTTCACATACTGTTTGTGCTGTACTGTGTTTCGTGGCAGCAATACAATGCATTTTACGTTTATAACTACCTTTAAGACTTAGAGCCTTTTGATTAACCAACAAAAATACCCTTTTCTCATCCGCAGTACATTTTTTGAAGATGGAAAAAGAATACCCACCACAGCAACAAGCTCCACCTTACCCTGGGCCGCCTATGAACTATGGCGGTGCAATGCCACAGCCAGGGCCGTACGCTCAGCCGGGCTACTACCCCGCAGCACCCCCACCCATGTACCAGGGAGGTTTGTGTCTGCCCTACTGCTTTCAAAGATGATAATCTTTTTAATGTCCTCCTAACCTTGCCCAGGATTATGAGACCAACAACACAATTTAAAGGGGCCCTATTATGGGTTTGGGGGGTTTCCCTTTCCCTCTAGTGCAGCTATAGGTTTTTGTGGTGGTGGTCTGCAAAGGCTAAAATACCAAACTTCCCTTTCTCTCCCCCACACCCCTCCCCCCCCCTGCCTGGAAAACGTCTCAATTTGACTCGTTAGTTCTCTTCCGAAATAAGCAATCAATCAATCAATCAATCAATCAATCAATCAATCAAAGGTTTATTTATATAGCCCAATTTCACAAATGAACATTTGTCTCGGGGGGGCTTTACAGAACATAGTGACATCACCATGTAACACTCTGGCTTCTATTGGCTAGCGCTCCTTCACATTATACGTGACAGGCTTAGGGGCGGGACATCTCTAAGCTATTGACCAATCACAACAGAGCCGGCCAGCTAACCAATCAGAGCAGACTCTGGTTTCAGACAGAGGGTGAAAAGAGGTTCTGCAGAGAAAAATAAAGCACTTTTTCAACATTAAAACATGTAATCATGTCACAGAACAGGCAACATCTGCTCTTGCTCTGACACAAGCACACTGTCAAACATTCCTCATACACTTTCAGATTGAAGGCTTGCAGTGCTGCCTCTGTGCTGTAAACACTGTATACTATAAATAAACGGTGCATTATTAAAGATCAACAGTCAGTTGAAGTTGCACTACACATGTGTGAAAGACCTTTCTTTAGGGAATACCCTTTTGTTATGATGACATGCAAGTATGACTACAATGTAGCATAAAAGAGCCCCTTTAACATCTTTCCTTTGTCAGAAAATGTGTGTATACTAATGTCTTGCTTTGTAAAGCCTTAACAGAACATTTTATATACTTAAACACCAAAAAAGCAAAACGTGATGTATACAATAATAGATCAAAATCCCCAAAATATTAATAAATTAGATTACCACTATTGCACTTGTATGCGCTTTATGCTATGAATATAATAATACAGTACTTTGGTAAAGGTGATTTAAAGAAATATCTGCTCTGATCTGACTTTCCTGATTTGATAAATGTTGTTTCATCTGCCAGATGTTGCCTATGCTCCAGCCACTGCTGTTCCTGCCACAACAGGTGAGACCAAGCACAATCTGTCCTATGTGAAACACAATACACATACAGATAGTGAACATGTTTCTGTTCCAGCTTGTGGAGTTAGAACTGCCCCTGCACAGAGCCTCAGAGTCAGTGGGTGAAGTCCTCAGTTTCCTACCAAAGTTATCCGAAGAATAGTTCATTTGTTTCGGATGTGCATAACAAAAAGCTATTGTCCACTGTCTCTTTTTGTGGCTTGCAGTCACATTTTGAGTATTTCTTATTGCAACAGATGTTAGCTATTCCAGTTAAAGAACTTCTTTAGTTTAGCTCCAAATATAAATACATATAACAACATAATAAGGTGACAGTGGGCTTGTTTAATGAAGGATGGGTCAGATTAACACACATTTAGATATTTTTCATGTTACTGTCTCTTAGTTTCATTCTACACCATGAGTAAAATATGAGCTTTCCATTACTCTAAATATCTATAATGTATTACTATAAATACCCTCAATGGTTGGGTGGCTCACTGACAGCAACTCCTTACCAAAATACAGATGGTGTTCTATTAGCAGACTCTGCTGGTCATGTTGATTCAGTGCATTCAGTAAATTGTATTCTCGAATCTTTGAATGAATGCCCAAAAATGGAAATTCTACAGAAACAAAAGATACATCCGCCTAGCTGGCTGGAACACGGATTACGAAATGATGTGTTAAAAAAATGAAATAGGTAACTCTTAAAAAATATTCAGTTTATTGCTTCTGGTTTTCAATGATCAAATATTGCTGTGAGAAATGGGGCATTGTACTCATTTTAAGCAATTTGTGCATATGTCATCCTCAGTAACTCACGTGATTGTAGGACATGTACTACATGACGTCCCAGGACAAACTGTCTGTCCCCACTGCCAGCAGTCAGTGATCACCAGGACAGAGCGCACAGCAGGCCTAATGACCTGGGCTATCTGTGCTGGCCTCGGCCTCTTTGGGTAAAAACAACAATATTTTCTTGTAGTGTCTGTTTTATGGGGGGAAAATGTTTCTGAAACACACCAGAAGATCCTCCTTTAAAGGTCACCTATTATGCAAAATCCACTTTTTCGTGTCTTTTATATATAAACATGTGTCCCCTCTGTGTAAAGAGATTCTGAAATGTTCAGGAAAAAAGATTAGCTCACTTTTTGTCCTGATCCATTTATATAAAAACCTGTCTGAAAATGAGCTGATCAGATTTTGGCCACTTTACGATGTCATAACGATTTTTGGTTTGTGTAACCATTAGCCAATCACCAACCAAGGTAATCCCCCCCCACACCTTATCACCTGAATCTCCTCCTAGAGCACCACTGTGGTGACCAAATATCTCTCAGAGGGGTGTTGGGAGTGGCTCCTTATTTTCATCTAAGTAACAGACAGAGAATCAGCACTTTTGAAACAGGGCTGAAACAGAGGGGATTATGGGATGCTACAATGATCTGTTTGGTATTTCGAGCCAAACACTTCAGAGACATGTTTTGTATATATCTGAGACCTATAATATATTGATGAAAAACAGTATAATAGGGGACCTTTAAGAACTGTTGTTAATTGTAGAGTTACTGTCCAATTGACGTTGTTTCCTCCTCCAGGTGTTTTCTTTGCTGTTGTATACCATTCTGCGTTGATTCCTGTCAAGATGTGGAGCACCGTTGTCCTTCCTGCCAAAGAGTCATCTACGTTTACAAGCGAATGTGAAACCAACTGTGATTAAGGAAGAAGACCTACATTCTTATCTGCATCTTTACTTGCTCTTTGATTATTTTTACACTGATCAAAATTATACCGTAAAATACATTTATCCTATTGCTGACATTGTCATAGTCATTTTGCTACTTTTCACATTTCAATGCTAATGACATAAGCCTCACACTGCAGGGAGTCATATTAAGCAGTGAGTGGTGAACTTGTAATTCAATAAAAAACTGTTGCATGATGCCATTATTATATTATTTCATAATACAAACACAAACAATTAAGTTGATGAAAGATATACAAAATAACTGTGTCTTCTGTAGTTATGAGTCTCTGTAAAACCAAGACAACAAGATTAACCACTGATAAGAGAAAACAGATGTTGTAATTTTTATTAGCAGTTTTAATATTTTATTCACCAATAGTTCTTACACATGTGGTCGACACGGATATACTCACAAAAGAAACAGTAAAGATAACAAAACATAAAAGGGTACACATTTGTGAGTGTAGAGAGGGTAGAATCTGTTTGGATAATTGTCCTGCAGTCTTTACAGGATGGTTTGTTGAAATACATGTAATTCTTATTCTATTGTTGTTCTATTTTGGCATTGCCTCCGAGAAATCATGTTTTGTTAAATTCTTCAAGGTAATTTTTTTGGAAGGCTGTTGTTCCTTTGACATGTGTTTTGCTAAGAGGCTCCTAGCCATTGTGGTTTTCTGATCTATCCAACTAATCACTCCAAATATGAATAGCCGAGTATTGATTTCTAATCTGCTGTTCCTAGACCTGCTCTTATTAGAGAAGCACTGAGCGGTAAAACACCACAGCAACATGGAGGTCTCTCAGCTGGTGCATCTTTCTCCAGGGGGGGCTGTACCAAAATGTAAGCATAGTATACACAAAGTAAAAACATATGTCATATTACAACGCAGGGCTAGCTCAAAGGCACCACTGAACTTGACACAGTCTATTGTTTTAGAAAGGATGTGCCTGTTTTTGTCAACCTCCGTATGATGCTTACTGATCCCTATCCTGTAGCCTTCATTGAGTTGGACAGTTGTGTTTACTTTCCTTAACATGCTAGTCGCATAGTAATTTCCATGTGGACTCTAGTTTGTTCATGCTTTTTCGTTTTTATTTTAATATGTGCTTTCAGTCGCAGACACCTGTCTGGATCCATGCTGGGTCTGATCCTGACGTTTGAAAAATGAGGCAGGGGAAGCAAAATACTAATAATATTTGCCGGCCGTACTGCTTTTTACACTGATCCACATTATAATGTAAAATACACTTATCATGCTGAAATTGTCCTGGTTATTTTTGCTTTTTCACATTTGAATGCTAATGACATATGCCTCACACTTTGGGGATTCATAATATGCAGTGAGTGGTGAATTAGTTGAATAAAAAGCTGTTATATGAAAATATTTTATATTATATTTGTATACACAAACAATCCTTTTGATGAAAGAAATACAAATAACTGTCTCTGTATATCGTGAATCGCTGTAAAACCAAGACTACCATATTTAGTAATGGTAAACATTTTTAAAAGTACAGTTGCTTTTCTGTTTACTGCTTTAAGAAAGAAAAACAATCTAAACAAAGTATTGAAGTTAAATGCATCAATCTGGTGCACTTTGAGAGCAAAATGAAGAGATATATGGATACCTCTCAACATCCATATGAAACAGAACTGTAAATGTGGAGGAAACTTCTGTGTAGTAATGCATGGAGTCACCGACTCAGGAAGGAGACACGGTGAGAGTTGGAGCTTTGATGTCAAACACTGATGGGTTTATTCAGAGTATTCGGCCGGAGGATTCACATCACAAATCAAAGAGTCAGAGGTTCTGACCACACGGTAGAGTTGCCACGTCAATTCTGAAGAACCTCTCTCTATGCTAGACCTTTTAACTGGTTCACAGAGAATCAACATCTCTGAAGGAGTAGACTAAACACTGAATCATCTGCGTCCGACGCTCATGGCCTCAAGGATTTCACATCCTAGAGCCCACAAACACCGATAAAGAAGTGCCTCAGTGTTCTCACAACAATTACCCTTCGTGCCAGTCAAGTTGACCGGTCTCACACTGGTGACAACAACACATATGGCACCAAGGCCTTTCCTTAAAGGAGATAACACATGTCAGAGTAAAAGGTTAGATATCTAGAAGAATTATTCCTTAACAGTTCCTCTCTTTTTATCATTTTTGATAACCTTAAAACATTAGTCTAATAATTCTGGTCAATACTTAAATCAATAGGCGTCTTCAGATTCGAGTGTGGTCTCACCTTACATTCAATTACATCACAAAGTAGAGTAAGATTGAAACATTCAATCACAATGATTGATACAGGCAATCATAATAGGAACAATTATCTCTCATCAGTGTTTGGAGCATCTTTTGTCAATAAGTACAATAATGAACACACATAAAACACAGATACATAATAGCAAAATATTTGTTTTAAACTAATATCTTTTATCATTTAAACCCATTAGTTAATGTCATTTATCAAACTATAAAATCAAAACCAGCAGCAGCTTAAAGATTAGCTTTAAGGCAATCACTAGTCAAAAGCATTTTAAATTTAGGATCATAAGAGATCCAGCTAAGGCATACAATTCACAGTGGTGATTTGATCAATCTGTAATCTGCAAAGTTGCAGTGTCCTCAATTTTAGGATTACTTTACGTTTACTTCATTACGCTTTAGCCAAGAGTAAGGCACTTAGTCTTAGAAAAATCAATACATTCATTTTAGTCAAGTACATTGTTCAAAATCTGAAAAGGAAAAGTTAGGCAAATATTCAAAGACTTTTGTAAAAACCTGGAAAGGAAAGATTAAACATTCTTAAAACTTGAATTAATACATTTGTAAATGCTACAACTGATCTGTACCAAATTAAGTCTATCACTTATTCTTATTAGCCATACTTACCTGATCATCTACTTATGGTACTTGGAAAGGGTTCTTCTGTGTTTATCTAATGGTGAATATAGAATATCAATTTAAAAACTGAAATTAATCCAGTACTTGAAACATCATTTTATGTCTGTCTGTGCATGGGTAATACATGAAAGAGTTGTGTTGTTAAGCCTGAGTGCTGGATGATTAAGGATATTAACATTATCTGTTATAATATTAGAAATACCTTATTATTCAATACCTTATAATCTGAGAATATTTATTTATTAATTTTGTTTAGTGTGAAAATGTAATCTGATCTGACTAAATATATTTATCACCACTATTTAACACATGTCTGGTCATTGGAAATATAAAAAAAACAATCATTAATTGTACATCTTTAAACATCTGGACATTCAATTCAAAGTTCATCTTTGTACAAGAGCTGGAAGAACATGTCCGTCAGGCTTCCTGACTCGTTCTCCTCCTCCCTTTATGACACTGAGTGTCTGGTGTGTAAAGGCATCCTGATACTGTAGATTAGCACTGAGGTGCTGATTGGCTCAAACTCTTCTTCATCAGAGTGCCATATTTCAACCCCCCAATTGCTCTGCTTTTGTGTGGCTCATTCAGTGAGCACTGTAGTTGACCCACCCAGTGAGACGGAGGCTCATCTGCCTGTATTCCTTCTGCTATCTGCTTGAGTACAACTGCGTATTCCAGGTGTCCCCTCCCGTGATGGGAGAGGTTAGGAAGACATCAAACTCCTCCAAGAAACATGGAACCTTGTATTATAGAAGCCTCTGAAACCCTCGCTCGTCCTGCAGGGTTGTCTGCTAGAGCCCACCGAGCAGAAAGATGAAGAGAAGAACCCCCTCTTATCAGAAAGGTGAAGAGAAGCATCCCATCTCGAACGACCTCGTGCTTCCTTGCACGTGGCTGGGGGTGCTCTCTGCACCCGGAGAGTGTGACCCTCTCTCTCTGACCCTTGGCCTTGAGAGCTGTCCTAGTTATTGGGTTAACACCTGATAGGGATGTTTTTCTGAGTGAAGACAACTCAAAGTAATGGATTAGCACATTATCATTTAATTACAAAAATAGGATAGGCCCCTCAGAATTATTTGGGAGCCTTCCTGACACATGCACATTATCATTTTGAAGGTTTGTGTTAGTCATTTAACATGCAAGAATCATATACTCATCAGTCCATAGCAGAGACATGTTATTGTAAGTTAAAGGTGAGCTTGTCCCTGTGGATATAACCCCTTCCCAATGATTCTAAATGTATATTAATTCACCATTTACCTTTTGATAAAATATTAGTTTATCAGAAATATTTAGTCTCTTCCATAAAACATAGGTTTGAGAAATAAATTACCCAATATAAAATCAATTACTCAATATAATTGACTCTTCCCTCCCTTTTCTTACATATGGTACATATGAAATAATAACTTAGGAGTCTATTTAAGCATGGTATAGTTTATAATCTATTAATCGAGAAGACTCAGTATCACCTGTGTGCAGCTTACAAAAAACCATTGTGATAAACATATATTATGCAGGAAATTGATACATTTGTTGAAAAACAAAGCTTATCTGATTTGGGAGGAAAAGTTTCATCCCTTTAACATCTGAGTTATTACTGAAGGCATAGCATGAATGATATTGGGTGTCTGAGGGTGTCATTACTGAGAAATGTCAAACAAAATCAAAACCTTACATTTGAAAACAGGTTTGCATTCCTCCACTGAAGGTGACGTTATCATTGGAAACAATAAAAGCTAATTGTTTTGATGTAGAATCTATATATTGAATCGTTAGAGCAGAACAGAATGGTTGTATTGTAGCCTGAGTTTTGTGCAGCCTTTAGTTTTACCAGGTGGAAACATTGTCTATATAATGTGAATACATGTAGAACTAGACATTAAGAGACCCCTGACATTAGGCCTATTTGAAACAATAGTAGGGGCTTTTACCAGCTCGCCAACTTACAGGCATCCTCTGCATAGCAGTATGAATAGCCTTAAAAACAACCCACTCTGTGGTAACGAGAGTCATGTATCTGAACCAAATGCCCTAAGTGAAGCCGTTAGTCTCATCTGACTGACCCAAGGGTTGGTGCTGGTGTGACAGGGAGGCTTCCAAGTGTTCATAGCAGATGTCATGCTTTCAGTTCATGGCTCAGTGGGGGGGAGCAGACCCATGTGAGACAGTATCAACAGCTGTAATGTTCAGTTTGAGGAGTGTCATTCTCTCTGGGAGCAGGAAATGGTGTCCATTCAGACCAGACCATTAATGTCATGTAGAGCAGCCATAGCATCTCTGTGACTGCACTCAGCCGGACTGCAGCAGGGCAGAACTTGGTGACTTTTAGTGAAGCCGTCCAAGGCCATAGACAAAATGGAACCACGTACTAACAAAAGGGACACAAGGTCATCAATGTCTCTCTTTACCTTTGGCCTAATTGTAAAACAAATTAGTGGAAGAAATGTGGAACACTAATCCATCATCATGTGACATTTAGAGTAATTTAAATAATTACTTATGGGTTGAAGTCAAATTAACATTAACATTAGAACTAAAGTCAGTCAAAATTGGACGTGCACGGATCAGAATCTAATCAATACACCATTTCCCCAGCTCTGTAATGAAAAGGATATCAAGATTAGGTACATTACAGGAGTGTTAAAACATCCAAACATGCATCTTATTCTAGTAGAGATTAGAGGACAGGTCTAATGTTGTGAACAAAATGATCAAGTCAAGTTATTTTATTTATTTTATCTTATGTACCACATTTAATTTAATAATTAATCTTAAATTACTAATAACTTTAAAGAAGGCAACAATTTACAATGTGGATAAGGTGACTACTTATCCAAAGTGTGTGGGTGTGTGTGGGTGAGTGTGGGTGTGTGAACAGCTTGTCTGCCCAAGGTTAAAACATTTGGGACAGCAGTGAGAATGTTATGAGAAACAATTTGTTGCTTAGACTGAACTCGAAAGAAGCTAGACTGGAACATTTGAAATAAATCAAAACACTTGCACCTTAATTAAATACATTTGACATTTAGCTTGAGCTGGGTTCAATACTTTCTTTATGGTATTTAAATTGGGCTCAAGAAGAACCTTTACATGGATTTGGCTTGCAACACAAAGTGATACCGATCTCTGTCTGTTATGATTTGAAAGTCTCATGATTTAAAGTGTAGGCCTGTGAAGGAGAGGCCCTTGGAAAACAACCTCTACTTCTTTGTTAACTGTATTACTTATTGTAAAGAGATTGCAACATTATACTTTTTAAATAATTGCTCAATTCATTTAACACATTTATTATGCACACTGTAATGAAAACGTCAACAAATATATTGATCCTGGCTTAACCAGCGACCTTTACTCTTTTGTTCATAAGCTCGGTTTCAGAAAACTTGTCAGTAGTTTAACAACTATTAGAATTGTATTAATGTCTATGGAGACCAATTGGTTGATACGAGAAATCATTTGAAGCAGTTTAATAAAGACTGTTAAACTATATTTAAAACTGTAATTAAACTTCAACTTATATTAATTATCTGAATCCAGTGGCCAGTTGGAACAGACAATCAACAAAGTTTCCATTTTGCAGCAACAGCGCAAAAGGTTTCAACAATAATTTGTATTATGTCTGAGTCAAGTTCTGTCTTATCAGCTTTGTTTCGGAATGTGTTCAATACATTACGTTTTTTTTTTCATTATTACCATACAATACATAGATTTAAGAATAAGTGAAACAAATAATACAACATTGACCTAAAACAGCAGACAGATTTTGCCACCCTGACCTCCTCAGGCAGGTTTTTACGACCAGCAGTGATGCCTCTGAGGGTCTCAGGGTGCAGGACGGGGCATAGGGTTTATAAAAGGTCACAAACATATCTTAACATAACAGCAATACAATTTAAAATGTATTCTTAAAATAATATAATCTTATTTTCTTCTTACACCTACAGCGCACACCCTGAACAGTGTGCTTCTTGTTTACATTTCCTCTGCACACTCAGATGCAGGACATAAAAACACTCTTTTGCTATTTATTTTCATTTTGCAGCACATTTATTCTACAAGAATTTTGCAAAACACTATATATTATTTATTTTTCTCAAGTCATTTACTTTTGGTGAGTTAACTAAAGCTTAGTTTATTTTACCCTGGCTATGGACTGATTCATTATTAGTTGTTACAAAACATGCACAAGACGGCGGTTAGTACAAGAAAAACCACACTGCAATTAGACGAACAAACATGAACTCATAATAAACACCAGTGCGTCAGCAACAGATCATCCAGCTCAATTTAGTCCGAATTCAAGAGGTTTCAGAGGGGGTAGGGAATTATCTCTCAGTGGTGTACCTTGACTCGCACTCCCACCCTTGTATACAAGTCTTAGATCGGTGCCTGGCAGCTGTCCAAGAGCAATAACTAGCTTATCCTCTTGCGACCCCACTACTACTGCTCTAGTGGTGCTATGCCCCCCCGATCTGGAGCACATAGACTTTTTTTCCCGCTACCCTTTCTATCCAAAAACTGCAGTTAACTGTAGTCCTACTCGACCAGCCTATACACAGGCTATCGTGTTCATCCCAACGATGAAACACAGTTTTGTTCTACACTTGCATGCCACTGCCCACCCGTGATCAATTAGCCTATGATTTTATGTATGCACCCCGGACCGGCACCAGCTCCTCCAGCAATGTAGGGAGCTGTGTCGCATCAGGTAATGCACGCACCTCGCACCTGCCAGCTCGTCGTAAACGGCCACAAGCCACGAGAGTGCTTTTAAACCGTCTCTTTTTTTAAATAGAGGCGGCGGTGGTGTGAGTTAAAGCTATAGACAAAAGCTGTGATTTTCTCCCTCTTAGTTCACTTCACCAGCCCATGCAGATACGGGGAGGTATTTTGCATCCCTGCGACTGCCTGTGCGGAACACATGCCCCGAGCAGCAAAACGGCTGCCTGTACGGCACACATGTCCCGAGCAGCACACACAGAGGACACACACACCCGGAGCCGCAGCTGGAGCCGTGTTTTTTTTAGAGGCGATAGGGGTAATATCTCTGGCTGCTTATGTTAACTGCTAGTATTGGCCGCTGAAACACACAGAGGAAATCAGCCAGGTCAGCGTCCCTGGATGATCCCCTGGGGTTAATAGCCCCAAATGTTCATTAACCAAAATGAAACACAGCCACTCAGCTTCACAGATAATTTTAGGATACCGTCAAACACAGATTCTGGTAAGGCAATGTCCAAATGTAGATTTGAAATCACACTTACCAGTCTCTGAAGATCTGTTGGTATCCTGCCGACAACGCCAATTTGTGGAGGAAACTTCTGTGTAGTAATGCATGGAGTCACCGACTCAGGAAGGAGACACGGTGAGAGTTGGAGCTTTGATGTCAAACACTGATGGGTTTATTCAGAGTATTCGGCCGGAGGATTCACATCACAAATCAAAGAGTCAGAGGTTCTGACCACACGGTAGAGTTGCCACGTCAATTCTGAAGAGCCTCTCTCTATGCTAGACCTTTTAACAGGTTCACAGAGAGAAATCAACATCTCTGAAGGAGTAGACTAAACACTGAATCATCTGCGTCCGACGCTCATGGCCTCAAGGATTTCACATCCTAGAGCCCACAAACACCGATAAAGAAGTGCCTCAGTGTTCTCACAACAATTACCCTTCGTGCCAGTCAAGTTGACCGGTCTCACACTGGTGACAACAACACATATGGCACCAAGGCCTTTCCTTAAAGGAGATAACACATGTCAGAGTAAAAGGTTAGATATCTAGAAGAATGATTCCTTAACAGTAAACAGATTTACTTTTTCTTTATGGATATAAAAGAAAGTAAAGCCTGACTCCTGGTTAAATGACTCCTCGTCCCTGAGTACACTCACCACCTTTCAGCAGGAAAGGAGAGAGGGAGAGAAGGCTCTGTGGGAGCTAGTGCTACAGAACTTGGAGCAGGAGGCTCGACCAGAGAAGGCTCCCCGTCAGACAACATTTCTAACACAGGCACAGCATTTCTGTATTAGCAGTCGGCTCCTTGTCCGGCGACAACCGGCGGCATCTCATGACGCATGACGCATCTACTGAAGGTGCATCTACGCTGGGCATATTTGTAGTCATGCGTCATGCCGGCGGCTGAGTACCGGCATCTTACTTACTCAGTAAGAAGTGCCGGTACCACATGGGTAAAAATCAGAAGTGCCGGTACTGCGTACCGGTGAGTACCGGCCCAATTCAAGCACTGATCCTAATTCGTTTAGCCTTTAGGCCTATAGGGTCAGTGTATGTTTTGGTCAAATTGAAATACAAGGCGTTTTTCTTTATCATGGTCAAAAAGGGATTTACTAAACTTAAAAAAACTACCGTTTTTTTTCATATTCTGCGACCAGAAGTTACCTTACAAAATAAGAGCGCAGGACCCTGGATTCTATTTCAAGTGCCGTAGATTTTTACTTACATTTTACGTTTTTTTTATTTTACACTTTATTTTACAGTTTACCTTAAAATCACAAAGAAATATCTTAAAGTCTTATAATAGTAATACACTTTTATATTACGAGTTACATATTTAATTACAGATAATATTTTACGTACATCTGCATGTATTGTCTGAAAGTGCAAAAATACTGTAAATATTATATAGTACATTTACTGTAAAAAAAAAATGAAATAAATGTTATTTGTTGTTATTGTCAAAATACTTAAAATAATGTTTTGATTTGTTAATTTATATTTAATATCTGTAATTTTACAGGATTTTGCAAGTTATTTAAAAAAACATGATAATTACTATAAAAATGTAGTTATTTCCTGTAAAATTAGGATCTTTTTTTACAGTGTACCGCACGTTAAGTCAGTAAAGTTAAACTGTCACTTATCTGTTAAAATCTTAGAACACGCCAGGTGAGCTCAAACTTCACCTGTCGGGTTCCTGAGTGATAATTGCACAGTTACTGCGCCTTTACGCGATAGCAGGATTCTCTCTTTTCTTCCAGTTTTACAGTAGTCCCTGTGAAGCTGTACGCTGCTCTTTTTTTTATCAGTTAAAGGTCCAGAGCACATCAGAGAACTCAACTTGCCTGTCTGTTGTGTGATTAATCGGATGTGGATGTTTTCATATGGATGATGGGAGCATACTTGGTGCTCATGTTTCTGTTTGTTACATGTAATTCACCCGTTTTGACATTTGCTGTTAACATAATGCTAGTTTATTGCTGAAGATTGGTGGTTAATCATTATTAGTGATTTGTGATTTCAACTCAGATGTGAATGTTTTCATAAGGATGGCAGCTTTCTTTTCAATTTTGCTATGCACTTTGATGTAATAAAATTACAGACCCGTTGGAAATGTTGATGTGATGTCATAATTGCACTTAATGATAATTTTAATGTGGATTTGGCACACTGATTTGCAATTTTTTTTAAAATGTCACTTCATATCAAAAAGGTTGCTGACACCTGGTCTAAAGTCAAATAAAGTATCTATCCATCTATCTAATGCAGATGATTTCTACCTCACCCCTCACTCTTATGATCATCTGACCATTTAGTAAAGTAAAAAAATAAGATAGTAGAGTTGCTTTTCTGTTTACTGCTTTAAGAAAGGAAAACTATCTTAACAAAGGTCCAACCACGTTGTGGATGTTTTATCTAAGCAATCGGCAACGGTGATTGAAGTTAAAGACGATAATGTTGTAAAACCGTATGAGAGAGAATATTTACGACAAGTCAGTCGGGGGCATGTGTCTGAAGACTGAGAGAGTCTTACAGTTTTACTTTCGCTCTAAGTAAATATTAACTTTAAATGTGGCACAATTTGGACAATCAATTCGTTAATGGTTAGATGGTATCAAGTGACTCTTGACCAAGTTCCATAAAATGTAGCACACTTTAAAATAACTGATAGCAGAACACCTGACAGTCAAGGGAAAGGTTTACAAACAACTGATTAACCCTGTTCGTAAAGCTTACTTCTGCAATTGCTAAGCAGACAATCTGAACAAAACACTAACTAATTTGTGCCACATCTTCTTATGCTATCATTTTTTAGCTGTTAGCAGCTATTGAATATGCAGGATTTTGCACTGTGTTTTGCAAATCAAACTTATCTGACAAGATATTAACTTTTTATATCTGTTAAATCAGATCTTTATTCTGCAGCTGGTGGGAACATTTCACATTTACTTTTAAGGTCTCTGAAGTGTCCAGTTGAAATGTAGGTTAGATAGGTACATAAATATAAACCCAAATTCACATCTTGGAACCTCTGCTGTGCTCACAAACCTGAATCCTGAGCCACCATAATGCCCAGCAGCAGCCATTTGGATGGCAGGGTGAGGCATAAAGTATAATCTAATCTAAGCAGCAATCAACTTTACTCAATGAGGTCATTGAGCATTATCTATTGATAAAAGGCCATTTCTTTTAAACCACATGGTTGCCTATAACCTGAAAAGAAAGTGAAAGCAAGCGGTTAACATATAAAACAGACTTTCTTGAAGTTGAAGGGCATTCGGGCGAGAGGCACATACGTGAAGGTAATGATTATTATTGTTTAACAACTAAGTACATTTTCTTTGCTATCTTTGAGTATGGTTATCATTTTAGTGTCGTATCAATTTTTATGTATGAATCGTTACTGTTATTGTTATTATTATTATAAACAAGTAATACACATATACATACACCCAAGACACTGTGGTCAAGTTCTATTGTCAAAGTAATGAAAAATAAACTTGAAATATATTATTTTCTTCCATTTCAGAGTCATTACTTGGAGTAAACGTCACCACTTCTTTACATAGACACTTCAGCTGAGGTAATTTATTTTAACAATTTTTTTATACCGATATAATTGTTGTTTTTAAATATAGCCTGATTATAAGGGATAGAACAGGGCACAGAAGGCATTACCGTATAGGGTCTTTTTGCAATGACTGCACTCAAAGAGAACAGCATTAACATGTTTGGGGATAAGTTAAATAATTTATTTTACCTTCAATGTTTGTAAAACGTAAGGTGCAGTAAACATGAACAGACTTATACATTTTCACTGAAATTGTATATAAACTAAATCTTTCAAGTATATATTAAAACTAGATAGACGTATTTAAAGGGTTTAATATAACACAAAACTGTCCCTATGGCAGTAGTACGCTTATCAAGTATATGCTGTAAACTCATAAGCAAGTACTGTGAGTATTTATTGAGTGGGACAATTTAGCTTTTGATCAAGTGAAAGTGAAAAATGTTTACAGTTTTTAGTTATTTTAACCGTGTACTCTTTAACTTGAACAAACTTTATTTGTTGTATATTTTCTGCAATAACAATTTAACCGACTTTAAAATATTAATAAATGATACAAAGTTTTCCTGTGCAGCACATTTGAGTCAGTATGAGAAGTTGCAAAGCAAAGGGATTTACAATATTATACATAGTTATAATAATAATTTACTATACATGATGAATGTCGTGAAATATTTGATCTCAATTGTTGTATCGATAATGTTTTTACAACAATTTCTTGTTGAAGCCATGGGAAACAAGACCCCCCCACCTTCCCCCCCACCTCCCCCCCCACCTTCTCCAAAAGGTAAGTAACTCAACATGTTTCTAAATATTGCCTAATAGATGAAATCAATCAAAATGGGACTAATGTTTTACTGCAAATGTTCACTTTACTTTTCAGTTCTGCCTCGGGAATGGAGGAACGGTCCTTGGGGGTGAGTTCATTTTTCAGTGTGTGGTGTCTCTGGTGTTTAGTGGCTTTTATTCAAATAACACTTTTTAAAAGCACAACAATGAACCTGCACAAGCCTTTGTTGAGACCCACCTTTGTTATGCAAATGTTTCTATTTGTTGTCACTTCTTAGAAAAATAATGTTTTATTTCTTGGGTCTCAGTGACACCATTATAATCAACTGATTTTCTTTTCCATTGAACAGAAAAAAAGCAGGAGACTCGGAGTTTGTGGACAAATACAAGCCTTATAAAGCTAATGTCGAGCTCAGATGTATGCTTTATGGACCTGTTGGTGCTGGCAAGTCCAGCTTCATCAACTCTGTGGACAGTGCTTTACGAGGCAAAATAGCTGGTCGAGCTGCCACAGAAGGGATCGGTGGCAAGAGCATCACCACAAGAGTAAGAATCCCTTTTCAGTGTTATCATGAATGTCTTACATTGTAACACTTGAAATGTAACAAGTCTTTTATCTAATATTTTACTCTACTTTTAAGCAGGAGACACACCTCTATGGAGGCCCTGAAAGTCATAAAAACCTTTCACAAGACACAACAACAATAATAAACATGAAGTATTTCTTCATTTGGCTCAGTGGTTAGAGCTGGTGCCCCATGCTCTGAGGCTCAGTCCCTGCTGACTCTCTATCTCCCCCTATCAACACTTTAATTCTCAAATAAAATGCTGTTTGGCCCAACAAAAATATGTTTTAAAATATTTGTTTTCGTTGTTTCACATTGTTGTGTTTTGTAAATGTACTTTGTTGAAAAAAAGATATTGATTTTGAAAAAATGTTGTTTTTCATTTTAATGTTTTTTGTTGTTGTTGCATTTTATGAAATGATGTAATGTTTTGACCTTTAAGGCAACCTAACTACCATGTCATTATAACGGGACTTTCTTGTCTTACAGTACAAAGCCTACAAAATCCAAAAAGGAGGACCAGGGACACATTACCCTTTTGTCTTCAATGACATCATGGGCCTTGAGAAGGATGCAGGAAATGGAGCTTGTGTGGAAGACATCAAACTGGCCATGAAGGGACACATGAAGGATGGTTACACGGTACAACTGAATTCTTTAAATCTTATCTCTGTTGCATGTATTTGAGTAACAAATCCCACTGCATGATAAATAGTTTGCACATGAAATATGGAAAACTAACAAGGTTCCAATAGAAACTATTGTATTTCTGATTTCTAATGTTATTTTTTGATTCCATTTAACATTGTTTTTCAGTTCAATCCTTCCTCTCCCTTGTCTGAGAATGATCAATACTACAACAGAAACCCCTCTCTAAATGACAGAGTTCATGTTCTGGTTTGCATCATCCCTGGCAGCATGTCAGGAATGCAGGATGATTCTGTGAGAAAGTTGAGGGAAGTCAGACTTGCAGCCAGGGAGATGGGTAAGGGTTCGGCTTTTACAATAATGCATACAATTTGATCTGACATAAATTACATATTTATTATATTTGTATATAATAAGACAAAATATAATAATGCAATAAAATAACTGTACCAACATTATTTTAATTGATTTTGATTCTGCTCTGTATTGGCAGGGATTCCTGAAATTGCTATTCTCACCAAAATTGATGACACCTGTCCAGAGGTTAGAGAGAATATAAGGAACGTGTATAAGAGCAAGTACCTGAAGAAAAAGGTACGTTTATATCTGACATTTAGTTTGTAGAGAGCTGTAATTAAGGTTGGAATATCATTTTGTTTTACACTGTAATATTGTAACGGCAACATTTCCTTGGATCAGCACTTCCAATTCTTAAATGTCAAATTCTTAAATGTAGATTGAGGAGGTGAGTGGCGTGCTGGGTTTCCCACCAAGCTGCATCTTTCCTGTGAAGAACTACCAAACAACGCTCGAGACAAGTGATGACACTGATACACTGATACTGAGCGCACTGAGACGGATGATTGAATCTGGAGAAGACTTTGTCAACGACCTGTAAAACTACATACTGCTGAGGCAGGTCTTGGTTTTATAACAACATGTTATAAAACCTTTTTGGTCCTGGGAACAAGAATGATAATTACATGAAGTGGGCAATGTAGCTTTTAGGTTTCATTTCCAGCCTGTAATGCACCATATCTATACTATAATAAATGATGGTATCTCTACCATAATGAGTAAATATGAAAAGGCTTTATTTTTTCTTTTTGATGTTGTTAGTTTAGTTTTTTTGACTCAAGTGGTAATTTATCCGGCCATCTCCAACTAATCGATAATCTGAATATTAGCAGGTCAAAAGACATAATTAGTTTCTAAAGTAAAGCTTTACGTTTAGACTTGTGATTACATAAGCTGTACCAGTCACTGATTAAAATATATTTTCCTATTCAATGTTGGACGAGATTTAAATTTAACATTTTACTATGGTTCAGGTAGAAACACAATACATCGCAAAAATATTGGAATTAGCTATTTGTCTTTCGTTATGAACTTTCTTTCTATTCCACACATTACTTTCAAGTAGGTAATTTCACATCTGTCCACCAGAGAGCGCAATTTGAGAGCAATTTGAGTTGTGTGTCAATGAGGATGCAGATCGAAGCTCCATAAAGGGTCAGATTACAAGGGTACGATTTGAGTCTTGGGTGCTACAAAATAATAACTTATGAAACCAAAGTATTTCACTAAACAAATGTGAAACGCTTTGTAATGCATTTTAAAGTCTGTAACTCCTTTAAAAAATCTATAAAATAAATAATATATAATCTCTTAGCCCTAACACTAACCCTATATAGTATATACAAGTGTGAATATAACATATAATTAAAACTACATTTAAGTAAATTAAAGGAGGAAGGCCTTAAACAAGAAGAGACAATCTAACATATTATAGAAAATGAGGACTGTGACATCCACCACTTGCTTTTTTGTTACAGAAAGGATTATGATGTTTTGGTAGAAAAAATATAGAAATGTGTCAATGCTCTCCTTTTACTGGACACCTAACTCTAATCCTCTAATAACTCCTAATATGAATAGCCGAGTATTGATTTCTAATACTGTGAGTATTTATTGGGTGGGACAATTTAGCTTTTGATCAAGTGAAAGTAAAAAATGTTTACAGTTTTTAGTTATTTTACCTTTGTATTTTTTTAACTTGAACAAACTTTATTTGTTGTATAGTTTCTGCAGTAACAATTGAACCGACTTTAAGATATTAATAAATGATAACAAGTTTTCCTATGCAGCACATTTGAGTCAGTATGAGACGCTGCAAAACGAAGTGATTTACAATATTATACATAATGATAATAATACTTTGCTATCCATGATGAATGTTGTGAAATATTTGATCTCAAATGTTGTATTGATAATGTTTTTACAACAATTTATTGTTGAAGCCATGGGAAACACACATCGACATCCCCCTCCCCCTCCCCCCTCCCCCTCCCCCTCCACCCCCCCCCCCCCCCCCCCCCCCCCACCTTCTCCAACAGGTAAGTAACTCAACGTTTTTCTAAATATTGCCTAATAGATCAAATCAATCAAAATGGGACTAATGTTTTACTGCAAATGTTCACTTTACTTTTCAGTTCTGCCTCAAGAATGGAGGAACGTTCCTTGGGGGTGAGTTCATTTTTCAGTGTGTGGTGTCTCTGGTGTTTAGTGGCTTTTATTCAAATAACACTTTTTAAAAGCACAACAATGAACCTACACACTCCTTTGTTGAGACCCACCTTTGTTATGCAATTTTTTCTATTTGTTGTCACTTTTCATAATCATGGTGGGTTCTTTTCTTGGTTCTCAGTGACACCATTATGCAAAATTGATAATAATTTGATCTAAACTATAGTTTAATGTTTTTCCATTCAATAGAAACAAAGTGAGAAAGTTGCAGATTGTGAAGGAATACCAGCCTTTTAAGGAGGATGTCCAGCTCAGATTTATGCTTTATGGACCTGTTGGTGCTGGCAAGTCCAGCTTCATCAACTCTGTAGAAAGTGTTTTACGAGGCAAAATAACTGATCGAGCAAAAACAGATGGGATCGGTGGCAAAAGCTTCACCACAAGTGTAAGAATCCCTTTTCAGTGTTATCATGAATGTCTTACATTGTAACACTTGAAATGTAACAACTCTGTTATCTATTATATTATTTTACTTTTAAGCAGGAGACACACTGCTATGGTGGCCATGAAAGTCAAAACATAAAAACCTTTCACAAGACACAACGACAATTAAAAAACATGAAGTATTTCTTTATTTGGCTCAGTGGTTAGAGCTGGTGCCCCATGCTCTGAGGCTCAGTGGAGGAAGATGCACGTTTGAATCTGGCTGTGGTCCTTTAACACATATCATCCTCTCTATCTCCCCCGTTGTTTCACATTGTTGTGTTTTGTAAATGTACTTTGTTAAAAAAAAATATTGATTTAAAAAATGTTGTTTTTCATTTGAATGTTTTTGTTGTTGTTGCATTTTATGAAATGATGTAATGTTTTGACCTTTAAGGCAACCTAACTACCATGTCATTATAACGGGACTTTCTTGTCTTACAGTACAAAGCCTACAAAATCCAAAAAGGAGGACCAGGGACACATTACCCTTTTGTCTTCAATGACATCATGGGCCTTGAGAAGGATGCAGGAAATGGAGCTTGTGTGGAAGACATCAAACTGGCCATGAAGGGACATGTGAAGGATGGTTACAAGGTACAACTGAATTCTTTAAACCTTATCTCTGTTGCATATATTTGAGTAACACAATCCCACTGCATGATAAATGTTTTGCACATGAAATATGGAAAGCTAACAATGTTCCAATACAAACTATTGTATTTCTGATTTCTAATGTAATTGTTTGATTCAATTTAACATTGTTTTCCAGTTCAATCCTATCTCTACCTTGACTGAGAATAACCAAGACTACAACAGAGACCCCTCTCTAAATGACAGAGTTCATGTTCTGGTTTGCATCATCCCTGGCAGCATAGCAGGATTGCAGGCTGATTCTGTGAGAAAGTTGAGGGAAGTCAGACTTGCAGCCAGGGACATGGGTAAGGGTTAGGCTTTTACAATAATACATACAATTGCAAATGATGTATTATACTTTGAAATAATATGTATTATGATATATAACATATATAATATTAAAATAACCTGTCCAACATTATTTGAACTTATTTTGATTCTGCTCTGTATTGGCAGGGATTCCTGAAATTGCTATTCTCACCAAAATTGATGAAGCCTGTCCAGAGGTCGGCAAGGATATAAGGAACGTGTATAAGAGCAAGCACTTGAAGAACAAGGTACGTTTATATCTGTAATTCAGTTTGTAGAGAGCTGTAATTAAGGTTGGAATATCATTTTGTTTTACACTGTAATATTGTTACAGCAAAATCTCCTTGGATCACCACTTTCATTTCTTAAATGTCAAATTCCTAAATGTAGATTGAGGAGGTGAGTGGCGTGCTGGGTTTCCCACCAAGCTGCATCTTTCCTGTGAAGAACTACCACTCAGAGCTCGAGACAAGTGATGACACTGATACACTGATACTGAGCGCACTGACACGGATTATTCAATCTGGAGAAGACTTTGTCAACGACCTGTAAAACGACATACTGCTGAGGCAGGTCTTTTTTTATAACACTATGTAAAAAGGTCCTGGGAACAAGAATGGTAATTACATGAAGTGGGTAATTTAGCTTTTAGGTTTCATTTGCAGCCTGTAATGCACCATATCTATACTATAATAAATGATTGTATCTTAATGAGTAAATATGAAAAGGCTTTATTTTTTCTTTATGATGTTGTTAGTATAGTTTTTTTGACTCAAGTGGTAATTTATCCGGCCATCTCCAACTAATCGATAATCTGAATATTAGCAGGTCAAAAGACATATTATTTTTCTAAAGTAAAACTTTACGTTTAGACTTGTGATTACATAAGCTGTACCTGTCACTGATTAAAATATATTTTCCTATTCAATGTTGTACGAGATTGAAATTGAACATTTTCCTATGGTTCAGGTAGAAACACAATACATCGCAAACATATTGGAATTAGCTATTTGTCTTTTGTTATGAACTTTCTTTCTGTTCCACACATTACTTTCAAGTAGGTAATTTCACATCTGTCCACCAGAGAGCGCAATTTGAGAGCAACTTGAGTTGTGTGTCAATGAGGATGCAGATCGAAGCTCCATAAAGGGTCAGATTACAAGGGTCCGATTTGAGTCTTGGGTGCTACAAAATAATAATTTATGAAACCAAAGTATTTCACTAAACAAATGTGAAACGCTTTGTAATGCATTTTAAAGTCTGTAACTCCTTTAAAAAATCTATAAAATAAATAATACATAATCTCTTAGCCCTAACACTAACCCTATATTATATACAAGTGTGAATATAACATATAATTAAAACTACATTTAAGTCAATTAAAAGAGAAAGGCCTTAAACAAGAAGAGACAATCTAACATATCATAGAAAATGAGGACTGTGATATCAACCACTTGTTTTTTTTGTTATAGAAAGGATTATGATGTTTTGATAGAAAAAATATGGAAGTGTGTCAATGCTCTCCTTTTACTGGACCCCTAACTCTAATCCTCTAATAACTCCTAATATTAACAGTCTCTGTATTGATTTCTAATCTACTGTTCATAGACCTGCTCTTATTAGTGAAACACTGAGCGGTAAAACACCACAGCAACATGGCAGTCTCTGCTCATGTCACTGCTTAGAGAGAGCGAGGGCTTCATACGTAAGACAATAGGAAGAACACTGATAAAGCATCAACCAATCGATAACACAGAGACCACAGCCTGTTCCTCTCAGAGGGGATGCAGAGTTGGATGGTGCATGGGTCGAGGACCACATGCAATCACTTGACCCTCTATCTATCTGCAGGAATACTGGTGACATGTTTTGATAAGTCATTGGGTGTGGCTGTGCTAGGCGATAGAGAGAATATATGCAACAGCAGAGTTCAGATAGGCATTGAGCTTCATAGTACTGCAGCAGGTACTGCCACTCTGCTCTCAGAGAAACAAAAATAGCAATCTGCCCGAAAATAGTCACATCAGCATCTATATAGAATTATTTTGGATCCATTGCTAATCCGAAACTGCTAAAACTTTTGAACTGTGGTAATCTGGAGGGTTTTTCTCGCTTATTTTCAACAGGGAGTGTTCATATCCATTCAATGTGTGACACACCCATCCTGCATCAGATTAAAAACATTCAAAAGAAAAGAAAAAAAAATTGAAAGGGTGTTAAAACATTTATAGCTGCAGGTCCTCACACAAAACACTACAATGTAAATAACACTGAGCAGGATTCAACAACTGACAAGTTAAGGCAACTATGTCTCATTCACAAGTTTAGGAACGTCAACTTGTAATTATGAACAACTTTTCACTGCTTTTTATTTTCCCCCAAGAAACTGTGGTCAAATGATATTGCCAAATTAGTGAAAAGGAAACTTAACAAAATAAATAAAGTGTAATATAGTCATTTGTGAATCACTAAAGATAAATCAGCTTTACCTCAGGAGGTCAGGAAACATAACATTGTACATTGATAAAGGCAATTCCTTTTAAGTCACATGTGTGCTATAACCGGGAAAGAAAGTGAAAGTGAGCAACTGTTATCGTATAAAAGAGACTTTACCTGTCAGTTGAGAGGCACTTGGGTTTGAGGCACAAAACTGAAGGTGAGGATTTATATTACTTCCCAATTCTTGTTATGCTATCATCATTTTGATTATCGTTATCCTTTTTGTGTAGTACAGTTATAGAGATAGTTACTGTATGCATGTTAACATTATTTTTATTTCAAACCTTTAATGTTTTGTCGAGCTGCACTTAGAAAAAAGGGAAATATATATAAACCTATATTTTTCTAGCTCTGGGTGTTTATTTGGTTTGATTGAATCTCTTTATAACCTGTACAAAAACTAAATTTGCCAAAAAGCTTCTTCTTTGTAGTGAGCAAGAGTAAATGAAACATACTGTGAAGTATATCATTCTCTGGATAAATACAAAATAAGTCATTTTACCAGAGATTGCTGCTTAGTGATTCACTTAGATGTCCGGGTCTTGGTTTGAATATAGTCTGATCATAAGGCAAATAATGCATTATAGGGTATTTGTTCCTGACTGCACTCAAAGAGAAGAGCGTAACACTCTCCTTTATTCTTTAAATAAAAGAAAGGGGATAAGTGAAATTATTTATTTGACCTTTAATGTCTGTTAGACATATTGGTGCAGTAAACATGAACAGACTTACACAGTTGCACTGAAATTGTAGATAAACTAAATATTTCAAGGCTATTTTCAAAAAGACTTATTTAAAGGGTTTAATATAACACTAATCTGTCCCTATGGCAGTAGTACGCTTATCAAGTATGTACTGTAAACTCATAAACAAGTACTGGGAGTATTTATTGAGCGGGACAATTTAGCTTTTGATCAAGTGAAAGTAAAACTTTTTTACAGTTTTTTAGTTATTTTACCTTCGTACTTTTTAAATTGAACAAACTGTATTTGTTGTATATTTTCTGCAGTAATAATTCAACAGACTTTAAGATATTAATAAATTATAAAAAGTGTTCCTGTGCAGCACATTTGAGTCAGTATGAGAAGTTGCAAAACAAAGGGATTTACAATATTTTACATAATTATAATAATACTTTGCTATACATGATGAATGTTGTGAAATATTTGATCTCAAATGTTGTATTTATAATGTTTTTACAACAATTGGTTGTTGAAGCCATGGGAAACAACCAATCTAGTCCCCCCCCACCTTCCCCCCCACTTTTTATAATCATGTTGGTTTCTTTTCTTGGGTCTCAGTGACACCATTATGCAAAACTGATAATAATTTGATCTAAACTAAAGTCTAATGTTTTTCCATTGAACAGAAACAAAGTGAGAGATTTACAGATTGTGAAGGAATACCAGCCTTTTAAAGAGGATGTCCAGCTCAGATTAATGCTTTATGGACCTGCTGGTGCTGGCAAGTCCAGCTTCATCAACTCTGTCGACAGTAAGGCAAAATAACTCGTCGAGCTACTGTAGATGCACTCTTCCACGGGAGCTTCACCACAAAAGTAAGAATCCCTGAAAGCATTTCACAAGACACAACAACAATTAAAAACCACAGAACTTGTTTTTCTCTGGCTCAGTGGTTAGAGCTGGTGCCCCATGTACTGAGGCTCAGTCCCTGAGGTCGATGGAAGTTTGAATCTGGCTTGTGGTCTGTTAACACGTGTCATCACTCTATCTCCCCCCTATCAAGAGGTTTATTCTCAAATAAACTGGATAATCTGGCCCCCCCCAAAAAAAATGTTTTGCGTATTCCGTTTTTTAATTGTAGTTTGATTTTTTTAAATGTGGTTTTTGATTTTAAGATTTTATTTTTTTATGTTGATTTGTGTTTTTTCTTTTAAATATTTTCTGTTTTGTGAAATTATGTTATGTTTTAAACGTTAGTACAGAGAGTACAAAATCCCAAAAGTACCAGTGACACATTACCCTTTTGTCTTCAATTACATCATGGGCCTCGAGAAGGATGCACGTACAGGAGTTCGTTTGGAAGACATCAAACTGGCCATGAAGGGACACGTGAAGGATGGTTACCAGGTACAACTTGGTACAACACAATCCCACATTGTGGTCATTTTCTACTATCAATATTATGGATGGGATGTACAGTATGAAATATGAAATATGGAAAACTAACGAGACTCCATTAGAAACTATTGTATTTGTGCATGCAAATTATTATTTTGTATTTAACATTGTTTTCCAGTTCAATACTATCTCTGCCATCCTTGAGGATAACCAACACTACAACAGAGACCCCTCTCTAAATGACAAAGTTCATGTTCTGGTTTGCGTCATCCCTGGCAACACAGCAGGATTGCAGAATGATGATAATCCATCACAGTTACTGACTGAGGATTTGGAGACAAAGTTGAGGGAAGTCAGACTTGAAGCCAGTGATATGGGTAAGGGTTGGATAATAAATGAACAAATACAATTATATACATTGTATTTTAAAAGTATATTTAATGTATCATAATTCTAATAAAATATAATAACACAGTAAAATAACCTGACCAACTTTATTTTAATTGAATCTGATTCTGCTCTGTATTGACAGGGATTCCTGAAATTGCTATTCTCACCAAAATTGATGAAGCCTGTCCAGAGGTCCACAAGGATATACAGAACGTGTATAAGAGCAAGTACCTGAAGAAAAAGGTTTGTTTCTATTGGTAATTTAGTTTTAGACAACTGTAATTCAAGTTGGAATATCATTTTGTTTAACACTGTTATATTGTAACAGCAAAATCTCCTTGGATCAGCAGTTTCATTTCTTAAATGTCATATTCTTAAATGTAGATTGAGGTGTTGAGTGGCAGGATGGGATTTCCACAAAACTGCATCTTTCCTGTGAAGAACTACCACTCAGAGCACGAGACAAGTGATGACACTGATACACTGATACTGAGCGCACTGAGAGGGATGATTGAATCTGGAGAAGACTTTGTCAACGACCTGTAAAACTACATTCTGCTGAGGCAGATCTTGTTTTCAACAACAACATGTAAAAAGGTCCTGTTAACAATTATGATAATTACATGAAGTGGGCAAAATGGCTTTTAGTTTTTTTTTTGCAGCCTGTAATGCATCATATCTATACTATAAATGATGGTGTCTCTACCTTAATGAGTAAAGTACAGTATGAAAAGGCTTTATTTTTCCTATATTTGATGTTTTCTTTGCATTATGTGTCAAGGAGTGAACTCTGAGGCATGAACTCAAATGCACGACTCAAACTCAGACTCAGGAGAGGTTCAAAATAAAGACTTTACTGGAATTAACACAGTAACAAAAACAGGGAATAACAATAACTCTCTTTCGAGGAAAAACAATGACAATACTCTGAAGCTTAGAGGTACGTAACACGTCTGTGGAGTAAGCTTGCTCAAAGTCCTGAATGAGGAAACAAACCGACAATGGACAGGAGGGAACTAGCAGAATATATACACAGGGTAAGGGGAACAGGTGGAAACAATCAGGGCGGGGAAAACAAACAAAGACGCAGGAGACAGATAGGGGCGGGGAGTGGAGGCCTGAAATGAGAGGGAGAATTACTATTCAAAATAAAACATAAAGCACAGGACAGAAGGACATGACAAAACTAACATAAAGAATAAACTTTCACAATAAGTTTCTTAGACATGACATTATGGTATTGTTAGTTATGCTTTTTTGATTCAGGTGGTAATTTATATTGCCGTCTCCAGGTAATCGAGAATCTGAATATTCGTAGGTCGAAGATGATTTGGTTGACACGTGTTCAGATTAATGATAACATATGCTGTACCTGTCATTGATTAAAAAGTGTTTTGTATATAATGATACTTTTTTAATGTAACCAGATCATATTCATCAAATAATGATAACATCAATATTTTTAAATTACATAATAAACATAATTGTTTCAATCACGACAACAGATCAGAGCAGTTCTGTGATTTGCAGCTCATTCAGATCAAAGCAGCTTCACTTGTCTCTAAGAAAACCCTCGTCAGATTTTAAAACATGCATGTGATTACACTCTCAAAAACAATACATGGTGTTTCTTATTTTTGCTTGCATTAAATGGTTCAACAATGATGTACATTAATTGTTTAAAATATTTGGTGTATCCATATTTTGTTGTTACATTGGGAGGGTGCAAAGTCATGATAATCAGTGCCTGTTTTATACAGTGGGCCTATTCTAGGATGGTTACATGTTAATGCTTTGATTTCTGTAAAGATGAAGATGAAGCTGTTGATCTACAATCATTTGATTCTCACCAATAATATTTTGAGCAATAAATGCATTCACACATTCAATTGTGACTTAGTGTGTACTGTAGTCGTTTGGTGTAAATCCTCATTGCTGAAAAAGTAAGGTTGAAACATATGTATTCAAACTTTATATGAATGTAAAGGATAGTCAAGGCAGCACATTTATTTGGTCTCTGCTGTTTTGCTTCTAACGCTATGGCCTAAAATGAATAATTGTACCGTATGGTTTAACAACAGCAAACTTGACATTTCACTCAGTAACAATGCCTCTACTTAAATGTCTTTAGAAATGTCCCTCTAATCACAAATGCTATAAACTCACTCAGATTCATTCCAATTTCATGCATTTTCTTTAAGTAGATTTAGAATAAGCAATTTGGAGAAAAATATTATATAACAACTTTTTTTTGTTAAGAAAATGACATCACCTATGTAATGCAGCCACAATAACACTGATGCCATATCACACTTTTGGGATATGAGATTACATTTAATTGAATTTAGCTGATGCTTTTATCCAAAGCTTTTATCGTGTCATTTCACATTTAACAGCAGTATCTTTACTGAATGCACCAGCTCAGCTTCAACACAACTCCCCTGCCAATACCATGATATACTGTGGCAATAAAATATCTTGACTCATAGCTCCACTAACACTTTTCCTCCTAAAATAAACTTCATTGACAAGATACATTCCATACACGATGTTTAGTCTGTATTATTACTTAAATACAATTTCAAACAGTTACTTATCTTAATAAAAAACATTCTAATTTAATTTGGATTTATTGCTACATATAAATTATTTGTATTTTTTCCATACTGCTGCTGCCTCTCGAGGTTAAGAGTAATACTACAGCACATAACACAGAATGACTGAGTGCAATGCAGGAAAATAGAACCTGTAGCTGGAGCCCTGCAAGCCCGCCCCTCCCTTCTCCCCTGATTCTTTTAAATCACATGATGTAAAGGAAACTGTAGATACCACCAAACCAGAATCAAACAGCTATACTGGACACACTTCACATTCAAACCATGTTTTTGTATTTCAATAGTATTCTGAGGTAAACTCATGAGAAAGTGTGTTTCAGTTCTAAAGTCACATTCAGATTCAATTTAAAAATGGGTGTAGAGGTCTGCTGTTGGATCTGACACAGACTAAATGCATTCAGTCATTCAGTTGTGACTATTGTCCTTTGTGAATGACTAAAGAGAAATCAACTTTACTTTATGAGGTCAGTAAACATTAAGTTGTACATCTATAAAGGCAATTCCTTTAAGTCACGGTGTGCTATAACTGAACATGAAAGTGAAAGTGAGCAGTTGTTATCATATAAATCAGACTTTTCCTGTCAGTTGAGAGGCACTTGGGTTAGAGGCACATACTGTAACTGAAGGTGAAGATTTTCTACAGTATTATTTCCCAATTCAGTATATTCTTGTTTTTGTTCAGAAAATGACATCACCTCACTGTAATGCAGCCACAATAACACTGATGCCATATCACATTATTGGGATATGAGATTACATTGCATTTCATTTAGCTGATGCTTTTATCCAAAGCTTTTATCGTCATTTCACATTTAACAGCAGTATCTTTACTGAATGCACCAGCTCAGCATCAACACAACTCCCCTGCCAATACCATGATATACTGTGGCAATAAAATATCTTGACTCATAGCTCCACTAACACTTTTCCTCCTAAAATAAACTTAATTGACAAGATACATTCTTGAGTGAGTAGCTGTTATCATATAAAAGAGACTTTCCTTTCGAGTTGAGAGGCACTTGGGTGAGACATACAGTAACTGAAGGTGAGGATTTCTATCACTTCCCAATTCTTGTTATGCTTTCATCATTTTGATTATAGCTATCCTTTTTGTGTAGTACAGTTATAGAGATAGTTACTGTTTGTATGTTAACATTCGTTTTTATCTCAAACCTTTAATGCTTTGTAGAGCTGTACTTAGAAAAAATATATATGTATATAAACCTATATTTTTCTAGCTCTGGGTGTTTATTTCGTTTGATTTAATCTGTTTATAACTTGTACAAAAACAGAATAGGCCAAAACGCTGCTTGTTTGTAGTTAGCAAGATTAAATGAAACATAATTCTCTGGATAAATAAAAGAAAGGGGATAAGTGAAATAATGTATTTGACCTTAAATGTCTGTTAGAAATAAGGTGCAGTAAACATAAATAGACTTACACAGTTTCACTGAAATTGTAGATAAACTAAATATTTCAAGTCTATTTTAAAACTCCATAGACTTATTTAAAGGGTTTAAGATAACACTAAACTAGCCTTAGCAAGGCAGAATTTCGCTTGTTGAAGTATATAGTGTACATTTAAAAGCAAGTGCTGTGAGTATTATTTGAGAGGGAGTGAATAAAGTAAAACATTTTTTTACGGTTTTTTGTTATTTTACATTTGTAGTTTTTAACTAGAACAAACTTTATTCGTTGTATATTTTCTGAAGTAACAATTAAACAGACTTTAAGATTTTCCTATGCAGCACATTTGAGTCAGTATAAATAAATAAAGGCAATTCCTTTCGACCACATGGTTGCTAACCAGAAAAAGAAAGTGAAAGCAAGCAAACCTATAAAACAGACTATGACTGTCCAGCTGAAAGGCATTTGAACAAGAGGCACATAACTGAAGGTAATGACTTTCCATTACATTTTACCAACTAAGTACATTCTGCATATGCTATCATCATTTTGAGTATCATTTTAGTGTAGTACAGTTATTATGTATGTATATACTGTGATTATTATACTAATCTCTGAATCTTTAATTTACTGCAAGAAATACAAATAAATTAAACATTTATTCTTCTAGTTCCAGGTTTCATGTTACTTTATTTATTTATTTGGTTTGATTAAATTATTATTATTATTATACTTTTTTTTATTTGACATAACTCAACTATCATTTTATATAGGACTACTGTCTTGTTGTTTAGCCTTTGTCTATTGTTAACATCCTGCATGTTTTCTATTAATTGTTGTGTTTTTCCTACCATCTATTACACTTAGCTTTTGATATTTTGTATTTATTTGTCAATATCCCTTCAAGAAAAAAACGAAAGAAAACATTTACTGTCTTTACTATAGAAGTCCCTAACTTCTGTTTTTTAACCCTCTATGGCATGACTTTTTATTTTGGGAGGAAAAAAATGTTTCACCATGTGTTTTAGGAGCTTAGGGGTCCCTGATATTATATCAATTATAAAATGTGACCCCCCCAGACCCCTCAACCAGGGGTTGGTTTGTTGCCTCAGGGCATCAATATGCTACGAGGGTATTGAAACACCAAAGATTTCTACAATTCAGAAAAAATAGAAAAAACAACTCTATATGAATTCAAAACGTTTTCTTTGTGTGTGTGTGTGTGTGTGTGTGTGTGTGTGTGTGTGTGTGTGTGTGTGTGTGTGTGTGTGTGTGTGTGTGTGTGTGTGTGTGTGTGTGTGTCTGTGTGTATGTGTGTGTATGTCTCTGTGTGTGTTTGTGTTTGTGTGTCTATGTGTGTGTGTCTATGTGTGTGTGTCTGTGTGCCTAACCCTATCTTGACCTTCACTGTCCTCACTGTCAGACGGAATAGCCCTAACAGCCTGATCGTTTCCCTTCTGCCCATAACATGTTTTGGTGTCCATTTCCTGTAAATATCAGTAGATGGTAAAGTAAAAACATTGACTAGGTTTATCATTTTTCAGCTGAGCACATTTGCACATGAAAAAGAAACTTGAAATATATTATTTTCTTCCATTTCAGAGTCATTACTTGGAGTAAACGTCACCACTTCTTTACACAGACACTTCAGCTGAGGTAATTTATTTTAACAATTTTTTTATACCGATATAATTGTTGTTTTTAAATATAGCCTGATTATAAGGGATAGAACAGGGCACAGAAGGCATTACCGTATAGGGTCTTTTTGCAATGACTGCATTCAAAGAGAACAGCATTAACATGTTCGGGGATAAGTTAAATAATTTATTTTACCTTCAATGTCTGTAAAACGTAAGGTGCAGTATCTGTTAAAATCTTAGAACACGCCAGGTGAGCTCAAACTTCACCTGTCGGGTTCCTGAGTGATAATTGCACAGTTACTGCGCCTTTACGCGATAGCAGGATTCTCTCTTTTCTTCCAGTTTTACAGTAGTCCCTGTGAAGCTGTACGCTGCTCTTTTTTTTATCAGTTAAAGGTCCAGAGCACATCAGATAACTCAACTTGCCTGTCTGTTGTGTGATTAATCGGATGTGGATGTTTTCATATGGATGATGGGAGCATACTTGGTGCTCATGTTTCTGTTTGTTACATGTAATTCACCCGTTTTGACATTTGCTGTTAACACAATGCTAGTTTATTGCTGAAGATTGGTGGTTAATCATGATTAGTGATTTGTGATTTCAACTCAGATGTGAATGTTTTCATAAGGATGGCAGCTTTCTTTTCAATTTTGCTATGCACTTTGATGTAATAAAATTACAGACCCGTTGGAAATGTTGATGTGATGTCATAATTGCACTTAATGATAATCTTAATGTGGATTTGGCACACTGATTTACAATTTTTTTTTAAATGTCACTTCATATCAAAAAGGTTGCTGACACCTGGTCTAAAGTCAAATAAAGTATCTATCCATCTATCTAATGCAGATGATTTCTACCTCACCCCTCACTCTTATGATCATCTGACCATTTAGTAAAGTAAAAAAATAAGATAGTAGAGTTGCTTTTCTGTTTACTGCTTTAAGAAAGGAAAACTATCTTAACAAAGGTCCAACTAATCACGTTGTGGATGTTTTATCTAAGCAATCGGCAACGGTGATTGAAGTTAAAGACGATAATGTTGTAAAACAGTATGAGAGAGAATATTTACGACAAGTCAGTCGGGGGCATGTGTCTGAAGACTGAGAGAGTCTTACAGTTTTACTTTCACTCTAAGTAAATATTAACTTTAAATGTGGCACTGTACATTTGGACAATCAATTCGTTAATGGTTAGATGGTATCAAGTGACTCTTGACCAAGTTCCATAAAATGTAGCACACTTTAAAATAACTGATAGCAGAACACCTGACAGTCAAGGCAAACATGTACAAACAACTGATTAACCCTGTTCGTAAAGCTTACTTCTGCAATTGCTAAGCAGACAATCTGAACAAAACACTAACTAATTTGTGCCACATCTTCTTATGCTATCATTTTTTAGCTGTTAGCAGCTATTGAACATGCAGGATTTTGCACTGTGTTTTGCAAATCAAACTTATCTGACAAGATATTAACTTTTTATGTCTGTTAAATCAGATCTTTATTCTGCAGCTGGTGGGAACATTTCACATTTACTTTTAAGGTCTCTGTAGTGTCCAGTTGGAATGTAGGTTAGGTACATAAATATAAACCCAAATTCACATCTTGGAACCTCTGCTGTGCTCACAAACCTGAATCCTGAGCCACCATAATGCCCAGCAGCAGCCATTTAGATGGCAGGGTGAGGCATAAAGTATAATCTAATCTAAGCAGCAATCAACTTTACTCAATGAGGTCATTGAGCATTATCTATTGATAAAAGGCCATTTCTTTTAAACCACATGGTTGCCGATAACCTGAAAAGAAAGTGAAAGCAAGCGGTTAACATATAAAACAGACTTTCTTGAAGTTGAACGGCATTCGGGCGAGAGGCACATACGTGAAGGTAATGATTATTATTGTTTATCAAATCAAATCAAATCAGGTTTTATTTATAAAGCACATTTAAAAGCGATTTTTGGTCGAGCCAAAGTGCTGTACATTACTACAAAACACAATAAACGACAATAAATTACAACAGATATATCTTAACAACTAAGTACATTTTCTTTGCTATCTTTGAGTATGGTTATCATTTTAGTGTCGTATCAATTTTTATGTATGAATCGTTACTGTTATTGTTATTATTATTATAAATAAGTAATACACATATACATACACCCAAGGCACTGTGGTCAAGTTCTATTGTCAAAGTAATGAAAAATAAACTTGAAATATATTATTTTCTTCCATTTCAGAGTCATTACTTGGAGTAAACGTCACCACTTCTTTACACGGACACTTCAGCTGAGGTAATTTTAACAATTTTTTTATACCGATATAATTGTTGTTTTTAAATATAGCCTGATCATAAGGGATAGAACAGGGCACAGAAGGCATTACCGTATAGGGTCTTTTTGCAATGACTGCATTCAAAGAGAACAGCATTAACATGTTTGGGGATAAGTTAAATAATTTATTTTACCTTCAATGTCTGTAAAATGTAAGGTGCAGTAAACATGAACAGACTTATACATTTTCACTGAAATTGTAGATAAACTAAATCTTTCAAGTATATATTAAAACTAGATAGACGTATTTAAAGGGTTTAATATAACACAAAACTGTCCCTATGGCAGTAGTACGCTTATCAAGTATATGCTGTAAACTCATAAGCAATACTGTCAGTATTTATTGAGTGGGACAATTTAGCTTTTGATCAAGTGAAAGTAAAAAATGTTAACAGTTTTTAGTTATTTTAACCGTGTACTCTTTAACTTGAACAAACTTTATTTGTTGTATATTTTCTGCAATAACAATTTAACCGACTTTAAAATATGAATAAATGATACAAAGTTTTCCTATGCAGCACATTTGAGTCAGTATGAGAAGTTGCAAAACAAAAAGGGATTTACAATATTTTACATAGTTATAATAAGAATTTACTATACATGATGAATGTTGTGAAATATTTGATCTCAAATGTTGTATCGATAATGTTTTTACAACAATTTCTTGTTGAAGCCATGGGAAACTCGACCCCCCCACCTTCCCCCCCACCTCCCCCCCCCACCTTCTCCAAAAGGTAAGTAACTCAACATTTTTCTAAACATTGCCTAATAGATCAAATCAATCAAAATGGGACTAATGTTTTACTGCAAATGTTCACTTTACTTTTCAGTTCTGCCTCAAGAATGGAGGAACGGTCCATGGGGGTGAGTTCATTTTTCACTGTGTGGTGTCTCTGGTGTTTAGTGGCTTTTATTCAAATAACAATTTTTAAAAGCACAACTATGAACCTACACACTCCTTTGTTGAGACCCACCTTTGCTATGCAATTTTTTCTATTTGTTGTCACTTTTCATAATCATGGTGGGTTCTTTTCTTGGGTCTCAGTGACACCATTATGCAAAATTGATAATAATTTGATCTAAACTAAAGTCTAATGTTTTTCCATTCAATAGAAACAAAGAGAGAGAGTTGCAGTTTGTGAAGGATTACCAGCCTTTTAAAGACAAGCTCCAGCTCAGATTTATGGTTTATGGATCTGTTGGTGCTGGCAAGTCCAGCTTCATCAACTCTGTGGAAAGTGTTTTACGAGGCAAAATAACTGATCGAGCTAAAACAGATGCGATCGGTGGCAAAAGCTTCACCACAAGTGTAAGAATCCCTTTTCAGTGTTATCATGAATGTCTTACATTGTAACACTTGAAATGTAACAACTCTGTTATCTATTATATTATTTTACTTTTAAGCAGAAGACACACTTCTATGGTGGCCCTGAAAGTCAAAATATAAAAACCTTTCACAAGACACAACGACAATTAAAAAACATGAAGTATGTGTTTCTCTGGCTCAGTGGTTAGAGCTGGTGCCCCATGCTCTGAGGCTCAGTCCCTGCTGAGGAAGATGCACGTTTGAATCTGGCTGTGGTCCTTTAACACATATCATCCTCTCTACAGTATCTCCCCCATTGTTTCACATTGTTGTGTTTTGTAAATGTACTTTGTTAAAAAAAAATATTGATTTAAAAAAATGTTGTTTTTCATTTGAATGTTTTTGTTGTTGTTGCATTATGTGAAATTATGTAATGTTTTGACCTTTAAGGCAACCTAACTACCATGTCATTATAACGGGACTTTCTTGTCTTACAGTACAAAGCCTACAAAATCCAAAAAGGAGGACCAGGGACACATTACCCTTTTGTCTTCAATGACATCATGGGCCTTGAGAAGGATGCAGGACATGGAGCTTGTGTGGAAGACATCAAACTGGCCATGAAGGGACACGTGAAGGATGGTTACACGGTACAACTGAATTCATTCAATCTTATCTCTGTTGCATGTATTTGAGGAACACAATCCCACTGCATGATACATGTTTTGCACATGAAATATGGAAAGCTAACAAAGTTCCAATACAAACTATTGTATTTCTGATTTCTAATGTAATTGTTTGATTCAATTTAACATTGTTTTCCAGTTCAATCCTATCTCTACCTTGTCTGAGAATAACCAAGACTACAACAGAGACCCCTCTCTAAATGACAGAGTTCATGTTCTGGTTTGCATCATCCCTGGCAGCATAGCAGGATTGCGGGCTGATTCTGTGAAAAAGATGAGGGAAGTCAGACTTGCAGCCAGGGACATGGGTAAGGGTTAGGCTTTTACAATAATACATACAATTACAAATGATGTATTATACTTTGAAATAATATGTATTATGATATATAACATATATAATATTAAAATAACCTGTCCAACATTATTTGAACTTATTTTGATTCTCCTCTGTATTGGCAGGGATTCCTGAAATTGCTATTCTCACCAAAATTGATGAAACCTGTCCAGAGGTCGGCAAGAATATAAGGAACGTGTATAAGAGCAAGCACCTGAAGAAAAAGGTATGTTTATATCTGTAATTCAGTTTGTAGAGAGCTGTAATTAAGGTTGGAATATCATTTTGTTTTACACTGTAATATTGTAACAGCAACATCTCCTTGGATCACCACTTTCATTTCTTAAATGTCAAATTCCTAAATGTAGATTGAGGAGGTGAGTGGCGTGCTGGGTTTCCCACCAAGCTGCATCTTTCCTGTGAAGAACTACAACTCAGCGCTCGAGACAAGTGATGACACTGATACACTGATACTGAGCGCACTGAGACGGATGATTGAATCTGGAGAAGACTTTGTCAACGACCTGTAAAACTACATACTGCTGAGGCAGGTCTTTTTTTATAACACTATGTAAAAAGGTCCTGGGAACAAGAATGGTAATTACATGAAGTGGGTAATGTAGCTTTTAGGTTTCATTTCCAGCCTGTAATGCACCATATCTATACTATAATAAATGATGGTATCTCTACCATAATGAGTAAATATGAACAGGCTTTATTTTTTCTTTATGATGTTGTTAGTTTAGTTTTTTTGACTCAAGTGGTAATTTATCCGGCCATCTCCAACTAATCGATAATCTGAATATTAGCAGGTCAAAAGACATAATATTTTTCTAAAGTAAAGCTTTACGTTTAGACTTGTGATTACATAAGCTGTACCAGTCACTGATTAAAATATATTTTCCTATTCAATGTTGGACGAGATTGAAATTTAACATTTTACTACATGGTTCAGGTAGAAACACAATACATCGCAAACATATTTGGAATTAGCTATTTGTCTTTTGTTATGAACTTTCTTTCTATTCCACACATTACTTTCAAGTAGGTAATTTCACATCTGTCCACCAGAGAGCACAATTGGAGAGCAATTTGAGTTGTGTGTCAATGCAACCCTGTCTCCTAGAAATTACGTTCCCACAAAACTAAACTGCATTCTCAAATACGTTTCGCAAGAAACGTATTTCCTTCCACGTTACGTTTGTTATGAACATATCTTAAATACGTTTATTTTCTACATATCTTCTAGAAACCTATTTTCTCTCACATGACGTTTGTTATGAACGTATCTTAAATACGTTTGCTTTCTACCTATATTTGCCATTTCTTTTCTAGCTTATAATAATGATAATAGTCATTTATTAATATCATTTTAGAGCAAACTTATTTTCGCGCTGGCTGGCGGCTGACTTTTCAGTTGACCAAATCCGTTATTATGCTGGTTAATGGTTAATAATCACAATATTGTTTGTAGTCGTTTCATACAGCATTCTCAATTACGTTTAACAAGAAACGTCTTTTGTCCCACGTTACGTTTGTTCTGAACATATCTTAAATACGTTTGCTTTCTACCTATCTTTGACATTTCTTTTCTAGCTTATAATAATGATAATAGTCATTTATAAATATCATTTTAGAGCACACATTTGAAATCGACGATCGGGTTTGATATCCTATGGTTAAATTAAAATCAGTAGGCGAGGCTGTAATTTCGCCAGCTGCGAGGCAGAAAATAATAGTTTTAACATGCCAAAAAGCTGCTGTGTTGTTTATTGCACCTCAAACATTAAAACAAATCCAGAGTTACGTGTTTCTGTACTTCCTCTAAGAAGAAAGGACAGTATACAACAGAAGAGCTCTGTGGCTTCAGGCTGATCGCCGTTCAAATGACAGCTGGTTTCCCCAAAAGTGGGCAGGGCTGTAAAGTGACGTAGGAAAGATCCTCAGCTCGCTGATTGGATGTTTTAGCCGCAATGCACGTCGGGATATGGTGTTAATGCGATATGAAATCCGAAAAAAAATCAGAATTTAGGATGGCCGAAGACACTACACTACCCATAATCCCCAGCTATCGTTTGGGACTACAGTCCCGTTGACAAACCCCGTGATTAATCTTCAAGCTCTGGGATTGGATGTTGGAGTGGCAGTGCGCCAAGGTTACGCCGAGCGCCAAACAGCTCTTTGAAATGGAACGAAACCACGGCAGACTTTCCAAAACTGGACTCGAACGCGCCCCCAGAACTACAGATGCTGGCTATTGTGTTTTGCAACATGTTCTATGGCACGTCTCTACTGGGAATTGTAGTTTTAAATGACGTTTTCGTTTTTCCCAAAATTAGAAGTTGATTGTATTAAACTGTGTACAGCCCTGGAGGTTTAGGGGATAGGAAACAAATTGGTGTGTACAAATGTAAAACATGTAATTAATAAATGGGTGAAAATCGCTTGTGTCCATAATGGGAAGCATTAATATATACCCACATGCCAGCTCATTGTTACTTTGTAATTCTACTCCACTACAATTCAGAGGTTAACCTGGTATTTTTACTCCACTACATTTATTTTAGTTACTTTGCAGATTCTGATTAATGATGTGAAATATAAACAACCCTTAAAGCAGACTTTAGTTACACCTGAGTAAAATTCAGGGAAAGGTGATTGTCAAGTGCCAACAATCAGGAGAGATATTAGTTGGTGCTTGAGAAGACTAAACATTTATCTGCAGATCTCTATAAAGTATATTCATTACTCGTTATTCTCTACTAATAGTTAATTAAAGACTGTATATAATAGCTATTTTGCACATCCCTTTCAAGATTTTCTAAGGTTTATTGACATATCATATACACAACTATGTTGAAGTTATGCAATTAATGAAAAACTTGGGTCACAGGTTCCTCAACAGTGCATTACAAGACATCTATCAATATGTGTGTATTCCTCCACCATTAAACTCAAATTCTGCACATGTCTTATACTATCTACATACATAAGAGTATAATTAATATATATTTAATATCAGTTAAAATAAGTGCTTCAACACAGTTAACATTGCAGGAAAGCAATATATTAGACGTTAAGTACTTTGTCAGGCTTAATATTTATCTGTAGATAGATACCCCCAAAGCTTTTTTCTTATTTGAAAGAAAACCTAAAGTGTTCTTTAATGTGTTAATAAAGGTTAATTAGTTTGTCTGTTTTGCACATCCTCATATTAATATCAGGCACTAAACTGTTTTATTGTAGAGATCACTTACAGTATCTTCTTGATTTTTTATATTCTATATTTCTATCATTGACCTTCTACTTTCCCCCTATGAAAGTATGTACTCTTAATATTTTATTCATCAAATAACATTATTCAACAAAAATAACATTATTCAACAAAAATAATTAAATAACGTGCTTTAACCACTAGGCGGTGCACACAAGGTACACACAGCATACTAATAATAACTTTGTTAGTGTAGGACACTTATGTATGTATAACATCTGAAGATGTGTAGTTTTATTCATGTTTTTACATAATTGTACAGGATATTGCTATATTATTTCTCATGTTTTACTTCTACACATTAATATCTGATTTGTAAAACATCACAGACAGAAAGGTATATCCGTCATTTAATGGTAAGCTATTGAAATTGTGATTCCATAGATGTGTCTCCCATCACCCAAATCCCCTGACTATTCTCTCAACTCAGTATTTACATTCTTATATTCAAAGAAAATCAGTAATATCTTTAAAAACTACAAGTCCTTTTCTATTAGCTGTGCACTGTTATGGTGTAAATATAACCTATCTACCAATTGGATCAAATATAAAAGTCAGCCGAATTAGTGTTGATGCTGCAAGGAGACGTATTTTGTGAAAAGAAATGTAAGATGTTGTTTAATTGTTGATATATTTATGGTCCACGTCACGTATTCAGTTTCGGCGGCAGTTCTTCCTGTTTGTCCAGAAGTCTTCTCATCAGGGCTCTATAAATAAAGAACTACGGCAGATGTGTAATATTTAATGCAGCCGAACCGTGTATTACAATGCCGTTATGTGATGACTTTCAAAGAGAAAAGCAAGAACACTCGGAATAAAGTATTATTATAATTTTTTTTAATGTTTTCGGATTTCACATCGCATAAACACCATATCCCAACGTGCATTGCGGCTAAAACATCCAATCAGCGAGCTGAGGATCTTTCCTACGTCTGTTTCCAGTATTGTTCCTGTAATGAGAGTTCACATTTATGCTACATTGAAGGGTGGAATTGACTACACATCTTCAGAAACATAATTTGCTTCAGATATATACTGTAACTCATAGCAATATTGTAACCATTAAGAAAAGCCAACTGCATTAAAAACCCAGTTAACAAACACAAGGTAAAGTATTTTTCCTTCAGTAATGAAGATGTAATTCCAATGTAGACACACCTGGGGTCGCTGTTCAGTCTGTTACGCTGAGCCATGCATTGTCTGGAACGTAAAAGGGACGAAGAAGACAAAGTGAAGTGACGTACTTCCGGTTCAATGTGAAAACATTCCCAGTTAAACCATAGATATATATAAAAACATATGTTTATATATATCTATGAGTTAAACAACATAAACAAATCGCTTAATAAAAAGATAAAACACTGGCATGTAATTTACGTTTGGATTAAATAGAATGGTTTTGAATAATAGATGAGAGTAAAAATCTACGTCACAGCCCCACCCACTTTTGGGGAAACCAACGCTGTCATTTGAACGGCGATCAAGCCTGAAGCCACAGAGCTCTTCTGCTGTCCTTAGAGGAAGTTTGAGGTGTTTGACGTGCAATAAACGACACAGCAGCTTTTTGGCATGTTAAAACTATTATTTTCTGCCTCGCAGCTGGCGAAATTACAGCCTCGCCTACTGATTTTAATTGAACCATAGGATATCAAACCCGATCGTCGATTTCAAATGTGTGCTCTAAAATGATATTTATAAATGACTATTATCATTATTATAAGCTAGAAAAGAAATGTCAAAGATAGGTAGAAAGCAAACGTATTTAAGATATGTTCAGAACAAACGTAACGTGGGACAAAAGACGTTTCTTGTTAAACGTAATTGAGAATGCTGTATGAAACGACTACAAAAAATATTGTGATTATTAACCATTAACCAGCATAATAACGGATTTGGTCAACTGAAAAGTCAGCCGCCAGCCAGCGCGAAAATAAGTTTGCTCTAAAATGATATTAATAAATGACTATTATCATTATTATAAGCTAGAAAAGAAATGGCAAATATAGGTAGAAAGCAAACGTATTTAAGATACGTTCATAACAAACGTCATGTGAGAGAAAATAGGTTTCTAGAAGATATGTAGAAAATAAACGTATTTAAGATATGTTCATAACAAACGTAACGTGGAAGGAAATACGTTTCTTGCGAAACGTATTTGAGAATGCAGTTTAGTTTTGTGGGAACGTAATTTCTAGGAGACAGGGTTGGTCAATGAGGATGCAGATCGAAGCTCCATAAAAGGTCAGATTACAAGGGTCCGATTTCAGTCTTGGGTGCTACAAAATAATAACTTCTGAAACCAAAGTATTTCACTAAACAAATGTGAAACGCTTTGTAATGCATTTTAAAGTCTGTAACTCCTTTAAAAAATCTATAAAATAAATAATATATAATCTCTTAGCCCTAACACTAACCCTATATAGTATATACAAGTGTGAATATAACATATCATTAAAACTACATTTAAGTAAATTAAAAGAGGAAGGCCTTAGACAAGAAGAGACAATCTAACATATTATAGAAAATGAGGACTGTGATATCCACAACTTGTTTTTTTTGTTATAGAAAGGATGATGAGGTTTTGATAGAAAAAATATGGAAGTGTGTCAATGCTCTCCTTTTACTGGACCCCTAACTCTAACCCTCTAATAACTCCTAATATGAATAGCCGAGTATTGATTTCTAATCTGCTGTTCCTAGACCTGCTTTTATAAGTGAAGCACTGAGCGGTAAAACACCACAGCAACATGGAGGTCTCTCAGCTGGTGCATCTTTCTCCAGGGGGGGCTCTACCAACATTTAAGCATAGTATACACAAAGTAAAAACATATGTCATATTACAACGCAGGGCTAGCTCAAAGGCACAACAGAACTTGACACAGTCTATTGTTTTAGAAAGGATGTGCCTGTTTTTGTCAACCTCCGTATGATGCTTACTGATCCCTATCCTGTAGCCTTCATGAGTTGGACAGCTGTGTTTACTTTCCTTAACATGCTAGTCGCATAGTAATTTCCATGTGGACTCTAGTTTGTTCATGCTTTAAGAAAGAAAAAACATCTAAACAAATGTCCACCAACTAATCACATCGTGGATCTGTTATCTAAGCAATCAGGAATGTTAGAAAATAACATAGTACAAAGACAGAAACATGGTGATTGAAGTTAAAGATGATAATGTTGTAAAACAGTATGAGAGAGAATATTTACGACAAGTCAGTCGGGAGCATGTGTCTGAAGACTGAGTGAGTCTTACAGTTTTACTTTGGCTCTAAGCAAATATTAACTTCAAATGTGGCACTGTACATTGGGACAATCAATTCGTTAATGGTTAGATGTTATCAAGTGACTTTTTTATTGAGTTAAGTGACTCCATAAAAGGGGACACACGAACTGATAGCAGAAAACCTGACAGTCATGACAACGTTTTACAAACATGAACTACTGATTAACCCTGTTCGTAAAGCTTACTTCTGCAATTGCTAGGCAGACAATCTGATCAAAACGCTCACTAATTTGTGCCGCATCTTCTTACGCTGTTATTGTAGTCACTGGAATACTTTGTTAGCTGTTAGCAGCTATTGTACATGCAGGATGTTGCCCTGTGTTTTGAAAATCAAACGTATCTGACAATCTATTCACTTCACAATCCTGAGCCACCATAATGCCCAGCAGCAGCCATTTAGATGGCAGCACAAGGCATAAAGTATAATCTGATCTAAGGTTCAAGGCTCAAGGTTAGTTTATTTGTATAGCACATTTTAAGACACAGAGGCGATTCAAAGTGATCCACATAGGCATTCAACATATAATAATTAAAAACAAAACAAACACACAATCAAAAACAAACAACAAAAAGACAATTAATAAAAGCGATAAAATACTGGCTGCAACTAAAAGTGCAATGATAAGGCATGGTTAAAGGTTCTCAGGATAGGCTGCTTTAAAAAGAAAGGTTTTTAACTTTGATTTAAAAGAACCCAGTGTTGGGGCGAACCTCAGCATTTCGGGCAGTTTGTTCCAGGCTTGTGGTACATAAAAACTAAAAGCCGCTTCTGCAAATGTTGTTCTCATTCTGGGGACGACGAGTAAACCCGCTCCTGTTGATCTGAGAGCTCTGGCTGGCTCGTAACAGTAAAGCATCTCTGGCATGTATTCTGGTCCCAATCCATTTAGTGCTTTGTATGTTGAAAGTAAGATTTTGAAGTGTATCCTTTGTGTAATAGGAAGCCAGTGCAGCTTTTTGAGAACTGGGGTGATGTGGTCAATTCTCCTAGTTTTGGTGAGGACTCTGGCAGCAGCGTTCTGGATGAGTTGTAATGGTCTCATTGATTTTTTACAGAGACCTGTGAAAACACTATTACAGTAGTCAAGTCTGCTAAAAACAAAGGCATGGACTAGTTTTTCGAGGTTGTGTTGGGTCATATGTGATTTCAGTCTGCCTATGTTTTAAAAATAAAATTGATAAAAAGCTGATTTTCTGATTCCTTTGATGTGTTTTTTTAAATTTAAATCAGAGTCCATAACTACACCAAGGTTTCTGACATTGTCTGATGTTTTCAACAGTATTTTTTCTAACTAAGTTCTGATATTGGCCCGATCCTTTTTGGCACCAAAAACTTGACTAACCTTAAAAGTTTATAAAATACAAAAATAGTTCCAATGTAATTGCAAAGGGTTATATGTCATCTGCATAGTCATGGTAGGATATGTTGTATTGTTTCAGGATATGAGCAAGTGGGAGCATGTAAATATTGAACAGAGCTGGACCGAGAATCGAACCTTGAGGAACTCCACATGTCATGGATTTTTTTTGAGATTTGGATACCAAAAACTCTCTGTCCCGCAGATGTGATTCAAACCAGTGAAGGGCTTTGTCAGATAGTCCAAACAAGTTTTCCAATCTGTCCAGTAAAATGTTGTGGTCAACTGTATCGAATGCAGCACTAAGGTCCAGCAATATTAGGACTGATATTTTGCCATTGTCAGTGTTCAAGTAAATGTCATTCAGAACTTTAGTAATAGCCGTCTCAGTGCTGTGATATGGCCGAAATCCAGATTGGAATGTATCATAACAGTTATTCAGTGCAAGGAAGGTGTTGAGCTGATGAAAAACAGCTTTTTCAATGATTTTTCCCAAAAAGGGGAGGTTTGAAATTGGCCTGTAGTTCTGCATGATTGAAGTGTCCAAATTGTTCTTTTTCAGGAGAGGCTTGATTACTGCTGATTTCAGTGATTTGAAATTGCCTGAGATAAGGGATGTGTTAAGCAGCAATGAACTTTACTTAATGAGGTCAGTGAGCACAATGTTGTATATTGATAAAATGCCATTTCTTTTAAACCACATGATTGCTATAACCTGGAAAGAAAGTGATAGCAAGCGGTTAACATATAAAACAGACTTTCTTGAAGTTGAAGGGCATTCGGGCGAGAGGCACATAAGTGGAGGTAAGGACTTTTTATATTTTTTAACAACCAAGTACATTTTCTTTATGCTATCTTAATTTGAGTGTCTTACCAATTTATTGGTAACGTTATTGTTATTATTATAATAAATAAGTAATACACATATACATACACCCAAGAAACTGTGGTCAAGTTCTATTGTCAAAGTAATGAAAAAGAAACTTGAAATACATTATTTTTTTCCATTTCAGAGTCATTACTTGGAGTAAACGTCACCACTTCTTTACACAGACAATTCAGCTGAGGTCATTTATTTGAACTACTTTTTTATAACAATATAATGGTTGTTTTTAAATATAGCCTGATTATAAGGGATAGAACAGGGCACAGAAGGCATTACCGTATAGGGTCTTTTTGCAATGACTGCACTCAAAGAGAACAGCATTAACATGTTTGGGGATAAGTTAAATAATTGATTTTACATTCAATGTCTGTAAAACGTAAGGTGCAGTAAACATGAACAGACTTATACATTTTCACTGAAATTGTAGATAAACTAAATCTTTCAAGTACATTTTAAAACTAGATAGACGTATTTAAAGGGTTTAATATAACACAAAACTGTCCCTATGGCAGTAGTACGCTTATCAAGTATATACTGCAAACTCATAAGCAAGTGCTGTGAGTATTTATTGAGCGGGACAATTTAGCTTTTGATCAAGTGAAAGTAAAAAATGTTTACAGTTTTTAGTTATTTTACCTTTGTACTTTTTAACTTGAACAAACTTTATTTGTTGTATATTTTCTGCAGTAACAATTCAACAGACTTTAAGATATTAATAAATGATAAAAACTTTTCCTGTGCAGCACATTTGAGTCAGTATGAGAAGTTGCCAAACAAAGGGATTTACAATATTATACATAATTATAATAAATACTTTGCTATACATGATGAATGTTGTGAAATATTTGATCTCAAATGATGTATTGATAATGTTTTTACAACAATTTGTTGTGAAAGCCATAGGAAACGACCAATCAAATTCCCCCCCTCCTCGCCCCCCACCTTCTGAAATGTGTAAGTAACTCAACATTTTTCAAAATATTGCCTAATAGAGGTATATAGTGTAAACTGATAAGCAAGTCCTGTGTGGATTTGTTGAGTGGGACAATTTAACTTTTGATCAAGTGAAAGTAAAAAATGTTTACAAGTTTTAGTTATTTTACCTTTGTACTTTTCAAATTGAACAAACTGTATTTGTTGTGTATTTGCTAACAATTCAACAGACTTTAAGATATTAATACATTATAAAAGGTTTTCCTGTCCAGGCTTATGGGATTTGATTAGAGCTCTTGCTGATAGAGAGAAATAATTCTTCCCCACCTCGCGCGGCCACTCCCTCTCTTTTTGTTGAAGCCATGGGAAATTCCGAAAGTTCCCCCGAACCTGCCCCCCCCGAACCTTCCCCAGTGGGACTAATGTTTTACTGCAAATGTTCACTTTACTTTTCAGTTCTGCCTCACGAATGGAGGAACGGTCCTTGGGGGTGAGTTCATTTTTCAGTGTGTGGTGTCTCTGGTGTTTAGTGGCTTTTATTCAAATAACACTTTTGAGCACTTAAAAGCACAACAATGAACCTGCACACTCCTTTGTTGAGACTCACCTTTGTTATGTGGTTCTTTCTATTTGTTGTCACTTTTCATAATCATGTTGGTTTCTTCTCTTGGGTCTCAGTGACACCATTATAGAAAACTGATAATAATTTGATCTAAACTAAAGTCTAATGTTTTTCCATTGAACAGAAACAAAGTGAGAGAGTTGCAGATTGTGAAGGATTACAAGCCTTTTAAAGAGGATGTCCAGCTCAGATTTATGCTTTGTGGATCTGTTGGTGCTGGCAAGTCCAGCTTCATCAACTCTGTGGAAAGTGTTTTACAAGGCAAAATAACTGATCGAGCTAAAACAGATGGGATCTCTGGCAAGAGCTTCACCACAAGTGTAAGAATCCCTTTTCAGTGTTATCATGAATGTCTTACATTGTAACACTTGAAATGTAACAACTCTTTTATCTATTATTTTATTTTAATTTTAAGCAGGAGACAAACTTCTATGATGGCCCTGAAAGTCCAAACATAAAAACCTTTCACAATGTTCAGTTTTGCAAAATGTTTTTGTGTTTTTGTATTGCTAGTTTGTATTTTTTTTAAATGTTGATGTGTCTTGTCATTTATATTTTAATGTTATTGTGTTTTAAAAAATTCCGTAATGTTTTGTTAAATGATGTTATGTTAACTACTAGACTACTGATGTACTGTTTTGACCTTTACGGCAACCTAACTAGCATGTCATTATAATGGCATTTTTTTTGTCTTAGTGGCGAGCCGTCAGGGCCCTCTAGGTCCTCTGTGAGGGCCTAAGATATTCTAAAAAATAATATTTAAAAACATTTAAAAAATATATATTTTTTTTAAATATATATTCTTTTAATATTATTTTTGTTATATTTTTCATTAGTTTTACCGAAAAAAAACTTGATTTAATTGTATTTAAAATAACATTTCCAAAGAAATAAATCCTTCGAATCTGCCTGTTCAGTCTCTGTTGAATGTGAAGGGTTACATGAAAGAAGCTCGTCTGGCCCTCTCTGCGATTCACAGAGGGCCCGTTATAGTAACTCAACGAGAGAGTAATGTCAAATGAGAGTACAATTGACCAATCATATCTTCCCTCTAAATGGGTGGGTTTTATTATCGCGGACTTTATGACAAGTTCCGCCCGCTGTGAAACTTTCTTGTTTCCATAGCAACAACAACTTCCTGTCAACAGCGTGAACTCGCCTTCAAAATAAAAGCATGCCAAATTACACTTAAGACATACAACTGCAACGAAAGTAACAAACACAATGCAATATCATTTTCAATGTCAAAGAACACAAATTGGGTTTACAGGTGTTGTTTTGTGTGGTAGAGGGTCGCTGTCATTGATGCGTTTTGCACCCTGGGCCGTTGTTTTGATATTCCGCTGAAGTATACGCTGTGACGTAATAACTCTTTTTTTTTCTTTTTTTCGAGGGAATTGGTGGGGGTCAGAGGGCCTAGGTATAAAGCTCACGGCTCGCCACTGTGTCTTACAGTACAAAGCCTACAAAATCTAAAAAGGAGTTCCAGGGACACATTACCCTTTTGTCTTCAATGACGTCATGGGCCTTGAGAAGGATGAAGGAGTTTGTGTGGAAGACAGGAAACTGGCCATGAAGGGACACGTGAAGGATGGTTTCAAGGTACAACTGAATTCTTTAACTGAACTTGATTTCTCTTGCAAAAAAATTTGAGCAACACAATCCCTCATTGTGGTCATTTTCTACTATCAATATTATGGATGGAATGTATGAAATGTAAACTATGGAAAACTAACGAGGCTCTATTAGAAACTATTGGATTTGTGCATGCAAATGTCATTTTTTGATATAAGTTAACATTGTTTTCCAGTTCAATCCTCGCTCTTCCTTGTCTGAGAATAACCAATACTACAACAGAGACCCCTCTCTAAATGACAGAGTTCATGTTCTGGTTTGCATCATCCCTGGCAGCATAGCAGTAATGCAGGCTGATTTTGTGAGAAAGTTGAGGGAAGTCAGACTTGCAGCCAGGGACATGGGTAAGGGTTAGGCTTTTACAATAATACATACAATTATAAATGATTAATTATAATTATAAATAATATATTAAGATACATAACATATATAACATTTAAATAACCTGACCAACATGATTTTAACTGATTTTGATTCTGCTCTGTATTGGCAGGGATTCCTGAAATTGCTATTCTCACCAAAATTGATGAAACCTGTCCAGAGGTCGGAAAGGATATACAGAACGTGTATAAGAGCAAGTACCTGAAGAACAAGGTTAGTTTCAATCTGTAATTCAGTTTGTAGAGAGTTGTAATTAAGGTTGGAATATCATTTTGTTTTACTCTGTAATATTGTAACAGCAAAATCTCCTTGGATCATCACTTTTATTTCTTAAATGAAGATCACAGCAGTAGTACGCTTTTTCTAGTATATACTGTAAACTCAAAAGCACGTACTGTGTTAAAATATGTTACATAATTATAATAATAACTACTTTACTATACATGATGAATGTTGTGAAATAATTTATCTAAAATGTTGTATTGATAATGTTTTACAACAATTTCTTGTTGAAGCCATGGGAAACAACCAATCTAATTCCCCCCCCCCATATTCTCCAAGACTTAAGTAACTCCAAATGTTTCAAAACATTGCCTAATAGATTAAATCAATCAAAATGGGACTAATGTTTTACTGCAAATGTTCACTTTACTTTTCAGTTCTGCCTCACGAATGGAGGAACGTTCCTTGGGGGTGAGTTCATTTTTCAGTGTAAGGTGTCTCTGGTGTTTAGTGACTTTTATTCAAATAACACTTTTTAAAAGCACAACAATGAACCTGCACACTCCTTTGTTGAGACTCGCCTTTGTTATGTGATTTTTTCTATTAGTTGTCACTTTTTAGAAACATAATGTTTTTATTTTCTTGGGTCTCAGTGACACCATTATGCAAAACTGATAATAATTTGATCTAAACTAAAGTCTCATGTTTTTCCATTGAACAGAAACAAAGTGAGAGAGTTGCAGATTGTGAAGGAATACCAGCCTTTTAAAGACAAGGTCCAGCTCAGATTTATGCTTTATGGACCTGTTGGTGCTGGCAAGTCCAGCTTCATCAACTCTGTGGAAAGTGTCTTACGAGGGGAAATATGTAATCGTGCTGGCGTAGATGCTATGGTTCGCGAGAGCTTCACCACAAGCGTAAGAATATCTTTTCAGTGTTATCATGAATGTCTTACATTGTAACACTTGCAACTTAACACCTCTTTTACCTATTATTGTATTTAACTTTACTTTTAAGCAGGAGACAAACTTCTACGGTGGCCCTGAAAGTCAAAACATAAAAACATTTGTGACCCGCTCTATCGAAATCAGTCGGATGTTGCAACGGCTCATTTCAAAATAAACGTGGATTTGCGGAAAAAACAATTTTTTCGGGGTTCGGGTGTTTTGTTTGATTTTAAATAAACAAAGTCTTGGCTTTCAGAATATGAAACTTTTATTTCCAAAATCACACGATAAATACATTTGTGAAGCTTGTAAAGGGAAGATGACAGGCACCTCTCAATCGCAATCTGCTGTTCCGTAGCGCAGCTCCCCCTTCCTCCAGCTGAAATTATGAATGTAAGGCATAAGTAATCATAGATAACACGGCAGGGTCCGTTACAGTTTGTTTTCATCTGATTTCAATTAAACAAAGTCTTGGCTTTCAGAATATTAAACTTGTTTCGGCAAATTTAGATGATAAATACAACTATGAAGCTTGTAACGGCATATTTACAAGCGGAGAACGGAGTCATTTAACGTCACAGCAAGCCTAACAACAGCCGGTGTTTCTCGTGAGTGTTTTCCCCGGGAAACAAACACAATATACACAAACGCAAAAATACACAAACACACACACACACATACACTCACACACTCGCGAGCTTCCCCCAGACCAGTAATCCAAACGGAAATATTTTCCCTCCGGACTATTTTGATCATTTGCTCCGCTAATAATCAATCAGATCGATGGATTCCAGAGAAGAGGAAACTTTGAAGGCCTTTTTCTCAAAATGATGACTCGGTAACAGTCATTATATAATGTGACATATTTTGCTTAATATTTGGAGTACAACAAAAATCTTGATATCATTAGAAAGCTAGGAATCTCCTCTTTCCAACAGTGTATACAACTCAAAATGTGTCTTCGGGTCAATGCGACTGATTTCGATAGAGCAGGTCACATTTACACAATGACAATTAATAAACATGAAGAATTTCTTTCTCTGGCTCAGTGGTTAGAGCTGGTGCCCCATGCTCTGAGGCTCAGTCCCTGCTGAGGAAGATGCAAGTTTGAATCTGGCTTGTGGTCTTTTAACACGTCATCCCCTCTTTCTCCCCGTTTCAACACCTGCATTCTCAGATAAAAAGCTAATTTGGCCAAACTGAAATATTTAAACATCACAATGTTGAGCTTTGTAAAACATTTTGTATTTTTTTTGTATTGCTCGTTTGTATTTTTTAAATGTTGATGTGTCTCGTCATTTTTATTTTAATGTTGTTGTATTTTTCAAAATTCCTTAATGTTTTGTTAAATGATGTTATGTGAACTACTAGACTACTGATGTTATGTTCTGACGTCTAGGGCAACCTAACTAGCATTTTTTATGTCTTACAGTACAAAGCCTACAAAATCCAAAAAGGAGGACCAGGGACACATTACCCTTTTGTCTTCAATGACATCATGGGCCTTGAGAAGGATGCAAGTAAAGGAGTTCGTGTGGAAGACATCAAACTGGCCATGAAGGGACACGTGAAGGATGGTTACAATGTACAACTGAATTCTTTAAACTTGATTCCTCTTGCAAAAAATTTGAGTAACACAATCCCTCATTGTGGTCATTTTCTACTTTCAATAATATGGATGGAATGTATGAAATCTGAAATATGAAGAGGCTCCATGAGAAACTATTGTATTTATACCTAAAAATTACATTTTTTAATATAAATTTACCTTGTTTTCCAGTTAAATCCTATCTCTACCTTGTCTGAGAATAACCACGACTACAACAGAGACCCCTCTCTAAAGGACAGAGTTCATGTTCTGGTTTGCATCATCCCTGGCAACATAGCAGAAATGCAGGATGATGATTCTGTGAAAAAGTTGAGGGAAGTCAGACTTGCAGCCAGGGTCATGGGTAAGGGTTAGGCTTTTACAATAATACATACAATTATAAATGATGTATTATACTTTTAAATAATTTACATTATGATACATACCATATGTAATATTAAAATAACCGGACCAACATTATTTTAACTGATTTTGATTCTGCTTTTTCTTGGCAGCGATTCCTGAAATTGCTATTCTCACCAAAATTGATGACATCTGTCCAGAGGTTGGATAGGATATACAGAACGTGTATAAGAGCAAGTACCTGAAGAAAAAGGTAAGTTTATATCTGTAATTCAGTTTGTTTCTATTCAAGTTGGAATATCATTTTGTTTTGCACTGTAATATTGTAACCGCAAAATCTCCTTGGATCAGCACTTTCATTTCTTAAATGTCAAATTCTTAAATGTAGATTGAGGAGGTGAGTGGCATGCTGGGTTTCCCTCCAAGCTGCATCTTTCCTGTGAAGAACTACCACTCAGAGATCGAGACAAGTGATAACACTGATACACTGATACTGAGCGCACTGAGACGGATGATTAAATGTGGAGAAGACTTTGTCAACGACCTGTAAAACTACATTCTGCTGAGGCAGGTCTTTTTTTATAACACTATGTAAAAAGGTCCTGGGAACAAGAATGATAATTACATGAAGTGGGTAATTTAGCTTTTAGCTTTTCATTTGCAGCCTGTAATGCACCATATATATACTATAATAAATGATGGTATCTCTACCATAATGAGTAAATATGAAAAGGCTTTATTTTTTCTTTATGATGTTGTTAGTTTAGTTTTTTTGACTCAAGTGGTAATTTATCCGGCCATCTCCAACTAATCGATAATCTGAATATTAGCAGGTCAAAAGACATAATATTTTTCTAAAGTAAAGCTTTACGTTTAGACTTGTGATTACATAAACTGTACCAGTCACTGATTAAAATATATTTTCCTATTCAATGTTGAAAGAGATTTATGTTTAACATTTTACTACATGGTTCAGATAGAAACACAGTACATCGCAAAAATATTGGAATTAGCTATTTGTCTTCCACACATTACTTTCAAGTAGGTCATTTCACAGCTGTCCACCAGAGAGCGCAATTTGAGAGCAATTTGAGTTGTGTGTCAATGAGGATGCAGATCGAAGCTCCATAAAGGGTCAGATTACAAGGGTCCGATTTGAGTCTTGGGTGCTACAAAATAATAACTTATGAAACCAAAGTATTTCACTAAACAAATGTGAAACGCTTTGTAATGCATTTTAAAGTCTGTAACTCCTTTAAAAAATCTATAAAATAAATAATATATAATCTCTTAGCCCTAACACTAACCATATAGTATATACAAGTGTGAATATAACATATAATTAAAACTACATTTAAGTAAATTAAAGGAGGAAGGCCTTAAACAAGAAGAGACAATCTAACATATTATAGAAAATGAGGACTGTGATATCCACCACTTGCTTTTTTTGTTATAGAAAGGATGATGAGGTTTTGATAGAAAAAATATGGAAGTGTGTCAATACTCTCCTTTTACTGGACCCCTACTGTAACTCTAATCCTCTAATAACTCCTAATATTAACAGTCTCTGTATTGATTTCTAATCTACTGTTCCCAGACCTGCTCTTATAAGTGAAACACTGAGCGGTAAAACACCACAGCAACATGGCAGTCTCTGCTCATGTCACTGCTTAGAGAGAGCGAGGGCTTCATACGTAAGACAATAGAGTGGCGAAGGCACCATGGGACCTTATTTCGGAAAAATAATGTATTGAAGTCAATGGAGAGAGAAAACTTATCTTTCGATCCCGTTTGAATTGTGCCATGAATTACACATATGATGTTTGTCAATCTTAAAAAAGAATTTCCATGTCAAAAAAGTCACAGTTTGTCGTAAAACTGTTGAAATATAAGACTATGAAAAATACGCAACTAGAAAGACTACAAATCCCAGAGTCCTGTAAGTGATGTCACAATAGCTAAGATCAGCGCCATATAGATATAATCTATCTATATGGCGCTGGCTAAGATAAGATAACTTTAACAAGATGCCTGTGTGCTTAGTACCAGGTTGTTATCATACCAGCAATGGGTCTTGCTCATTCTTTCGCTTCCCGTCTGATGAAAGGACTAGGAGTGTCTGGATCAAGCTAGCTAGTAGCTAGCACGTTAGTTAGCATTACAGCCGTGTCATTTTTATTAGCCTTAACATGAAGTAACATGAAGTAACCCAACATGTTAAACAGTATAGTAGTAGTCATATTTCGTGAACCCTTTGAATAGTACTGTCACCGGTGTGATCATTCTATAATACACAATTCAAGCCCGGGGGAGAAATGCTAACGCTAACGCTAGCGATCTTCTCTACTTCATGCTATCTGCACAAATGGTTGACATTAAACATTAAAACGACCAGGCAGTTCAGAGAGAATCGAAGGCAGGCAGGCAGCTTTGCATGACATTCTTCAGGACGTGTTTCATTGTGGTGATAGTGAGGGTAGTCAATTGTTTTGTTGACAGTAGTGACGGCCATCTTGGTGACGTGTGTTGTTCTGTGAGACCAGCGATGTAGTTCATTGAGCGTTTCACACAAACAAATGTGCTACTTCACAGTTTTACGACACATTTTTTTTTTTTTTGACTTGCAAAATTATCTTTTAAATTGACAAACATCATATGTGACCCGCTCTATCGAAATCAGTCGGAAGTCGCAACGGCTCATTTCAAAATAAACGTGGATTTGCGTAAAAAAATATTTTTCGGGTGTTTTGTTTGATTTTAAATAAACAAAGTCTTGGCTTTCAGAATATGAAACTTTTATTTCCAAAATCACACGATAAATACATTTGTGAAGCTTGTGAAGGGAAGATGACAGGCACCTCTCGCTCACAATCTGCTGTTCCGTAGCGCAGCTCCCCCTCCCTCCGGCTGAAATTATGAATGTAAGGCATATAGTAATCATAGATAACACGGCAGGGTCCATTACAGTTTGTTTTCATCTGATTTCAATTAAACAAAGTCTTGGCTTTCAGAATATTAAACTTGTTTCGGCAAATTTAGATGATAAATACAACTATGAAGCTTGTAACGGCATATTTACAAGCGGAGAACGGAGTAATTTAACGTCACAGCAAGCATAACAACAGCCGGTGTTTCTCGTGAGTGTTTTCCCCGGGAAACAAACACAATATACACAAACGCAAAAATACACAAACACACACACACACATACACACACACGCTCGCGAGCTTCCCCCAGACCAGTAATCCAAACGGAAATATTTTCCCTCCGGACTATTTTGATCATTTGCTCCGCTAATAATCAATCAGATCGATGGATTCCAGAGAAGAGGAAACTTTGAAGGCCTTTTTCTCCAAATGATGACTCGGTGATAGTCATTATATAATGTGACATATTTTGCTTAATATTTGGAGTACAAAAACAATCTTGATATCATTAGAAAGCTAGGAATCTCCTCTTTTCAACAGTGTATACAACTCAAAATGTGTCTTCGGGTCAATGCGACTGATTTCGATAGAGCAGGTCACATATGTGTAATTCGTGGCACAATTCAAACGGGATCGAAAGATTATCTTTCTCTCTCCATTGACTTCAATACATAATTTTTCCGAAATAAGGTCCCATGGAGGTCCACCGGAAGGGGAGGGACTTCGCCACTCTATAGGAAGAACACTGTTAAAGCATCAACCAATCAATAACACAGAGACCACAGCCTGTTCCTCTCAGAGGGGATGCAGAGTTGGATGGTGCATGGGTCGAGGACCACATGCAATCACTTGACCCTCTATCTATCTGCAGGAATACTGGTGACATGTTTTGATAAGTCATTGGGTGTGGCTGTGCTAGGCGATAGAGAGAATATATGCAACAGCAGAGTTCAGATAGGCATTGAGCTTCATAGTACTGCAGCAGGTACTGCCACTCTGCTCTCGGAGAAACAAAAATAGCAATCTGCCCGAAAATAGTCACATCAGCATCTATATAGAATTATTTTGGATCCATTGCTAATCCAAAACTGCTAAAACTTTTGAACTGGGGCAATCTGGAGGGTTTTTCTCGCTTATTTTCAACAGGAAGTGTTCATATCCGTTCAATGTGTGCACACCCATCCTGCATCAGATTAAAAAAAATTCAAAAGACAAGAAAAAAAAACTGAAAGGATGTTAAAACATTTATAGCTGCAGGTCCTCACACAAAACATTACAATGTAAATAACACTGAGCAGGATTCAACAACTTACATGTTAAGGTAACTATGTCTCTACATTCACAAGTTTAGGAATGTCAACTTGTGATTATGAACAACTTTTCACTGCTTTTTATTTTCCCCCAAGAAACTGTGGTCAAATGATATTGCCAAAGTAGTGAAAAGGAAACTTAAAAAAATAAATAAAGTGTAATATAGTCATTTGTGAATCACTAAAGATCAATCAGCTTTACCTCAGGAGCTCAGTAAACATAACATTGTACATTGATAAAGGCAATTCCTTTAAGTCACATGTGTGCTATAACCGGGAAATAAAGTGAAAGTGAGCAACTGTTATTATATAAAACAGACTTTCCTGTCGAGTTGAAAGGCACTTGGGTTAGAGGCACAAAACTGAAGGTGAGGATTTTCTATTATTTCCCAATTCAGTATATTCTTGTTATGCTATCATCATTTTGATTATAGTTATCCTTTTTGTGCAGTACAGTTATAGAGATAATTACTGTAAGTATGTTAACATTAGTTTTTATTTCAAACCTTTAATGCTTTGTAGAGCTGCACTTAGAAAAAAGGGAAATATATATAAACCTATATTTGTCTAGCTCTGGGTGTTTATTTGGTTTGATTGAATGTCTTTATAACTTGTACAAAAACTGAATTTGCCAAAAAGCTGCTTCTTTGTAGTGAGCAAGATTAAATTAAATATATTGTGAAGTATATCATTCTCTGGATAAATACAAAATAAGTCATTTTACCAGAGATTGCTGCTTAGTGATTCACTTAGATGTTCGGGTCTTGGTTTGAATATAGCCTGATCATAAGGGATAGAATGCATTATAGGGTATTTGTTCTTGACTGCACTCAAAGAGAAGAGCATTTATGCTGCGTTCACACCGGACGCGATGCGATGTTTGGGGGCGGCGCGATTACATGTAAAGTCAATGCAGAGACGCGGACAGACGTGTAGGCTGTAGGCCGTTGATATGAGTGTGGAATGAGCATATTAGCCTGGTCGACCCGATCTTCATTCAGAAAACAAGCATTTTAAAAGGTTTTTCGCCTGCCGTCTTGTCTGCAGACTTGTCAAGCATTAATTCATGGTTTTTACTAACCGGTATCAGTATGCTGTTACTTCGGCATCATTTAGAAACGTGTATTACAATTTAATCACGGTAAAATATGTTCATGTTGTTGTAGTTGTAGCTCCCGAGCCAGCGCGTCTTGTTTGAATGATGCGAGTAAACACAGCTGTCAGCCGCGGTGAAACTCGAGCGTTTAGAGCGATGCGATAGGAGCGATTAGAGCGAAGCGAATATTCGCATCGCGTCCGGTGTGAACGCAGCATTACACTCTCCTTTATTCTTTAAATAAAAGAAAGGGGATAAGTTACATAATTTATTTGACCTTCAATGTCTGTTAGACATATTGGTGCAGTAAACATAAACAGACTTACACAGTTGCACTGAAATTGTAGATAAACTAAATATTTCAAGTCTATTTTAAAACGACTTATTTAAAAGGTTTAAGATAACACTACCCAGCTAGCGGGGAACGTTCTCACAACTTTGGCTAACGTTACCTATTGGTTCTAATAAGGTTTTAAAGAAACGTTTTAATCTGATGTTCAAAGAACCTTTTTAGGATGTTTATTTTTTCAAATAATGTTCCTATAAGGTTTAAGGTTAACTAAGACATAACGTTTTAACTGCAACATTCAGAGGATGTTTTGAGGATGTTATTAAGGCCTGAGATGACAACGTTTTTTTATAAAACGTTCCTTTAATGTGATATGTTAACAAAGGTGGAACGTTTTGCCTGCAATATTCTAAGGATGTGTTTTGGACGTTGTTGGGGTAACACATTAAAGATGTTCTTTATAAAACATTCCCTCAATGTTACATGATAACCAAAGAAGAACATTTTGAAAGCAACATTTGGATAAGGTTTTCAGGAGGTTATTCTTTTTTTTTAAAACGTTCCTGTGTTGCGAAATATTAACACGGTCATGGTCAACGTCAGATTTATTTGTAGTGCGCTTTAAAATACAAACTTGTTGCATTTGTTTGAAAAGGATGTTTAAAAAAAATCTGATGTCACCACATTTTCCTTTTTAAAAAGCATGTAATTCATGATATTGCATGTTTGCGTAGGCATGTCTGAGTTCCCAGCTAGATATTGTTGGTTCTAAAAACATTCTGAGAATGTTACCATTCATTGTTCTAGGAATGGTTTCATTGAGAAGTTTTATTTTGGTTCCTAGAATGTACTTCTGAAAGGTAGGATAACATTCTCTAAAAACATTCTTAAAATGTTTGGTGATAATATTGTTCGAACAAGGACCAGCGGATGGGGCGGCATCCGTGAAAAGCCTCATTGAGTCTGAGGAGTGCACTATGTCGTTGTAGAAAAAAGTGACACCGTTCCATTGGTCGAGCAGGAGGGACCAGAAGCGTAGGTCTGAGCGGCATCCTTTGTCTAAGGGAACATGATCGTGGAGGTTTTTAACAGCTGATGCTGCGTCCAGGAGGCGGGAGATGAATGAGCGTCCCTGTGGGATGACACGCATGGCGAAATCAAGGTGCCCGAGGAGGGAGAGCAGCTGCTGTTTAGTAATGATGTGTTGTGCACAGTAGGACTTAGTGATGTCGCGTATGCGCTGCAGTTTGTCATTTGGGAGAGACGCTTTCATCTCTATGGAGTTGAGAGTGATGCCCAGAAACTCCAAACTTGTGTCGGGGCCTATGGTTTTCTCCTTGGATAGGGGGACGCCTAGCTCTTGGAAACAGAGTTTCAGTTTAAGCAGTGAAGCGCCTGAGTTGTCCCATGGGGGATCTATGAGGAGAAAATCATCCAGCAGGTGAAGAACGGATGGGATTCTAACAACGTTCAGCAGGATCCAACAAAGAGCCTTGGAGAAGGAATTGAAAATGCATGGGCTACTTCTGCACCCGAAAGTGAGGCGGACGGCGAAGTAGAGCTTGGACTCCCACCTGATGCCGAACATGTTCCACTGGGACGGATGAATGGGAATGATTTTGAAGGCATCGGTGATGTCTGCTTTGGAGAGCCAGGCTCCTTGGCCGGCGAATTTAATTAACTTAATAGCGTTGTCGACCGAGGCGTAGTGAAGGGAGAATGGCTGCGCCATGGGACGGCCGCCGCGCCTGGGGCACACAGACCTCGGGTGCGAGTCCTTGCAGAAACTGCAGAAGTGGAGAAAAGTACAGGCTGAGTAAGTGCAGACATTTTCATTGAAATTATTGCAGATCTGCATCTCACGCCAGCGCTGCACCTGACGGCCTTGTCTGTCATTTGGGGCTTGGAACGCAGAAGGGGCTTTGAAGGCAGAGAGAGGCACTGAAGGGCAGAAAGGGGAGAGGTGGCCCGGGGTCCCGCAGCTGTTGCATGAGATGACTTGGTGGCCGCCTGTAGACAACACGAGCAGCTCGGTGTCCAGCATGGACCAGTCCAGACGAATGTTTGAGTGAGCTATGTGAAGGGCGGCTTTGCTTGAAAAGCTCTTGTGATAAGCGTAGAACACACTTTTCCCGTATTTGAGATTAAGATCGCCGATCAGACCCAGATAAGCGTCTAGTTCTTGCCTCCTTCCCGGGTAGACTGAGCATATTACATCACGATATATGCCGAATGCAACCAGGAACTGGCCTATGGAAAGGTCTCTGTTGAGACGGGGGTCTGATGTTTTGAAAACTGCTGTGATGTTTCCCCCGGTGGCGATGGATTTGTCACACTCAGGGGAAGGTAGGATAAGGCTGACCAGGTTAATATCCTGCCCTTGAAGTATTTTTGCCCTGAGCCGGGGGGAAATATTAGCAGCTTGGGGGATGTAAGGCCTACCTGAAGGAGGGGGTGGGATGGCAGAAGCCAGAGAATGAGGGGAGACATCGGTGTGTGGGACTGAAAGGGCCTGACCCGGCGTGAGCACTGGCTGCGCCATGGCAGAAAGTACGGCCCTGGTGGTTGCTGAAGTGGAGGCTTCGGCTGAAACCCTTTCCAGGGACTGGAGGCGAGTGTCGAGTCTCTGCATGGAATCGGCCAGGGATTGTAGGGTGTTGGCCAAGCTGTTATCCATGTAGGGCTGGTTGAAGGTGCTTACGGGCTGGTCAGCGATGGGGCGAGGCTGGGAAGGAGTTGTCTTCTTTGAGGGAGGAGCTGCTGGAGGGCTCGACTTCCTTGTTCTTTTACCCCTGCGCCCGCGCCCGCGCCCGCGCCCGCGCCCGCGCCCGCGCCCGCGCCCTGGTCTGTCAGAGAGGCCGGCTGGAGCTGCTGGCATGGGCTGGGGAGCGACGAGTGGGACTTGGTCCGAGAGCTCGCGAAGCTGGGAGAGAGGGAGACCTGGGGCTGGTACGATGCCCTGCTGCTGTAGTTGAGAGGTGAGGAGCTCTGCCTCTGCTGTCCGTGAGGCTGCGCCGCTGTGGGCAAGCAAGCGAATGCTCGTGCGCTGTTAGCTTGAGGAAGTAGAAGCTGTGTCAGCCAGCACGTTGGGGCCAGGATCGGGATCGTCCTGAAAGGGATCGTTCTCAGAGAAGTCCGAACTGGACATGTTAAGTTTACTTTTTAGAAGCGCTTTACTTAGAAGGTTTGTTTGCGACTACCAACTACGTAGAGTCACCTGAAATGACAGCTGTCAAAGGGGGAAGAGCAGACTTAAAAGGTTTGACAGAGCGCTATGATAGGCTCTTGGGAATAGAGCGAAGTGATTGGTTAAGCTGAAGAGTGACGCCCCCGGTCACTTATTGAGAGGAGAGAGAGTAGTAACATGGGAATAGAAGTACGTGAATGAGTAAAGACGGTCTTCCTGGTTGAACTTGCGCTGAGCTTCATTTAGTGTTTGTATGTGTTTGTTTCTACTGTGTGTACTACTCTCTCCCCCCACCTGCCTGCTGGTCTGCTCTACACGGCTGGGAGCAATCTCCAATCAACCACACCTGCAAGCTGCTCATCAGCCACACTATGAAAGCCTGCAGCCTGCACTCATTCCCTTCCGGATTGTTGCCGTGAAAGGTTTGTTGCGTGCCGCTCTAGCTTTTTGCCAGCATATTCTTTGACAACTTTGCCTGCTTTTGCCTCACACTCATTTGTATGTCTCTCCCAGGAGGAATCCAAGGCCTTCCACACTCCCAAGACCAGCCAGGCCTCTCCACCCTGGAACAACTGTTTCCCACTGCTGCCATAACCAACCTCCACTCCCAGCTCCCCTTTTCTAATAAACAAATGTTACTTTCACCAGCTGATTCAGAGTCATCCTTTTACATGTGTTAGTCACATTCCAATAGTTAAGTAAACTATCAAAATCATCCTAATGACCACAGTGGTCAGTCCACTTACCCAGGAATTTTGAGTTGAACAATTACAGGAATATTATGTCTTTGTTATAATGTAAACATATTTTAGTAAATTGTTACCACAGAACATTTGCATAATGTTTTAAACATAAAGCATGTTATCCTTCTCTAAACTAATAACATTCTGGCAACATAAACAAATCTAACTTGCAGCTGAAAACGTTTTAAGAACAGTAGGGCATAATGTTCTAACAATGTTATCAAAAACATTTTAAGAATGTTTTTAGAGACCGTTATCCTACCTTTCAGAAGAACATTCTGGGAATCAAAATAAAAGCTTCTGCTGAAAACGTTTTAAGAATAGTAGGGCATAATGTTCTAACAATGTTATCAAAAACATTTTAGGAAGGTTATCACCAAACATTTTAAGAATGTTTTTAGAGAACGTTATCCTACCTTTCAGAAGAACGTTCTGGGAACCAAAAGAAAACTTCCCGCTGAAAACATTCCTAGAACAATGAATGTAACATTCTCAGAATGTTTTTAGAACAAAATAATTCAAGCGGGGAATGCCTCTACTTAAATGTCTTTAGAAATGTCCCTCTAATCACAAATGCTACAAACTCACTCAGATTCATTCCAATTTCATACATTTTCTTTAAGTAGATTTAGAATAAGCAATTTGGAGAAAGATATTATATAACAACTTGTTTTTGTTCAGAAAATGACATCACCTTACTGTAATGCAGCCACAATAACACTGATGCCATATCACAATATTGGGATATGAGATTATACCACTTGGCAATACCATGATATTCTGTGGCAATGAAATATCTTAACTCTCCACTAACACTTTTCCTCCTAAAATATAACTTAATTGACAAGATACATTCCATCAATTATGTTTAGTCTGTAATATTACTTCAATAACATTTCAAACAGTTACATATCTTAATAAAAAACATTGTAATTTAATTTTGATTTATTGCTACATATAAATTATTTGTATTTTTTCCATACTGCTGCTGCCGCTCGAGGTTAAGAGTAATACTACAGCACATAACACAGAATGACTCAGTGCAATGCAGGAAAATAGAACAGGGTCTGTTGAGAAACATCCGTAGCTGCAGCCCTGCAAGCCCGCCCCTCCCTTCTCCCCTGATTCTTTTAAATCACGTGATCTAAAGGAAACTGTAGATACCACCAAACCAGAATCAAACAGCTATACTGGACACACTTCACATTCAAACCATGTTTTTGTATTTCAATAGTATTCTGAGGTAAACTCATGAGAAAGTGTGTTTAAGTTCTAAAGTCACATTCAGATTCAATTTAAAAATGGGTGTAGAGGTCTGCCGTTGGATCTGACACAGACTAAATGCATTCAGTCATTCAGTTGTGACTATTGTCATTTGTGAATGACTAAAGAGAAATCAACTTTACTTTATGAGGTCAGCAAACATTAAGTTGTACATCTATAAAGGCAATTCCTTTAAGCCACATGGTGTGCTATAACTGAACATGAAAGTGAAAGTGAGTAGCTGTTATCATATAAAAGAGACTTTCCTTTTGAGTTGAGAGGCACTTGGGTGAGACATACAGTAACTGAAGGTGAGGATTTCTATCACTTCCCAATTCTTGTTATGCTATCATCATTTTGATTATAGTTATCCTTTTTGTGTAGTACAGTTATAGAGATAGTTACTGTTTGTATGTTAACATTAGTTTTTATCTCAAACCTTTAATGCTTTGTAGAGCTGCACTTAGAAAAAAAAAGTATATAAACCTATATTTTTCTAGCTCTGGGTGTTTATTTCGTTTGATTTAATCTGTTTATAACCTGTACAAAAACAGAATTGGCCAAAACGCTGCTTGTTTGTAGTGAGCAAGATTAAATGAAACATAATTCTCTGGATAAATAAAAGAAAGGGGATAAGTGAAATAATGTATTTGACCTTAAATGTCTGTTAGAAATAAGGTGCAGTAAACATAACTAGACTTACACAGTTTCACTGAAATTGTAGATAAACTAAATATTTCAAGTCTATTTTAAAACTCCATAGACTTATTTAAAGGGTTTAAGATAACACTAAACTGTCCTTAGCAAGGCAGAATTTCGCTTGTTGAAGTATATAGTCAGGGGTGCACATAACTGGTACGCAGGTACGCATGCGCGGCAACAATCTGAAATGCGTAACGTCACTTGTGTCACAACGCGCCTTTGCGTACCTGATAGGTCATCAAAACAAAAACACATATTTCGTCTATACGCAGGGGTGCACATAACTTTTTTAGTGAGTTACTCAGATGAGTACCAGGAGACAGCGTTTGGTACTCACCCCACATGAAGCGTGGTTTTAATAAGTGCAGTCTTCCTCACTGTCCTCCTCAGTGTCTCCTTCACTGTCCTCTATTTACACTTATTGCATGCTAGATGATGAAGATGCACCTCCCTGTCTCTTTTTAAGCCTCCGATTTGCTTTCTCCAAAACTTGTTGCCAAAACTGTGAAGTCCTTGCATTTCCTGAGGCCAAGTTGAAGGATCAAATACTAAGAAATTATCACATGACTTGTAGTTATATCTGATTTCAGAGGAGGGAAGTAACAAAGTACATTTATTCAAGTACTGTACTTAGGTACAATTTATGCTACTTTGTACTTCTACTCCACTACAGTTCAGAGGTAAATCATGTACTTTTCCTCCACTACATGTATTTAATACATTTTAGTTACTTCACAGATCTGGATGAATGATGTGAAATATAATCAAGTCTTAAATCAGACTTTAGTTCCACCTGGAGTAAATTCACAAGCTACCCTGCAGTAGCCTATACAAAGTCATTCAAACTAATTTTTAAAGACTTTAATGATCAATAATTATAAAACATATCATATACATTATTATGAAATGGACCAATCTGCAAAATGACTACTTTTACTGTCGCTACTTTAACTAGGTGTTGATGATAATACTTTTCTAATTTTACTTGAGTAACACTTCATCCACCTAACCCTGTCTGATTTCAAACTCTTCCATTAACAGCCTGAGTAAGTTTGCAGGCAGCTGTGTGTTTTACTCCACTTTGTTGTAAATAAAACTGCAGCAGCTTGACCACAGAGCGTGAACGTTGTGATCAGCTGATTTTGCGCAGTTCTCCAGTGTGTGCGCGGGGCACAGAATGTGCACAGGGGAGTCTCCCACTGCAGCCAGTTGATGTAGTTTTGGTACAATTATGTTGTACACACCGACGTTAACAGCAGCCCCGTCTGTGCACACGGCGACCAACTCTGTCGTCCAGTGATCTAAGCCTCTTTCTCCTGTGAAGCTTCACAGGTCCGTCGGTTATGTCCTGCGCGGCACAGCCAGCACCCAGTTCAATCAGTCATAGAAAGTCCGAAGATTTTTGCAGGGAGCGAAACGGCAAAGTGGCTGCTTAATGTCTTTGTTTTTTTTGGACATGTCTAATAATTTACTCCACTGAGTGTTGACAAGAAACACGTATAGACGAAATATGTGTTTTTGTTTTGATGACCTATCAGGTACGCAAAGGCGCGTTGTGACACAAGTGACGTTACGCATTTCAGATTGTTGCCGCGCATGCGTACCTGCGTACCAGTTATGTGCACCCCTGGTAATGATTATTATTGTTTAACAACTAAGTACATTTTCTTTGCTATCTTCGAGTATGGTTATCATTTTAGTGTCGTACCAATTTTTATGTATGAATCGTTACTGTTATTGTTATTATTATTATAAATAAGTAATACACATATACATACACCCAAGACACTGTGGTCAAGTTCTATTGTCAAAGTAATGAAAAAGAAACTTGAAATATATTATTTTCTTCCATTTCAGAGTCATTACTTGGAGTAAACGTCACCACTTCTTTACACAGACACTTCAGCTGAGGTAATTTATTTTAACAATTTTTTTATACCGATATAATTGTTGTTTTTAAATATAGCCTGATTATAAGGGATAGAACAGGACACAGAAGGCATTACCGTATACAGATGGAGCCTCTTATTTTGGACTCCAGCATACAGCTTCCTGCCGACTGCCAGCCAGTTGCCAGCCAGTTGCCTGCCAAAGACCAGTATTCAGGAATGTTAGGCCCTCCCACTATTCTCCAATTTCAGGGTTTAACCAGGAGATGGCGCTATATATTAAATAACTAAGACTTAGTTTTTCACAATAGAAAATGCAGATATTATATAAAAAACTAAAGTTAAAATCTTGTTTTTAATGCCCCAAGAGCAATAACATCTTGTCACAAGCTTTTTGGAAGAAAAAGACTGACTCAAGAGACCTGTAGTTGACTAATTACAGGCCTCAATAAAGTTCTGCCATTGGTTGTGAAAAACAACGGTGGACATAGTGGAAAGTGAAATTGACATTGTCGAATTTAATAAAAATACAAAATAATGTATCTGTGTACGTGTTTTACTATGTGATCTGCACTTATCAAACATCTAATTAAGGCGAGACACCCCAGGTGAATAGGGTATTTTTAACTTAAAGATATCAGCTAAATATTTCTCCAGTTAATTACTTACAATAAGGCAATTGTTTTTTGTATTACAAGTTTTCTGAAATAGCATGTTTAAATATCCAAATGAACCATTATCTCATGAAATATGCGCATATTTTAACACATTTCAGGAACCGAAATCTGAACTTTGGATAAAGCCAGGATCAAAATTATTGTTTCATTTTGTAGTCATATTAGTATCTAAGGCTTTTACAGAAGGGATTTTGGATATCTCTTTGTATCACTCCATAAATCAGAAAATACTGTCAACAGCCCTAAAATATCAATTTTCACCATGTTTTTAGGTATAAAATGTTATATAATTCAGGCTATGAATTATATATGACCAAACCCTTCTGTAAAAGCCTTCATAATATTGATAGGAATATAACTGGAAGGTTTGGTGTATGTAACTGCTGAGTGATTCTACAATTTAGGGTACATTCCATGTCCATTGATGTCCATTGATGATAATTATAATTATTCTAACTATTTTCTTCAAAAATATCATATTTTGCCTATTATTGGAAAGCATGTTATAATATCACACAAACATTATGTGCATCCTATGCTTTATTTAGCTTGAAATGTGTCATGATGTTCTTAAATTGTCAGTTTTTGCTATGTCCGTTTTTCAGTTGAGGGTGTCTTGGATTCAAAATAATGAATAAAAACCATTAAAGTAAATTTAAAAAATGATTCATTTATTTCAAAAGTCTAAATACTAAAGAATAATAACATATTTTTAATTGATTTCCCCCTTTAAATAATTTAAATATCTTAATATATGAATGTCCGCAAAAGTTCTGTCAACTATGTTTCTAACAGAACTTCCCCCTTTAACTCAAAAATTGTTTGTCCCAATACCATGTCACCAGCATCACATGATGCCATGTTCCTCTTTGGCAGACATTTTGAACACACTGTGGTGATTGTCCTCTACATTTTTACAATATTTTATGTATAATAGCACATGGTCAATTAATATACTCATTGACAATCAACAATGTTACGTACATTGTTATGGTTTACAATTGTTTAATGATTTTAATTCAATTATATGTGCAAATGTGATGTTAACCTGTTCAAGAAAATGACATGTGGTCATCCAGGCAAGGCCTACCATTGAAATGATGGGTCAAAATAGGGAAATTGTCAACTAGGTTACCTGTCAACTGAGTTACCCAGTACTGTAATAACTGTAGTAACTTAGTTGACAGGTAACCTAGTTGACAATTTGTACGACATGTAGACGTCATTACACATCATTATCAATGGAATTTTGCACTTCTGCCTTGAAATTAACATAGTGCTGATGGTTAATAATGTGTCCAGTCAACTATGTTATTTGCGTCAAATGTTTGACTTTCATTGTCAACTATGTTGCACCTCATTTTTTCAAATTTAAAATATCTAAAATAGTGCTTCTGATATCCTTTATAGTATAATGTATATCTACACAGGTTGGAGTTTTACATGACATCTCTTAAAACTATCAAAATGACCTGTATGGTAGTTTTATAATACAAAATATCCCTAAACTTAATGACAGTGCTGAACATATCACATGAAAAAACAAAACTTTAATACAATTATTTTTTAAACTTTAAAAAATCTTTGGATATATGGTAGAATAGACTCAAGAGCCTTTCAAATTTGATTTTACTTGAAGTGCAGGACTTAATCAAATGATTGTAATGACATCAAGTTTGTCCGTAACATAGTTGACAAACTGAGTAGTGAAAACATCCTTTCCCTTAAAATAAAAAAATATATAAAAATGTTTAAGCTTTGCAACTAGTGGATATGTTACACTGAGGAATATACTAACTTGAACCACTGATTGTTCTATCTATACATTTTATTTGGCATTAGTAAATAATTATGCACATTTACAGATATTTTACATGATATGAGTGATAACACGTGTTATAAGGGCTATTTCGCACAATAGGTGTGCCTTGAGATTTTTACTTGTCCTTTGGTGTGCCTTGGGCACAAAAAGTTTGGGAACCACTGCTGTAGAGAAATGTAAACGTTCACCATCCCCCACCCGCCTACTGTATGTTGCTTTTTGACATGTAAATGAGTAACTACCCCCCTCTGAGTGAATACCTGTTGTACCTGTCCGGGGCTAAGCCCATAGGACGATGCTCTGATGTCATCACCCTCGCACATTGGTCATATGTTTACAAAAAACGATGTTAACACTTTCTCGTTCTTAATATATGCTATATTTAGGGTCGATATGTGTTGAATTTACTTTAAAATAGCAGATCACTGTGATTCACTTCTCCGCGGCTCCTCCGTGCAGAGAGGCCCCCCCCCGTTGACAATTCACGAGCGTCTAACTCTCTCCCCCCTGTGAAGAGATATCACAGGGGGGGGTTGGGACACACACATTCCGATGGCCAATTCGTTTTAAACAAAGAGTGGGGTGGGGGCTGGTGAACGGTATGGTCAATGTTTGTAAACACTGTGACATTTTGACTTTATTTGATCATTTCAGTTAAAAACTAACGCTCATATTTCATATTACTGTTTTGCCTGGCTGGACCTGTAATTTACAGGAAAGGAGTGCACGCTACTAAAGAGACACGCTACCATGGAAACCAAACAATGGTGTTGCTGTATTGAAGTCAGAGTGGAAACAGTCATATTTGGAGCGTTATGTTAGAATGAAACAGCGAGGTCGTGACTCACAAAAAAAAAGTGTTACTTCACTAACTGTAAGCTTGTCACTCAGAGTAACCTACAGTTAACTTAACTGTTGGAAAAGAAAGATCAGAGTTAGGAGTGTGAACACACAGCTGAGAGCTGCCGTTTCATTCTGACTGTTTAAAAAACGGTAACAACGGACTATTTTTCTTAGCGGATGCATGTAAATTTAAATCAATACATAGAACTATGTTTTAAATCAATAAAAATATTTTCTAAATCCATAAAAGCATTTTAATTAATATTGGGAGTCATGTCGTTACTTTGTTGAGAATGTGGCCATGTAATAAGCGGGATAATTTGCAGCGACTTGGTCATTATGGGGAAAAATAACACCCAGGGATCAAGATCCCTCCGCGACGCGGAGGGATCAGTAATTTTTAGTGAATTACTGAGTTTAGGCACGTTAATAACATTTTAATGAAGTTGAATACAGTATATTCATATTTGTCAGTGATTTCATGTCAATTCGGCGAACATAAACGATTAAATTAGGATTAAAAATCGAGAGCCGGCTGCTGTTCGTTACGGTAACCCAACTAGGACACTTGACACAGTGGCTTTTGGCAAAGCACACAAAGAAAACAAAAAAAACCGAGAGAGATGAGTTATTGTTATTACAACGTGACTTCACTATTATTTAACAACTATTTTTATTGGGTTCTTTTATTTGGGGTTAAGTACATTGTCAGAATAAGTGAGAAATGGATTTAACTTCTGTTAGACAGCTATCATACTGAATAAATATTTATGCAAAAATGTATGGCATTAATAATGTATATCTAATTACATTTAAAAATGTATGGCATTAATAATGTATATCTAATTACATTAACTGTGAATGTCTTTCATTTTATTTAAAATGAAATAAAATTACATAAAACATTTTCCATAAAAAAGTTGATTCAAGAACAAATCAGTACTTTTCTTATATGACTATTATTGCTAAATTTGAAAGGTCTTTACCAGCTTTGGAATTATATATATATATATATATATAGCACCTTCTGCCATCCCATCTCTACTGACATATGGATCTTAACAAAGATCCGCTATACATTAGTACCAGATATACTGTACACGGACATTTTAGTGAACCAGACCAGCTGTTTCCGCCGGGTCTTCGCTTCCCGGGCATCACGTTGTTTACAAGTGTGTTCAGATGCTAAATGACAAGTGCAAGTGACAATTGTTGTCGTCTTCTCTGTGAACGTTTTTTTCTCCGTTATTTTGCCATTTTCAGATTTAAATTTCGAGCGGAAAGCTAACCAGGAAGTAATAATTACTTAAGCGGAGAACGGAGAAAGTAAACGTTACAGCAGGCATAACAACAGCCGGTGTTTATTTTATTATAATATATATCATTTGTTTTAAAGCTCAATATATAGTTCTGTCCGTGACATATGGATCTTAACAAAGATCCGCTATACATTAGTACCAGATATACTGTACACGGACATTTTAGTGAACCAGACCAGCTGTTTCCGCCGGGTCTTCGCTTCCCGGGCATCACGTTGTTTACAAGTGTGTTCAGATGCTAAATAAAAGTTTAGCTTGTACTTTTGATACCCCGCCTCTCGGCACCACAACATCCAGTTTACTGTATTTCACATGAGCGATGTCGAACATTGAAAAGTCCTTATAAAATCTCTGTTATTAGATCAGTACTTTTCTTATATGACTATTATTGACTTGAACACTGAGAATGTATTTATTAACTTCAGACATTTGAAATATTTGAAATCAGATGAAAACAAACTGTAACGGACCCTGCCGTGTTATCTATGATTACTATGCCTTACTGTACATTCATAATTTCAGCCGGAGGTAGGTGGTAGGCGTTGCGGAGGAGCAGATTGCGAGTGAGGTGCCTGTTCTAAACGAACTATTCCAGCTGTTATAAAGCATTAAATAAAAAGTAAGCAAGGAATACAGAATGTTTCGTTACGTAACTTTGTTGAGAATGTGGCCATGTACATGTAATACATGGGATCATTTGCAGCGACTTGGTCATTGTGGGGAAAAATAACACCCATCCTGATCGTTTCAATGAAGTTGAATACAGAATATTCATATTTGTCAGTGATTTCATGTCAATTCGGCGAACATAAACATCAATGATGATGATTAAATTAGGATTAAAAATCGGGAGAGCCGGCTCGTTCGTTTTTTCCGACTAAACAACATCTATTATTTAGAAGTTGATTTCACATGACTCCAGTGTGGAACCCCACTGCACCCCCTGGTGGATCAATGATCCATTGCAGCTGGCTTCACAATAATTAAATGTATTTATCATGGGGGCGGTATCAAGTCTGACTGGGGGCCGGCCGGCCATCACGGAACGTGCATGAACCGATCACGACCCTCGCACTTTAAACTGTCCAAAATAAGACGCTTCATCTGTAGGGTCTTTTTGCGATGACTGCACTCAAAGAGAACAGCATTAACATGTTTGGGGATAAGTTAAATAATTTATTTTACCTTCAATGTCTGTAAAACGTAAGGTGCAGTAAACATGAACAGACTTATACATTTTCACTGAAATTGTATAAAAACTAAATCTTTCAAGTATATATTAAAACTAGATAGACGTATTTAAAGAGTTTAATATAACACAAAACTGTCCCTATGGAAGTAGTACGCTTATCAAGTATATTCTGCAAACTCATAAGCAAGTACTGTGAGTATTTATTGAGTGGGACAATGTAGCTTTTTATCAAGTGAAAGTGAAAAATGTTTACAGTTTTTAGTTATTTTAACCGTGTACACATTTGAGTCAGTATGAGAAGTTGCAAAGCAAAGGGATTTACAATATTATAATAATACTTTACTATACATGATGAATGTCGTGAAATATTTGATCTCAAATGTTGTATCGATAATGTTTTTACAACAATTTCTTGTTGAAGCCATGGGAAACTCGACCCCCCCACCTTCTCCAAAAGGTAAGTAACTCAACGTTTTTCTAAACATTGCCTAATAGATCAAATCAATCAAAATTAGACTAATGTTTTACTGCAAATGTTCACTTTACTTTTCAGTTCTGCCTCAAGAATGGAGGAAGGGTCCTTGGGGGTGAGTTCATTTTTCAGTGTGTGGTGTCTCTGGTGTTTGGTGGCTTTTATTCAAATAACAATTTTTAAAAGCACAACAATGAACCGACACACTCCTTTGTTGAGACCCACCTTTGTTATGCAATCTTTTCTATTTGTTGTCACTTTTCATAATCATGGTGGTTTCTTTTCTTGGTTCTCAGTGACACCATTATGCAAAACTGATAATAATTTGATCTAAACTAAAGTCTAATGTTTTTCCATTGAACAGAAACAAAGTGAGAGATTTACAGATTGTGAAGGATTACCAGCCTTTTAAAGAGGATGTCCAGCTCAGATGTATGCTTTATGGACCTGTTGGTGCTGGCAATTCCAGCTTCATCAACGCTGTCGACAGTGTTTTACGAGGCAAAATAACTCGTCGAGCTGCTGCAGATTCATTCTTCCAGAGGAGCTTCACCACAAAAGTAAGAATCCCTGAAAGCACAAAAGACACAACAACAATTAAAAACCACAGAACATATTTTTCTCTGGCTCAGTGGTTAGAGCTGGTGCCCCATGTTCTGAGACTCAATCCCTGCTGATGCAAGTTTGAATCTGGCTTGTGGTCCGTTAACACAGTCTTCTTTTTATCTCCCCCCTACCAAGAGGTTGATTCTCAAATAAACCGGATAATCTGGCCCCCCCCCCCAAAAAAATGTTTTGCGTTACAATATTCCGTTTTTTAATTGTAGTTTGAATTTTTTAAATGTGGTTTTTGATTTTAAGTTTTTATTTTTTTATGTTGATTTGTGTTTTTTCTTTTAAATATTTTCTGTTTTGTGAAATTATGTTATGTTTTAAAGGTTAGGGCAACCATAACGGCATTTTTTTTTGTCTTACAGTACAGAGAGTACAAAATCCAAAAAGTACCAGGGACACATTACCCTTTTGTCTTCAATGACATCATGGGCCTTCAGAAGGATGCAGAAAAAGGAGTTTGTGTGGAAGACATCAAACTGGCCATGAAGGGACACGTGAAGAATGGTTACCAGGTACAACTTGGTACAACACAATCCCACATTGTGGTCATTTTCTACTATCAATATTATGGATGGAATGTATGAAATATGAAATATGGAAAACTAACGAGACTCCATTAGAAACTATTGTATTTGTGCATGCAAATTATTATTTTATTATTAACATTTTTTTCCAGTTCAATCCTATCTCTGCCATTTCGGAAGATAACCAACACTACAACAGAGACCCCTCTCTAAATGACAAAGTTCATGTTCTGGTTTGCGTCATCCCTGGCAACACAGCAGGATTGCATAATGATAATAACCCAACACAGTTACTGACTGAGGATTTCGAGACAAAGTTGAGGGAAGTCAGATTTGAAGCCAGGGACATAGGTAAGGGTTGGATAATAAATGAACAAATACAATTATATGCATTGTATTTTAAAAGTATATTTAATGTATCATAATTCTAATAAAATATAATAACACAGTAAAATAACGTGACCAACTTTATTTTAACCGAGTCTGATTCTCCTCTGTATTGGCAGGGATTCCTGAAATTGCTATTCTCACCAAAATTGATGTAACCTGTCCAGAGGTCGGCAAGGATATACAGAACGTGTATAAGAGCAAGTACCTGAAGAAAAAGGTTAGTCTCTATTGGTAATTTAGTTTTAGACAACTGTAATTCAAGTTGGAATATCATTTTCTTTTACACTGTTATATTTTAACAGCAAAATCTCCTTGGATCAGCAGTTTCATTTCTTAAATGTCATATTCTTAAATGTAGATTGAGGAGATGAGTGGCAGGCTGGGTTTTCCACAAAACTGCATCTTTCCTGTGAATAACTACCACTCAGAGCACGAGACAAGTGATAACACAGATACACTGATACTGAGCGCACTGAGAGGGATGATTGAATGTGGAGAAGACTTTGTCAACGACCTGTAAAACTACATTCTGCTGAGGCAGATCTTGTTTTTATAACAACATGTTTTTTACAGGTCCTATTAACAATTATGATAATTACATGAAGTGGGCTAAATGGCTTTTAGTTTTTTTTTTGCAGCCTGTAATGCATCATATCTATACTATAAATGATGGTGTCTCTATGAGTAAAGTATGAAAAGGCTTTATTTTTCCTATATTTGATGTTTTCTTTGCATTATGATATTGTTAGTTATATGCTTTGTTGATTCAGGAGGTAATTTATATTTCCGTCTCAAGGTAATCGAGAATCTGAATATTCGTAGGTCGAAGATGATTTGGTTGAAACGTGTTCAGATTAATGATAACATATGCTGTACCTCTCATTGATTAAAAAGTGTTTTGTATATAATGATAATTTTTTAATATAACCAGATCATATTCATCACATAATGATAACATCAATATTTTTAAATGACATAATAAACATAATTGTTTCAATCAAGACAACAGATCAGAGCAGTTCTGTGATTTGCAGCTCATTCAGATCAAAGCAGCTTCACTTGTCTCTAAGAAAACCCTCGTCAGGTTTTAAAACATGCATGTGATTACACTCTCAAAAACATTACATGGTGTTTCTTATTTTTGCTTGTATTAAATGGTTCAACAATGATGTACATTACTTGTTTAAAATATTTTGTGAATCCATATTTTGTTGTGACATTGGGAGGCTGCAAAGTCATGATAATCAGTGCCTGTTTTATACAGTGTGCCTATTCTAGGATGGTTACATTTTAATGCTTTGATTTCTATGAAGATGAAGCTGTTGATCTACAATCTTTTGATTCTCACCAATAATATTTTGAACAATAAATGCATTCACACATTCAATTGTGACTTAGTGTGTACTGTAGTCGTTTGGTGTAAATCCTCATTGCTGAAAAAGTAAGGTTGAAACATATGTATTCAAACTTTATATGAATGTAAAGGATAGTCAAGGCAGCACATTTATTTGGGTTGTTGACACGCAGCAAATCATTTTTGGGTGGTCTCTGCTGTTTTGCTTCTAACGCTATGGCCTAAAATGAATAATTGTACCGTATGGTTTAACAACAGCAAACTTGACATTTCACTCAGTAACAATGCCTCTACTTAAATGTCTTTAGAAATGTCCCTCTAATCACAAATGCTACAAACTCACTCAGATTCATTCCAATTTCATACATTTTCTTTAAGTAGATTTAGAATAAGCAATTTGGAGAAAAATATTATATAACAACTTGTTTTTGTTCAGAAAATGACATCACCTTACTGTAATGCAGCCACAATAACACTGATGCCATATCACACTATTGCACTGTAAAAATTTACCAGCATTTCACTACATTTAACAGTATTATTTTACAGTGACATATTGTAATCAAGGCCCCCTGTAATATCCCAACAAATACATGTAAAAAGGACTGTATCCTTGGATTTCACAGCATTTAACTATTATTTCACAATAAGATACTGCAATCAAAATCCTCTGTAATATCACAACAACATTGTAAACATTGCAAGGATTTCACAGCATTTAATAATCATATTACAGAGAAATATTGTAATAAAAAGCCCCTGTAATATCACAACAACATTGTAAACATTGCAAGGATTTCACAGCATTTAAGAGTATCATATTACAGAGAAATATTGTAATAAAAAGCCCCTGTAATATCACAACAAAATATCTATAAAACTACAGTAAAATTGGATTTGACATTATTTAACTATTATTTCACAGTAAAGCACTGTACTCAAAATGATCTGTAATAGCACAACCCATTACTGTAAAATTTGAATTGTGCAGCATTGCACATGTGCAGAATAGACTATTCTAACCGGCGTGTGTCCTGCAGCATAGCCTACTTCTCAAACCGTCTGGAAGATTTGAACTGAGACATTCACTGTAAAAAAAGATCCTAATTTTACAGGAAATAATTATTTTTTTATAGTAATTATGTTTTTTTAAATAACTTGCAAAATCCCGTAAAATTATAGATATGAACTATAAATTAACAACCCAAAACATTATTTTAAGTATTTTGACAACAACAAATAACATTTATTTCATTTTTTTTTTAAAGTAAATTTACTATATCATATTTACAGTATTTTTGCACTTTCAGAAAATACATGCAGATGTATGTAAAATTTAAATTATTATCTGCAATTAAATATGTAACTCCTCGTAATATAAAAGTGTATTACTATTATAAGACTTTAAGATATTTCTTTGTAATTTTAAGGTACCTACATATGAAACTGTAAAAAAAAAGTGTCAAACATTTTTACATAAATAATTTTCTCAATATTCGATTGAATCCACCACAAACACAAAATATCCAATGTTGAAACAAAAGTAAAAATAAATATGTTTTCATGAAATTCCTAACTTACTATATTGTAAACATCTACAGTTGACAATATAATTTAAAAAAAAAAAAAATCATAGAAAGTGGAGAAATCTCTGCAGGGAGGACCAAGGTTTAAAACACACACTGTTATTTACTCAACAATAAGTCACAGTTATCCTTATTTTATTTATGTGTTATGTTGCTGTGTTTTTTTTCCCATTGGTCAATATACAGTAATAAGGGTTAGTTATAGTTTTACATGCAGTATAATGTATGGTTTTCGGATTCTGGCCGACAGCCAGAACTACGGCACTTGAAATGGAATTCAGCCATAACACGGCAGACAAGTCAGGTATGTTTGGAATGAGTCCACAACACTCCTGATTGGTTAATATAAACGTCATCGAAGAAACCTGCCAATGAGAACTGTCTGCGCCTGTCGTTCACATTTGAAACATCCACGTCAGTTTGAGCGGGTCTCCTGTATTTCTGCTGCAGGAGTTTATGGATTAATATCGGGATCGTTTTACATCTACACGTTAAATATGAGCATCGGGACGTCGTCAACAAAGAACAGAAGACTTGAGATCTGGTGAGTCCTGCGACTGTAATGGAGTTAAACATGTATTTAGAATATCCTTAGTTTGTGAATGTTTTATTTTTTATTTAAGGTTATGTTTCTTCTTCTGGTTAGCTGAGTTTCTTCCCGTTATGATTAATAGGTTGTTAAATGTTAAGAAGCCCTGAGATGCTGTTTCTTGCAAGATGTTGCGCCCGGGCTTAACAGGTGGCAGCTAACATTAGTTTACAGCTTATTGCAATGCTGCTGCGCCACCCTCTCGTCTCCAACACGGGATAATTACACATAAACATGCAGCGGGGTGTCACAGTGTTGTCGCCAAGTTTATTGTAAAGTTTCACAGCTTTCTTACAGCGGAATCCAGTTAGTTAATGTTCAGTTATAGTTATAGTTATGTTCTAGTTACAGCTAGCATAGCATAAACGGCTAACCGCTAACGTTTAGCTAACTTGCTAGTTAGCTCTGCTCTATATATTACAAGCTAACATGACTAGCTAATGTCACACTGTGAACTAAAATAGTTTTTGTATTACTACATCATACATGCTGGGTCCAAATCACTGCTAAAATTATAGTATGTATTTTTTTTACATGTAACAAATACATGTAAAAAGGACTGTATCCTTGGATTTCACAGCATTTAACTATTATTTCACAATAAAATACTGCAATCAAAATCCTCTGTAATATCACAACAACATTGTAAACATTGCAAGGATTTCACAGCATTTAAGAGTATCATATTACAGAGAAATATTGTAATAAAAAGCCCCTGTAATATCACAACAATATTGTAAACATTGCAAGGATTTCACAGCATTTAAGAGTATCATATTACAGAGAAATATTGTATATATATTACAAGCTAACATGACTAGCTAATGTCACACTGTAAACTAAAATAGTTTTTGTATTACTACATCATACATGCTTGGTCCAAATCACTGCTAAAATTATAGTATGTATTTTTTTACATGTAACAAATACATGTAAAAAGGACTGTATCCTTGGATTTCACAGCATTTAACTATTATTTCACAATAAAATACTGCAATCGAAATCCTCTGTAATATCACAACAACATTGTAAACATTGCAAGGATTTCACAGCAGTAGTGAACTACTACACACTGTGAACTAAAATAGTTTTTGTATTACTACATCATACATGCTTGGTCCAAATCACTGCTAAAATTATAGTATGTATTTTTTTTTTGCATTTTTATCACACTTGGCCTAAACTATTTTAGTTCATCATTTAAGAACGGGAGAATGAAAATAATGATTTGTGGTAATCAAAAACAAGGCATTTAATTAATACTTTGAATATTAATGACTAAAGGAATAGATTTGAAAATGTATAGTAAAGAAACACTCAGCCATGCATGAAATAACATAGCAAAATAATACGGATCATTTTTTACCCATGTTGTGAAGTGTAGTGATACAAACATGATTTGTATTCAAAAAGTAAGAAAGGAAAAATTAAAATTTGGTGTTGATCCAAAACAGGTTAATTAAGGAATACCTGGAATCCTGAATGATTAAAGTAATTTATTGCAAAGATATTTACAATTAAAACTAATTCGGGTCACTTTTGACGCATGTTGGTTGTATGTTGTGTAACAAAGGGTTAACATGACAGCTGTGATGTTCACTCTTTTGACAGAGCACCAGTGGACAGTAAAGACTATGGAAGAGAAGATGTGATGGCTGTGTGGAAAGCTGCTGACGCCAGCCTGTGTTCCTCATCAGTTTCTCCAGGCAGCACCCAGCTATTCTTCCATCTTGCAGATGAAAAGACTTTGATATGTGAGTAATAACTTGTGTCTAACATAATATTCAATGTGGTTTAGTAAAGTATTTAAAAATACCCCACATTGTACATGTACAGGACAATCAGACCTTTTTCAACAAAGATCATCACACTACGGTGGCCCGGAAGTGCAAGACACCACAGCATTTCAGAAAACACAACAGCATTTCAGAAAACACCGCAGCATTTCAGAAAACGCTACAGCATTTCAGAAAACACAACAGCATTTCAGAAAACACAACAGCATTTCAGAAAACACAACAGCATTTCAGAAAACGCAACAGCATTTCAGAAAACGCTACAGCATTTCAGAAAACGCAACAGCATTTCAGAAAACACAACAGCATTTCAGAAAACACAACAGCATTTCAGAAAACTCACAGCATTTCACATTGGACGGAAAGGGTATTCCTTTAGGGAGAACACTTCTTGTTTGTGATTGGACAGAGCCAGCCAGAGAAGCACTGCTGTGATTGGTTGTTTTTGCTGCCAGTCAAGAAATGACACTTCGTGATTGGTCAGCACCCGAGCGCAACATGTCCCAACACATCAGCCGTTAGCTATTTGCACACACTCAGAGCTTACAGCTCCTCATATCTGTTCAGAAACGGGACAAAAGTTAAACAAGTACAAACCACAGACTGTCTGTGTCATGGCGAATACAGTCGCTGCTTTATTTATGTCTGTATGACGCTGTTGTGAGTGTGGACGGAGCAGCTACAGGTTAGTTTAGCCTGATCGATCCGCCCCCTCTCCAGCACGTCTTGTTTGAATGACAGGAGTAAACACTGACAGCTGCGGTGAAACTCGACAACAAAATGAACATATTGACCGTGATTTAATTGTAATACACGTTTCAAAGTGATGCCGAAGTAACTACATACTGATACCGGTTAGTAAAAACCATGAATTAATGCTTTGACAAGTCTGCAGACAAGACGGCAGGCGAAAAGCTTTTAAAATGCGTGTTTTCTGAATGGAATCGGATCCATCAGGCTAAACTAACCTGTAGCTGCTCCGTCCACACTCACAACAACGTCATACAGACAGAAATAAAGCAGCGACTGTATTCGCCATGACACAGACAGTCTGTGGTTTGTACATGTTTAACTTTTGTCCAGTTTCTGAACAGATATGAGGAGCTGTGAGCTCTGAGTGTGTGCTAACAGCTAACGGTTGATGTGTTGGGACATGTTGGCTGTCGGGTGCTGACCGATCACGAAGCGTCATTTCTTGACTGGCAGCAAAAACAACCAATCACAGCAGTGCTTCTCTGGCTGGCTCTGTCCAATCACAAACAAGAAGTGTTCTCCCTAAAGGAATACCCTTTCCGTCCAATGTGAAATGCTGTTGTGTTTTCTGAAATGCTGTGGTGTTTTCTGAAATGGTGTAGCGTTTTCTGAAATGCTGTTGCGTTTTATGAAATGCTGTGGTGTTTTCTGAAATGGTGTAGCGTTTTCTGAAATGCTGTTGCGTTTTCTGAAATGCTGTGGTGTTTTCTGAAATGCTGTGGTGTTTTCTGAAATGCTGTGGTGTCTTGCACTTCCGGGCCACCGTATCAGACAATTGTTTTGTCTTTTGAGGTACAGCCGCAGCAGAGAGTCTGAGTTTGAAGAAAACCCTACAATTGTATTCAGTGTTGTTTAATCAATCAATATTTACTGGTCTTGAATTTCCTCACTGGATTACAAAATGCTCGAATCTTATTGTACAGGGACATTATGCAGATTTCATCAACTGAAGATGAAAATATAGATTCAGCGATATGTACCATTTTAAGGAAATAGACTGTTAGCGGTATTGACCGAAGCTCCGCAGCTGTAGCTAGGCGCTGCTAATGAAAACTCAAGTGCTCAATTTGTTACTTTTGCTTTTTTATTAAGAATTGACCAAGCATATCTTCCTCTTCGAAATCCCAGTTGTACTTCGCTAACACGCAGTGCCTGCGAGAGTGCGTTTGATTGTTCCCACCCTTACCTCATTTATGGACTAGGTCATGGTAGACAAGCAATCCAGTGGTTAGTTTTAGGGTAAGGGTTTTTTTATTTATTCACTTTAAGAGAAAGGGATTTCAGAAACAAGTCTCACAAGTTTGCCTCAAGGTAACATTAACAAAAGCTAACTGTTGTTAGACTATGTTCCCCCCTTCTAAACTTATGAAATGAATGAGAAAAATATGAACAACTCTTCATAGAGCCACATCCACACAGCTTTAAAGTTGTAGGAAGCTGAAGCATTGCATTCGTGCCAGCGCCTAGTTGTAGTTTCTAAGGTATTAGAAAGTTGTTTTTTCTCGAAGGGGTTTAGCATTTGATCAATTTCCTTGGGATGCCATCAAGAACTGTTTTTACAATCAATAGTGTGTTTAAGTTTCCAACCCTGCTTCAAAGGTCCATCATACAAGATGGGGGATCTATTGGCAGCTGCTGATAATAACATTCATCATTATGGTTTACTAATTGTTGTCTTTTTGTCCTCTAGGTTGCACTGCCACATCTACAGTAGCGCAGAATGGACAGAGGAAACATGATTGGGCCTCAAGTTTTTTGCAGCCAATATACATTCTCCTACAAACTTGGGATAGGAGGGTGAGTGAACAAGTTATCCATTGGTTGGAACCTACCATTGTTAGACGTACTAAATCCTGCACACTGCTCCTTCAAATGGACAATGTGAACATATGTCTCCATTTTGTAATTTCTGTTATTTTCAGTTGAGAATGTTTCAAAGTAATCTTAAAAAATTAAACTTACTTTTTGTTTATACTGTTTATAAGTAGATGTTTAAATATTAAATGCTGTATTCATTAATGGTTGTATAATTCTACAAATATTTTTATATTTTAAGTTTTAACATTTTTATAGTAATTGTTCCCTACAGAACATTTTGTGCTGTCTTTTTATTGAACGTCTTTGATTGGAAAATGTTAGAAAAAAGCTGTAAAATAACAGTATTCTACCTGTAGAACTTTAGGTTCTGCATTTACTTTTGTGTTTGATCATAAAAATCTAATAAAAAAAATGTAAAAAACAGTTTTTCTCATCAGAACTTTATTTAAGGTATTTGAATGTAACATTTTAAGACAATGGATTTTGAAAAGAGAGGAAACATCTGTAACACTACAATGTTTTCCTGTAAAATCTTTAAGGACAATTCCTGTTTATTAATTGCTTTAGCACTTTATTTCAGTGAAAGTATTTTACTTTAATTTAAGGGTTTTTGTTTGGCAGTTTTCTTTTTTACAGTGTAGCCTATTTGATTTGACCCAACTGGACTCACGGGTGAGATGCTTTTTGTGCATTTTTGCTTGCTGTATGTGGATGACGTGATTAGTCATGTCATCCAATAGTATTTGACAGGAAACCATTGTATGAGCTTCCTCCAGGAAGGACCGGAGCTGGGGACTACAGTTATGCACGTCTATCATTGTAAATTGATAGTAAATTGCTGGCTACTCATCTGCATTACTTTCACAGTACACATTGTACATTCACAGTAAATTACTGGCAACTCTTTTGCATTACTTTCACAGTACACATTGTACATTCACAGTAAATTACTGGCAACTCTTTTGCATTACTTTCACAGTACACATTGTACATTCACAGTAAATTACTGGCAACTCTTTTGCATTACTTTCACAGTACACATTGTACATTCACAGTAAATTACTGGCAACTATTTTGCATTACTTTCACAGTACACATTGTACATTCACAGTAAATTACTGGCAACTCCTGCATTGCTTTCACAATAGAAATGTAAAAGTACAGGCCCTTGTTGTAATGCATGTACAACAAAATTATGTAATTCCCAGTAACATACTGTAATATCACAGTAATTCCTTAGTCATTGAAGCTGTGAAGTTACAGTATACAGTTTTACCTTTACAACAATGCATTGTAATATCATGGGTGTGAAATTACAATACATTGCTGTGAAGACATTCACAGCAATGTATTGTAATATCATGGGTGTGAAATTACAATACATTACTGTGAAGACATTCACAGCAATGTATTGTAATATCATGGGTGTGAAATTACAATACATTACTGTGAAGACATTCACAGTAAATTGCTGTGAATCTTACTGTGAAAGTCATGCAAAATTTGGCCAAGTATTTATTGTGAATTCACGGTGAATATTTTTACAGTGTGGGATATGAGATTATACCACCTGGCAATACCATGATATTCTGTGGCAATCAAATATCTTAACTCTCCACTAATACTTTTCCTCCTAAAATATAACTTAATTGACAAGATACATTCCATAAATGATGTTTAGTCTGTAATATTACTTAAATAACATTTCAAACAGTTACATATCTTAATAAAACATTGTAATTTAATTTTGATTTATTGCTACATATAAATGATTGGTATTTTTTCCATACTGTTGCTGCCTCTCGAGGTTAAGAGTAATACCACAGCACATAACACAGAATGACTGAGTGCAATGCAGGAAAATAGAACCGGGGCTGTTGAGAAAACATCCGTAGCTGCAGCCCTGCAAGCCCGCCCCTCCCTTCTCCCCTGATTCTTTTAAATCACGTGATCTAAAGGAAACTGTAGATACCACCAAACCAGAATATAACAGCTATACTGGACACACTTCACATTCAAACCATGTTTTTGTATTTCAATAGTATTCTGAGGTAAACTCATGAGAAAGTGTGTTTAAGTTCTAAAGTCACATTCAGATTCAATTTAAAAATGGGTGTCGAGGTCTGCTGTTGGATCTGACACAGACTAAATGCATTCAGTCATTCAGTTGTGACTATTGTCATGTGTGAATGACTAAAGAGAAATCAACTTTACTTTATGAGGTCAGTAAACATGAAGTTGTACATCTATAAAGGCAATTCCTTTAAGCCACATGGTGTGCTATAACTGAACATGAAAGTGAAAGTGAGTAGCTGTTATCATATAAAAGAGACTTTCCTTTCGAGTTGAGAGGCACTTGGGTGAGACATACAGTAACTGAAGGTGAGGATTTCTATCACTTCCCAATTCTTGTTATGCTTTCATCATTTTGATTATAGCTATCCTTTTTGTGTAGTACAGTTATAGAGATAGTTACTGTTTGTATGTTAACATTAGTTTTTATCTCAAACCTTTAAAGGTATTATTTGAGAGGGAGTGAATAAAGTTACATTTTCTTTTCTTTTTTTTTTTACACTTGTACCTTTTAACTTTAACAAACTTTATTTGTTGTATATTTTCTGAAGTAACAATTAATCAGACTTTAAGATATTAATAAACGATAAAAGGTTTTTCCTGTGAAGCACATTTGAGTCAGTATGAGAAGTTGCAAAACAAAGGGATTTACAATATTATTTCACATACATGATGAAGGTTGTGAAATATTTGATTTCAAATGTTGTATTGACAATGTTTTTATAACAATTTCTTGTTAAAGCCATAGGAAACGACCAATTGAATTCCCCCCCACCTTGCTCCCTACATTCTTCAATGGGTAAGTAACGCAACATTTTTCAAAAGATTGCCTAATAGAGGTATAAAAGTATAGTACTGTAAACTAAATGTGTGGGTTTGTTGAGCGGGACAATTTTACTTTTGATCAAGTGAAAGTAAAAGTTTTTAGTTATTTTACCTTTGTACTTTTCAAATTGAACAAACTTTTATTTGTTGTATATTTTCTGCAGTAACAAATCAACAGACTTTAACATAACATGCTTTGATTGTGTTGAATTGAAACCCAAAAAGGCAGACCCAAGAACACTGGCTGAATAACAAAAATATGAACACCATACAAGGGTTAATATATTAATAAATGAAAAAAAATGTTTCCTGTGCAGCTGTTAATCCCCCCCCACCTTCTCCAAAAGGTGAGTAACATGTTTCTAAACATTGCCTAAGATCAAATCAATCAAAATGGGACTAATTTTTTACTGCAAATGTTCACTTTACTTTTTAGTTCTGCTTCAGGAATGGAGGAACGCTCCTTGGGGGTGAGTTCATTTTTCAGTTTGTGGTGTCTCTGGTGTTTAGTGGCTTTTATTCAAATAACAATTTTTAAAAGCACAACAATGAACCTGCACACTCCTTTGTTGAGACTCACCTTTGTTATGCACATTTTTCTATTTGTTGTCACTTTTCATAATCATGGTGGTTTCTTTTCTTGGGTCTCAGTGACACCATTATGCAAAACTGATAATAATCTTAATTAATTAACTTTTCCACGATATTCAAATTTATTGAGATGCACCTGTGGCTTGGCCAAACCAAGTTGAAACCAAGGGATAATTAATAGTAACAGAATACCCAAATCCCCCCTTTAACATGGAAGCAGGTGGTTTGTCCCAATCTGTCCCAATTGGCTCCTTGCAGTATTTATGAGTCCTCAGCGCTCGGCCACACCCTTTGCTGAACCAGGAAGTAACCTCCCCCAACAGCCACGGTAACTCAAGAGACAAAGAAAGTAATTAAAGGTGGGGTAGGTAATTTTGGAGAAACCGGCTCGAGATCGCTAGAATTTGAAAATACACAGCCGGAAGAAATCTGCTACTTCCTTACAGAGCCCCTCCTCCAACACACACGAACGCGCACATGACCAATGAGGGCACGAGATAAGTTTGTGCACAGATGGAAGGCTGACAGGCAGGTAGGCCATCCAGTTATTTTAGCCGGGCCGGCTAAAATGATTGGTCGTACTTTTTACAGTACTACGGCTTCCACAGATGAAATTTTGTATGGATTTTTTGTCAAAGCACTTAAGATATTCATTGCTATCGGGATGTTAAGAGCATTCCATGGAATATAACAAAAAGTGTATCTCGAGCAGGTTTCTCAAACGTACCTACCCCACCTTTAATACAAACAATTTATTCAGTTAATTTATGTAATCAAAATGTCTTACACGTGTAAGGTTTGTAAGTTCAGTACAGGGTCCATTCCTGCATGCATTTGGTTGTTTGTATTCAAAGTGTTTTAAAATATTGTGTATTATCTAAGAATAGTGATAATGTATTTGCCAAACAGTGCCTTTTGTTGTGTCTCATCAAATGTGTTAGTTATGTTTATGTATTATGTCTGTCATTTCATGTTTAGTCAGTTCATGTTTATTCACGTCATGTCAGGTCTGTCTATTTATGTCATTCATCTCTAGTTAACTCCCCGTGTTTCATGTCGTGTCTCGTTTTCCATTTCCTGTTTCATTTTGTACTTACCTCTTGTCTCTCATTTCAGGCCCCGTTACTTCCTCCCTTTGTGTGTTTTCCCGCCTCAGCGTCTGCCCCGCCCCTGATTGTTTCCACCTGTTCCCACTCACCTCATGTTGAAATAGTCCTGTCTCCCCCCTGTCCTGTCAGTTCGTCTTGTTTGTTCCCACGTATGGTCTTGCCAGGCCTCAGCAAAGAGAGGATCGTTTTCACTCATGTCAGGTTTTGTTGTTTTGTTAGTTTAAGTTTATCTTAAGTTCTCTTTTTATTATGCTTAGTTTTTTCCTCCTTGTGAGCGTTTTTTTTGTTATTCCAGTACTTACTCTGTTAAGAGGGATTTTCTGTTCAATGACATTAAAAAGACAATTTGTTACATTCAAGACTGTGTCTCTGGGTCGTGCATTTGGGTTCTCCAGTTTGTGTCGAGGTTGTGACACCTTTTCAACTACAGCACGTCTCTAAAATGGCTTGGCAGAAGAAATGGCTTCATATTTTTTGTGTTGATTTGTTATCGCCACTGTTTTAAAAATGCAATCTCCATGTTTTTGGATATTAATATCGATTGTTTTATGGATGAAAATATTCATCATTTAGCACAAGAAACTACATGGTCTTGATACCGTTCAACAATTAAGAATACATTGTTAAAATGTATTGTTTGCTGTCTCCCTGCAGTTATTGGTGAGCTTTAAATTTGTGTCAAGAATTTCTGGTAATATGTAAATTACCAGCATGACATGAAGTATACAATTATAAATTGTTTTACAGTTACAATACTGATATTGTAACTTAAAATGATGGCATTAAAGTTTCTATTTTACAGTTGAAGCACCATTACCATAAACAAAAATACAGTACTTTTTAAATGGCAGTGTTTTATTTTATAGTTAAAATACTATTACCTTAAACAAAAATACAATGCTTGGAAATTACTGTTTTATTTTACAGCTATAACACTACTGCTGTTACAAAAAATAAAGTAATTAAATATTACTGTTGCATTTTCAGTTAAAACACTATTACCGTAAACATAAATACAGTACTTGGAAGTTACTGTGTTTCATTTTACAGTATTTAACTGGCAACAATTGACAAGTTACTTACTGTAATTCATTTTACAGTAAGTAACTGGCAACAATTGCCAAGTTACTTACTGTAATTCAATTCACAGTAAGTAACTGGCAACAATTGACAAGTTACTTACTGTAATCCATTTTACAGTATTTAACTGGCAACAATTGACAAGTTACTGACTGTAATTCATTTCACAGTAAGTAACTTGTCAATTGCTGCCAGTTAAATACTGTGAATTTTACGGTACGTTTCTTACAGTGTAGATACCACCAAACCAGAATATAACAGCAATACTGGACACACTTCACATTCAAACCATGTTTTTGTATTTCAATAGTATTCTGAGGTAAACTCATGAGAAAGTGTGTTTAAGTTCTAAAGTCACATTCAGATTCAATTAAAAAAAATGGGTGTAGAGGTCTGCTGTTGGATCTGACACAGACTAAATGCATTCAGTCATTCAGTTGTGACTATTGTCATATGTGAATGACTAAAGAGAAATCAACTTTACTTTATGAGGTCAGTAAACATTAAGTTGTACATCTATAAAGGCAATTCCTTTAAGTCACGGTGTGCTATAACTGAACATGAAAGTGAAAGTGCTTATGCTTTCATCATTTTGATTATACAGTAGCTATCCTTTTTGTGTAGTACAGTTATAGAGATAGTTACTGTTTGTATGTTAACATTAGTTTTTATCTCAAACCTTTAATGCTTTGTAGAGCTGCACTTAGAAAAAAGAAAATATATATAAACCTATATGTTTCTAGTTCTGGGTGTTTATTTTGTTTGATTTAATCTGTTTATAACCTGTACAAAAACAGAATTGGCCAAAACGCTGCTTGTTTGTAGTGAGCAAGATTAAATGAAACATAATTCTCTGGATAAATAAAAGAAAGGGGATAAGTGAAATAATGTATTTGACCTTAAATGTCTGTTAGAAATAAGGTGCAGTAAACATAAATAGACTTACACAGTTTCACTGAAATTGTATAAAAACTAAATCTTTCAAGTATATATTAAAACTAGATAGACGTATTTAAAGGGTTTAATATAACACTAAACTGCCCCTATGGCAGTAGTACGCTTATCAAGTATATACTGTAAACTCATAAGCAAGTACTGTGAGTATTTATTGAGCGGGACAATGTAGCTTTTGATCAAGTGAAAGTGAAAAATGTTTACAGTTTTTAGTTATTTTAACCGTGTACTCTTTAACTTGAACAAACTTTATTTGTTGTATATTTTCTGCAATAACAATTTAACCGACTTTAAAATATTAATAAATGATGCAAACTTTTCCTGTGCAGCACATTTGAGTCAGTATGAGAAGTTGCAAAGCAAAGGGATTTACAATATTATACATAATTATAATAATACTTTACTATACATGATGAATGTTGTGAAATATTTGATCTCAAATGTTGTATCGATAATGTTTTTACAACAATTTCTTGTTGAAGCCATGGGAAACTCGACCCCCCCAACCCCCCCCCCCCCACCTTCTCCAAAAGGTGAGTAACATTTTTCTAAACATTGCCTAATAAATCAAATCAATCAAAATGGGACTAATGTTTTACTGCAAATGTTCACTTTACTTTTCAGTTCTGCCTCACGAATGGAGGAACGTTCCTTGGGGGTGAGTTCATTTTTCAGTGTGTGGTGTCTCTGGTGTTTAGTGGCTTTTATTCAAATAACACTTTTTAAAAGCACAACTACTGTATGCACTTGCACACTGCTTTGTTGAGACTCAACTTTGTTATGCAATTGTTTCTATTTGTTGTCACTTCAAAAATAATGGGGTTTTTTCTTGGGTCTCAGTGACACCATTATAATCAACTGATTTTCTTTTCCATTGAACAGAAAAAAAGCAGGAGACTTGCAGATTGTGAAGGAATACCAGCCTTTTAAAGAGGATGTCAGAATTATGCTTTATGGATCTGTTGGTGCTGGCAAGTCCAGCTTCATCAACTCTGTGGAAAGTGTTTTACGAGGCGAAATAACTGATCGAGCTAAAACAGATGCGATCGGTGGCAAGAGCTTCACCACAAAAGTAAGAATCCCTTTTTAGTGTTATCATGAATGTCTTACATTGTAACACTTGAAATGTAACAACTCTTTTATCTATTATATTATTTTACTTTACTTTTAAGCAGGAGACACACTGCTATGATGGCCCTGAAAGTCAAAACATAAAAACCTTTCACAAGACACAACAACAATTAAAAAACATGAAGTATTTATTTCTCTGGCTCAGTGGTTAGAGCTGGTGCCCCATGCTCTGAGGCTTGTGGTCTGTTAACACGTGTCATCACTCTATCCCCCCCTATCAACACTTTCATTCTCAAATAAAATGCTGTCTGGCCCAACAGAAATATTTTTTAAAAGTTGTTTCACATTGTTTTGTTTTGCAAAAATGTACTTTGTTAAAAAAAAGATATTGATTTAAAAAATGTTGTTTTTCATTGTGATGTTTTTTGTTGTTGTTGTTGCGTCCGGCAGTGGCTCAGTCAGTAGGGGCTTGGACTGTGAGCCGTAGGGTCGCCGGTTCAAGTCCCCGAACAGACCTAAATATGGAGTGTGGACTGCTACTTGGAGAGGTCCCAGTTCACCTCCTGGGCCCTGCCGTGGTGCCCTTGAGCAAGGCACCGGACAACCCCCTTCCCCCCCCCACTCCCATTGCTCCCCGGGCGCTGTACAATAGCTGCCCACTGCTCCTAGTACTAGACTCCTGGTACTAGGATGGGTTAAATGCAGAGGCCAAATGTCACTGTGTGCTGTGTGCTCTGCATGTGTGACAATTAAAGAGGGTTTCATCACTCCCATTCTATCTATCTATCTATTATGAAATGATGTAATGTTTTGACCTTTAAGGCAACCTAACTACCATGTCATTATGGTAACGCCCACGGGACTTTCTTGTCTTACAGTACAGAGAGTACACAATCCAAAAAGTTCCAGGGACACATTACCCTTTTGTCTTCAATGACATCATGGGCCTCGAGAAGGATGAAGGAGTTTGTGTGGAAGACATCAAACTGGCCATGAAGGGACACGTGAAGGATGGTTACAATGTACAACTGAATTCTTTAAACCTTATCTCTGTTGCATATATTTGAGTAACACAATCCCACTGCAAGGTTCCAATAGAAACTATTGTATTTCTGATTTCTAATGTTATTTTTTGATTCAATTTAACATTGTTTTTCAGTTCAATCCTCGCTCTTCCTTGTCTGAGAATGATCAAGACTACAACAGAGACCCCTCTCTAAATGACAGAGTTCATGTTCTGGTTTGCGTCATCCCTGGCAGCATTGCAGGAATGCAGGATGATTCTGTGAGAAAGTTGAGGGAAGTCAGACTTGCAGCCAGGGACATGGGTAAGGGTTAGGCTTTTACAATAATGCATAACATTAGATCTGACATAAATTATATATATATTCTATTTTCATATAATAAGAAAAAATATAATAATAATGCAATAAAATAACTGTACCAACATTATTTTTTAACTGATTTTGATTCTGCTCTGTATTGGCAGAAATTCCTGAAATTGCTATTCTCACCAAAATTGATGAAGCCTGTCCAGAGGTTGGCAGGGATATAAGGAACGTGTATAAGAGCAAGTACCTGAAGAAAAAGGTAAGTTTATATCTGTAATTTAGTTTGTAAAGAGCTGTAATTCATTTTGGGATATCATTTTGTTTTACACTGTAATATTGTAACCGCAACATCTCCTTGGATCAGCACTTTCATTTATTAAATGTCAAATTCTTAAATGTAGATTGAGGAGGTGAGTGGCGTGCTGGGTTTCCCACCAAACTGCATCTTTCCTGTGAAGAACTACAACTCAGAGCACGAGACAAGTGATAACACTGACACACTGATACTGAGCGCACTGACACGGATGATTAAATCTGGAGAAGACTTTGTCAACGACCTGTAAAACGACATACAGTACTGCTGAGGCAGGTCTTGTTGTTATGACAACATGTTAAAAGCATGTCTGGAATGATAATTACATAAAGTGGGCAATATGGCTTTTAGGTTTTCATGTGCAGCCTGTAATGCATCATATCTATACTATACCTACATTGCTGAGTTAAGTATGAAAATGATTTATTTCTCATGTATTGGAGTTTTTGCATTATGATGTTGTTATTTGTGCTTTTAATGATTCATGCAGTATTTTATTTTGCCGTCTCCAGGTAATCAAGAATCTGATTATTTGCAGGTCAAGGACTAAATTATGTTGGAAAGTAAAACCTTTTTAGATTAAGGATTACATATGCTGTACCCGTCACTGATTTAAAGGTATTTTCTAGTCAGTGTTGCACTTTATTTATATCAAAATGTTACTACAGTACGGCTGTTCAGGTAAAACCACAATAAATAGCACAAATATTGAAATGTGTATTTGGTCTCCTTTTTCTTAATGACTTTTCTCTAATGCAGGTGCCCCATTTAAGTCTGAGTCTGTAACTTCTTCAAAGTTTTTAGAGATGTGGGTACGGAGGAAAAGAGAAAGGGTTGTATTGTCTGACACTTTGTGAGTCTCCTTACACATCGGTCTCCTTACACATTAGGTCTCCCTTGAAAAAGAGATGAATGATCTCAATGGGATATACCTGGATAAATAAAGGTTTGAAATGAAATGAAATCGGGGACACATATTTATGTATAAAAGACATCAAAAAGTGCATTTTGCATAATAGGAGTCCTTTAACACACATCTTTTATGAATTTCAGCCATTTGCTCTGCAATAATGTCAACATTTTTCTTGAAGATACATTGGGGACAAAAGGTGAACTGCCACTTTAAGGAAAGTCTCACAGTAAGTTCAAAAGCACAGTTTAAAGAGAGAGAAAGAGAAACTGTTGTGGGGTGTGTGATACTTTTGACTTTGAACTTGAGAGGCTGCCACTGACAAACCCCATCAATCAGCCCTTAGTGGGAGGTTATTCTTTAAAATCACATGATCTAAAGGAAACTGTAGATAAGACATAACAAGCAGCAACAACTGCTACTGCACACACTTAGGTAAACAACACATGTATTTGCAACTCAATAGAATATGAACGTCAACTCATGATTATAAACAGACTTATCTGTGGTTATCATCCAGCACAGCTGAGGTAAGTTTTAATGAAAATCACCATCACTACAGCTTTCTACAGGGTGTATAAGATGGTTATACTATAATGCATTTCGTTCTTTATAGGCGTGGAGGCCTGCTGTTGGATCTGCAACTAGACACCTACACTGAACATTAAACTATCCTGTTGTTGTTGGAGGGAACCCTATTGTAACAATTGATGTTCTACATAATTCATGTAATTCTGATTAAAATATTGTCAAGAGTAAATGCTCATTCAGTTGTGACTAAGTGTAAAGTAGTCATTAGGTGTCTCTTTCAGAAATAATTGCAATAGGGCTGTGATCTAAATTCCAGTTTGTAAAAGGCGACAGTTTCAAAGAAAAAAGTAGAGTAAGTGTTCTTGATCAGTCCAAACAGTCCAGTGCAGTTAAAAGTTAAGTTGTTAGGAGAGATGTTGTCAGCAGTTACTCACTGAAAAGCTTATGCAAATGCATTTAAGTAGGTGAACTGTGGTTAATTTTTTTTTTAAATAATGGTGACAACTGCAAATACAATACTGCTTAATCTGAATGTAAAATCTATGTTTTGAAAAAGTTTACTGTTTAGTTGACTGACATGACAGATGCTAAGGTTTGTTATATTATCTGAATTTTTGTGACACTATTCAGCACAAGAAAAGCAATGTCTCACACACACAGCAGGCTGTAAGCAAAAGCCCCTGACATTTCTGGAAGCTTAACGTTTTGCTTTCACTTTGCATTGGTAAGTCCCTCGATGTTCAGTCTTTCCCTCCACAGGAAGATAATGGCCCTTTGAGGAAATTCGTTTTTTTCTCAGCCTGTGGTGAGACCAAGCGGCAAACTCTGGGGAAGAGCCGGGACGCCAATACGGAAGTGCCACAAACTGCAGTTCATATATTGGCCGATAGGCGATGACTGCAGAAAGGAGCAATTTCCATAGACCCCAATGTTAAAATGCCCATTTTCACAGCAGAAAAAAAACGTTTCTAGCCCTGGCTCCAATACATTTTATTATGTATATAGTTAGATTCCACCTTCGTGATTATGAATCTGTGAGTGAATTGTTTTCTAACGCGACCCTTTTATTTATATTAGGTCTTAAAGTCTTTGCATAAATTAGGGCGTGGTCACATTGAGTGACAGCTCTGTCAGGTGACTGCTGCTGTTAGCTTTTTGTCTCTCTGCTAGCTGCTCCGTCCGTGAAGCTACAGGGACACTGCCTGCCCAGTTCATCCAGGGAACACAACTTGATCCCGGCCGTGTTTGTTTGTTCTTCATGCTTATATATCGGACTATTGTGACTCGCTCTGCGGTTAAAACAGACGGTGCATGAATGCCGTTTTGCGGTAAGTGAAATTCGAGTACTTTATTTATGTGTTTATGATACGTAATGAATGTTAAGGCTTGGGTTTGCGTGTAAGCGAGTGGTAGCTATGCTCAAGTATGTAGACAAGCTAACGTCGAAGTAGTGTATGTGAAATCAACCTCACAATAAGATGTGTGTATATTACAATTATTAATGTCATATTTTCAAGATGATTACTTAGATATTACAATATGGTTGGTTGAGCTGGAGTTCATTATTGAGTTTACACATTAACGTCACAGTCATCTGAAGAACGAACCCAAACGTTGTTGTTTTTATTAATTGCATTACCAAATTGGTATCAAATAAACAGTAACACAACAGCATTGGTAACACAACTTCCAAAGTTACAGTAAAATAATAAGAACCCTGACTCGGACAATACACAATCCAACATGTTCAACAGAAGAGAATAAGTTATATTGTTTGTACACATGGTTCTTTACATATATATCTGTTTGTTTAAAGTTTCCAGGTGATGCAGACAGGATGGACCAGAGAGTGAGAGACAGAACTGGACTCCTCACAGCAGTGAACTTCAGCACAGGTACAAATACTCTTTTTTCATACTGTACAAAGAATCAAGAAAGATATTGGTTTAAATAAATGAAGTATTGACTTTAATACACTGATATACATTCCATTAAACAATACTAAATACTAGATCACCTACACATCAGTGAAGTTGAGGGTTTTTTCCATGCAAAGGGTTACATTTAGATGTTAACAAGCAATATGACTGTCAGCTTTCTAATTTAAGGTATTGAAGGCAAAGCTATTTAACGCATAGTGACAACTGCTATTTATCTCGCAATATTGTCTGTAAAAAACGTGGTAAAAGTTATGATTTCAGTGAGAGAACAGAGCAAGCTTCTACAGTTGCACTAAGTTTTGATAACAGTTCAATATTATTTTGATAATAAAATATATTTCAATGTTGATGAATTTCATACTGTTCATTCATAATCTGATTGTCTTTGTAGCTCACTGTTGAAATAAAATAAAACATTACAATTACAAAATAATTATATCTACAGCCCCTAAACACAAACACACCTCTTTCATAAATAACACACTTGTTCTGCAATAATATGTTTTATGTTTCCTGTAATTTTTGTTAGGAAAGGACATGCCTGAAAGACACGACTCAACATTTTCTCCTTCTCTGAGGGTCAAGAAGAACATCCAAGAGGAAAATTAAAAGCTGATGTTATGAGATTTTAAGACCAGTACAGGACATTCACTAAGAAACTACTTTTATTGTGAAGTCAGCTGATCGAATGCACCTATTTCCACATCTACACTCCATCAGCTGATTAATTCTATTTGCCTCACTTTATGAGCTTCACAACATGTACCTTGTACCGCAGAGTTTGCAACGCAAATAAATGGGGCCAATCTTCAGTCGGATGTGAATGTGTAATCTAACATTTTCAGTAAGAATAATGGACAAAAGGAGTGCAAATACAAATTCAATTTATTGAAATCTGAACCAAAAGTTAATCAAACATGTTTTAAATAAAAAAGCACATATGGACAGAAGGTGTAAACCTATTAAATGTATAAGTAAACACATTTAGTCAAATAAAGTGACAGACAAGGCCTGATCAGGTGGTATCAGCTATGCATGGGCTCCTCCATCAGGTCTGATCCTCCTCACAGAGGAAAGCCCCTCAGTCCTCTCCAAACCAACAGACTGGACGTCCATCACACGGAGGTTTCTCCCTGAAGTCTCTGCAGCTCTCTGGACACCACGCTGTCTCAATCCGTCCACACTGAATATGAGAGGGGAAAATGAAAATAATAAATGCTTTAGACAATAAGAAATATAAAGTTGACTGTTGAGTTGCTCAGTTTTTTTAGATTGTCAATACTATTACTGTATAACTAATATCCCAGGTTAAGAGGCACCTTCAAATAAAGATTGGTCTTTAAATACATTTTGTCTTTTGTATTGTTTGTCTAAAGTCAAGGATCTAGAACTGGTACTTATAGTTTTAATGATACAGTCTGGTTATAATGCGGTTTGGAGGAGGCCTCACAGGTAAGAGCACTAACTAGCTACCATCACATGCACCTTAGCTTAACTTAAATGTATTAAACGTATAATTAAGTGATAGCAAAATATAAATAACTAATGTCATACAAACATATTAATATTTGCTTGATTCCAGTGTTGCATTTAGCACATTGCATACAAACGTTAAGGGATTTTAAGATTCTGAAGTATTATGCTAAAAACTCAATAACTTAGATTATTATTTATAGTTTTGCTGAATAGTTTCATGTCCGCTTACCTTAGAAACGTAAAATGTGACGGCAGTGTGCTGATGGGGAAGCATGTTAGCTTAGCTTCTTAGCTTGAGCTAGCTCTGTTACTTCCCAGCTGGAGGCAGGAGGTCCCGCCTCGGCTCCGCCTCTTTGCCCTTATTTGGAGCAGGCTGGAGCAGGCGGGAGTTAGACTCAGACGTCACTGTCGAGCCGTTAGTGGCCGACTCCGCCTACTAAGGGCTTCTCGGCAACTCTGCAGAATCCTATGGGTGACGTCACGGACCCTACGTCCATTTATATATACAGTCTATGGGTGAGACACACTAGGATGGCCTACCTGCCTGTCATATCAGCCTTCCATCTGTGCACAAACTTATCTCGTGCCCTCATTGGTCATGTGCGCGTTCGTGTGTGTTGGAGGAGGGGCTCTGTAAGGAAGTGGCAGATTTTTTCCGGTTTTCAAATTCTAGCGCACTCGAGCTGGTTTCTCCAAAATTACCTACCCCACCTTTAAAGACTATACCTCTTACGATTGGATGGGGGGGAAATAATCTTCACAATGTAACAAGAGATGCACAAAGCCCTATATTAACTGTGAACCATTTCTCTAAATAAAAACATCCCACCCATTTAGATTGGGAGATCCAAAATTAACTCCACGCTCCCCTCTGCTGTCATGAGGTGACATTGCACAACTGCCAAACACACCTCATCACAGATACTAGGATCATTTCACAGAAACTGGTTTTCCAGACGTTAGTAGGGGTAAAACCATGCCGATCCAGGTGGATCCGAGCATGGCGGTAAACTTGCATAGACTCTGTAACTTCTTTTAGCTTAACAAGTAGGTCTAATTAAAAGCCAGAAATTAACTCAGGCCTGCCGACTCCACAATTGTCAGATGAAGAAAAAGAAAAAAAGGGCACAAAACAACAGCAAGCAAACCTATAAAACAGACTAGGACTGTCCAGCTGAAAGGCATTTGAACAAGAGGCACATAACTGAAGGTAATGACTTTCTATTACGTTTTACCAACCAAGTAAATTCTCAATATGCTATCATCATTTTGAGTATCATTTTAGTGTAGTACAGTTATTATGTATGTATAGTTACTGTGATTATTATACTAATCTCTAAATCTTTAATTTACTACAAGAAATACAAATAAATTAAACATTTATTCTTCGAGCTCCAGGTTTCATGTTACTTTATTTATTTATTTGGTTTGATTAAATTATTATTATTATTATACTTTATTTTATTTTACATAACTCAACTATCATTTTATATAGGACTACTGTCTTGTTGTTTAACCTTTGTCTATTGTTAACATTCTGTATGTTTTCTATTAATTGTTGTGTTTTTCATACCATCTGTTCGGTTAGCTTTTGATATTTTTTATGTATTTGTCAATATCCCTTCAAGAAAAAAATAACAATGAACATTTACTGTCTTTACTATAGAAGTCCCTAACTTCAGTTTTTTAATTGGATTTCAGGCAATACAATTATTTCTCTTGAACCCTTTCACGCATAGAGGTCACTACAGTGGACAGCTATTCAAAAGGTGTTTTCTTGTATATGCATGTTGTTTTTGTGCATAGTTGCACCATCAGCCACTACATAGGACCCTATTGCGTCATACCATACACTGCTACTCAGTGGAAAGTCAGTGTAAGTGCATGATACATGTCTCTAAACCAACCAAGATGGACGACAGAAAGCCAGATGGACCAAGTCACCCATCTATATCTTGCCAATCCTTTCATGGAAAGCGCTCCCTGCAGATATAAAACATTTGGTGACATCAAGTAACAACTAAGGAATCATATAATTCATAAATTGTCAAAGTATTGATTTTATGTTTGCAGGAAATCATGATTATTCGCCTGTCCACTACAGTGGACGTCATGCATCACTGGCTATATTTCAACTAAACTTCATACTGTTACTGCTACTGTTCTTCTTGAAAATACTTCATTTGCAATATCTTTTTGGGCCTTATATATACAGGGTGCGTACGGGTGCTGGAAATCCTTGAAAATGCTTGAAATTGTACGAGGTGTTTTCAAGGTTTGAAAAGTGCTGGAATTTTGGGAATGGTGCTTGAATTTGGGATAAAGTGCTTGAAATTGTAAATGCTTTACTTCGCTTTTTAGATTAAAAGAAAATAAAGAAGTCGGAGCGCGCTTAATTGCTTCGCTTTTACATAAAACAGCTCCGCTCCGGCCTTCCCGCGCAATGCGCGTGACCGGCAAGTGTTTTTGTTACGTGTGTGACCTGGGTATTCTGATGAGAGTGATAGATGACAGTATGCCAGGAGGTTGCCGTTTCAACGAGCGTTGGCTAGCAGAAGACAAATACAAGCCATGGCTAAGACGAGGGTCAAGCCCAAGAGTAGCCTCCGGCAAAGTGTGCAACAATAACGATGCGAGAGTCTGCGCTGACGAGCCACACACCACACGAAAGGTACGCTGTAGTAGAACATTTTAGATTAGGCTATCGTTGCATGTAAAATACATGACACTTTTCTCTGTGTGCGGCAAAACAAGCTCGCCAAAATGGCTTCACTAGTCTGGCAGTATTTTAAGTGTCCGAAAATGACAATAAAATAGCGGTATGCAACGTGTGTGTGAAGCAGAAATCCTGCAGCTCCACCCGCTGTGACGGACCGGTGAGCGGAGCAGAACACACATTAAGAGTTAGACCTAACACACTTAGCTATTTTATCTACCTCTGGAACAAGCTAAACTAGTTATAAATATATTTATTCTTCACTGTCGGGTCGCTCATTACTGGATCAGTGAGCTGCAGGAGATACTGACGGGCTGTCAGGAGAGAGAGAGAGGGGGAGAGAGCAATATCGGTATCGGCCGATACTGATTCCGGCGATCGGCTCCAAAATTGGCGATCGGAGCATCCCTAATAATTGTATATGATATGTTTTATAATGATTGATCATGAAAGTGTTATCAAAGCTGGTAAAGGTGCAGCTAGTTTGAATGACTTTGTATACTGCAGGGTAGCTTGTGAATTTACTCCAGGTGGAACTAAAGTCTGATTTAACACTTGATTATATTTCACATCATTCATCCACATCTGTAAAGTAACTAAAGGTATTAAATACATGTAGTGGAGTCAAAGTACACCATTTACCTCTGACTTGTGTTTACTGCCAACCTAAAAGTACCTCAAAAATAGTAATCAATAATATATTGAAAAGTTATTTGGCTGATTGTTTTATATTGGCTCAGCCAGGTTATATGGGATGCCCAGTATACGTACAGATGGGTCACACATTTTGAAATATTAAACTTAGTTTTCTTTTCTAACATTTTTAATTTTTCATCCTCATGTAGAATGCTATTATGAAACACACATTTGGTTGTTTATAGCATAAAGAACATCTGATTTAATGTGAGGTAGGGAAATAATCATTTGAGTATAAGTATGTGTATATAAATATGTAATTTACAACAGCTGTAAGATGCTTGAAAAGCTTGAAAATGCACCTTGAAAATGCTTGAAAAGTGCTTGAATTTGACTTTGGAAAAGGTGTAAGAACCCTGAGTAATGCAAATCACACACTATTTTATTACAATGTTGTTTCTTTGTTTGAAAAGCACCAACAAGGAACATCTTGATTTCATGAAGTGTTACCATCCTCGTAACAAAGAAGTGAAAAATCTCAGAATTCTGCTTCATGGACCAGTCGGTGCTGGCAAGTCGAGCTTCATCAACTCTGTCGAAAGCACTTTACGTGGCAGAGTTACCGGTCGAGTTATGACAGATTCAATCTCTGGAGAGAGCTTTAAAGGTAAGATTGAGATTGAGAAATACATTTTTCCAGGGATGTATTTGTGTGTTTTTTTCATCATCTCTGTCAAATATGATTCCTGCATTCTATAATAATAATAATAATCTTTATTTGTATGCACCTTTCATACAACAAGTGCAGTCCAAAGTGCTTCACATAGACATTTCACGGTTAAAATGCATCGCAATGCATTGAGAAAGTGCAGCAGAGAGCAGGAGTTTGCTTCCTAAAAGGCTAAATTGTACAAATGTGTTTTGAGTTTTTTTTTAAAGACTTCCACCGAGCTGGCTTCCCTGATGTCTACAGGTATTTTGTTCCATAGCTTTGGGGCAAAGTTAATGAAAGCTGCGTTACCAAACTTCTTTTTAACGCTGTTTTTTGGAACTTGTAAAAAACCAGCAGCAGAGGATCGCAGTGTTCTTGATGACTTGTAGCTTACAAGGGAGTTCATAATATAACTTGGACCTTGCCCGTTAAGGGCCTTATATGTCCGGAGGAGGACCTTAAAATCAATCCTAAAAGAAACAGGAAGCCAGTGCGGAGCGGCTAGAACTGGAGTAATGTGTTCTCATACTCTCCTATTAAGCTCTCATAATCCCATACCTGATTTATTGCAAATCATTTACATTACCCAATCAATATTTATTCCTTGTTCTATGTTCATTTTAATCTGTCTTTGTTCTGATTTGTGTTTACTTAGCTTTATGTACATTGCAACCAAGAATAAGATAAGAAGCAAGTACATCTTGCATTGTTATTTTTTGGTAACTGTTCAGGAATAAGGTAGAAACTCAGAATTTAATCCAATATACTATGTTTATACTGTTTATATTGCACAGTTAGCTGTGAATTATAAAAATAATGCAAATAACCACACATTTAGCTTTACAGTACAAAACGTTTAAGATCCGAAAAGACCCTGAGGGATTTTACTCTTTCATTTTCGGTGACATCATGGGCTTGGAAAAGACAGACAAAGGAGTGAATATTGACGACATCACACATGCCCTGAGGGGACATGTGACAGAAGGTTACTGTACAACAGGGTTCCTGCAGGTTTCGCCAACTCAAATTTAAGACTTTTTAAGACCTTTTTAAGACCACTTCGAATAGAATTTAAGACCTATTTCACGGCAAGAAAGTATGAAGGAAAATGGCTATGAAAGAAGAAATACGTCCCATAATTACTTACAAATCAAATGTATTCATGTTCAACATAAGAACAATGACTGAACATAACAGCATAACAGTACAGAACTGTGTTAGCCAAAAAGTGTGTATGTGTCTCTGTGTGTGCTTGTGTGTGTGTTAGGGCTGTGCAATTAATCGTATTTGAATCGCCTTAATCGTGGCCTGCCACAATTACAAAAACAACATAATCGAAAAAAACTATTATTTAGCTTTGCTAGGTTATGACAGTGCACTACAACATATTTGATCTAATTAATTTTAGTCTAATTTATTTTTATTTATCATATTTATATATGTTTAGTAGCTTGTGGAAGTGCGCTCCAAAATATTTGTTGATCTTGTTTATTGGTATTTATTATTTTGATATTATTTATTTAAATATATCATTTATTTAATTTATTTTTGTATTGGTTTTTCAGTTGAATTATACGTTCAGGGTAATCAACAGTTAAAAAGATACTGTTCAAATTATTATTTGTTTTAAAGTTCAATAAATGGATTTTTTCAAAGTCAATGAATAATCTTATTTAATAATCGTGATATCAATTATTGACCACAATAATCGTGATTATGATTTTTGCCATAATCGAGCAGCCCGTGTGTGTGTGTGTGTGTGTGTGTGTGTGTGTGTGTGTGTGTGTGTGTGTGTGTGTGTGTGTGTGTGTGTGTGTGTGAGAGAGAGAGAGAGAGAGAGAGAGAGAGAGAGAGAGAGAGAGAGAGAGAGAGAGAGAGAGAGAGAGAGAGAGAGAGAGAGAGAGTAACAAGAGCTATATTCAGAGCTCTGCTGCCTTGGCTACAATCTTTCATCGTTGCTGTTGTATGATTGGTGTTTAGCTACGGTATTTAGCGTCTACAGCACCTCCGCTTTTAGGGTTGACGTCGAAGACCCAAACGTCGCCCGGAAGTCCAACGGTGTTGTTGCGGGAGCTGCTGCACTAGCTAACGCTGCACTAGCTAACGCTATATTAGCCAAACAAACGCCAATTTCTTTTGCAAAAGGTGCAGCGGGCTTCAAACACGTTCCCCTCCACTGGTTTCAACCAAGCACTAAATTCGATGTTTTCCAACCAAATACGGTTGAACTTACACTTCCCCAAATTTATTTGTAAGTAGATTCGAAGAGACATGAGTTTCTGACTGCCGCTAGCTGAAGCTTGGTTGCTAGGTTACTAGCTGGGTGTTCTCCGTTAAGGGGCCGGGGGAAACAAAGTTAGTGATTACTGGTTCCATGTTGATTTATTTCAATACAAATTGTTGGGGGGAACTGAAAGGCTATTACCGTTACTTTGCAGCCCGGACAAGTCCCCCAAAACACATTTTAGACGCGATCGCAACACAGAAGTACCTTTCAATTCCCATCATTTTTAAGACCTTCTAAATCATATTTAAGACCTTTCTTATTTTTGTTGTCATATTTAAGACCTTTTTAAGGCCTTAAATTCAGATTATCAAATGTAAGACTTTTTAAGACTTTTTAAGACCCCGCGGGAACCCTGTACAAGGTAAAACCCTTTGAACTCTGACATTATTTCACTTTTCTCCTTTATTATTATTATTTTATTCTGTTTGCATTCCACACTTAAAATTAAATAAGTTAAATAAATGTAATTGCATCATTGCTATAATGTAACTGTTAGTATGACTATTTCTTTAGTTTATTCCTGGAAAACCCTTGAACGAGGGTGATAAACACTACATCTCAAGTCCCACTCTGGATGAAAAGGTCCACGCTCTGGTTTGTGTCATCCCTGCCGGCTCAACATCTTTATTAACTGATGAAGTTGTGAAGAAGATCAGAGATGTCAGACTAGTAGCCAGTGATATGGGTAAGAACAGACATCACAGTGGTTTTGACTCTGGAAGTGTTTGGACTGTGTAGATCATTTAAGAGCACAGTGTAGACCTGCTCTATATGAAAAGTGCCCTTAGATAACTTTGTGCTACATACATATTTTTTTTATTCAATTCAATGAAATGTATTTATATGTACTTCATTACGTTATGACTGTGTGGATTTCTGTTGTCATACTGTTAATGATTCAAAATACCAGTAAAACAATTGCTTAAAATACTAATAATGTTTCTGTCTTGACAGGGATTCCACAATTCGCTATTCTCACCAAAGTTGATGAAGCCTGTCCTAAGGTGAAAAAAGACATGAGCAATGTCTATAAGAGCGTGTACCTGAAGGAACAGGTGTGTTTCCATCGAGGATTTTCTAGTTGTTGGACTTGTAATGTTATAGTAGCATTTTCAGAATTTCAGCACAACAATCTCCTTCGGTCACGTATTTGTACTTTACTCATCATCTGAAATTCTGTTTCACAGGTCGATAGGTTCAGCCATTTGCATGGCATTCTACTAAACTGCATCTTTTTGGTGAAGAACTACCAATCAGAGTTCACCACAAATGATGTCATCAATGCGCAGATACTGAGCGCACTGAGACAGATGGTTGACTACGGAGAAGACTTCCTTAACAACCTGTAGTCCCACATACTGCATGAAGCATGATCTAACACACTAACACATGTAACAGTGGAGGGCAGGCAACATTAAAACATGTTATAGATATATCATAGCATTTATATTATAGGAATATAGGCAAAGTGAGACTGTTTGTAGTGTGTATGACTCAATGGAAAATGTTGTGAAATAAATTATCTTAACTTTACATTTGAATTCTACTAACTCATGATTTCTAAGGTTTGCTATTTCAATTAAACAAACTCATTTCTGTTAACTTAGATAATGCTACTACAACACAAAGTAGTTTGTCTGTAAACACAGTGTGTAAACTCTAACAATCCCCCTAAAAATAATGCATTGAAAACACTCATGACTCAGCTGTATTACAACTTTTGTTTTCAAATGCCAAAAAGTAATTAAATAAACATTGAATTTAGAACAGACAGTTTAAGTGAAAAAGTTTTGTTTCCCAGTCCAAGCATTACTGTTTGAATGAATTTGAGTGTATTTGCAATGCATTTTGTGTGATCCAATTGCATGTATATGTAACAGACAAACTGCCTGAGGCAAGTCTTTGTTTCTGTCCATGAGAACACCTCCCTTAAGTACGATGGCAGTGGAGATGGGCTCGAGTTGCATTGTGCTAGGACCCTTCGGAGGACTGTCTTCGCTGAGTCAGCACTCAGCACACCAACAGTGACAGATGCTAGGCCTCATCTCTCACTGTTTTCTGCATAGAAATACACATGTTATTTATAATAGCAAGTTATGTTTGCTACCTATTATATTTGGACTTCCTATGAAAACATTCATGTTGTGTTTTGAAGTATTTGTTAATAATGTTAGCTCCAAGTTTCAAACTGCATTGTAACTTTGTTGCCAAAAATGTTCTGTAAATGTGGTATGAAGAAACCGATGCTATGGATGCATATACAGTTTGGTACGTACATTTCTTTTACACCGACTTTCTGATACACTCCTGGTACTGAAAATGTAGTATACAGTATTTTGAGGAGACCAAATTACTTATTTTTGTTCCAAGAAGGTGTGAGTAGGTATGACTTATCAATAAATGCAAACCAAACTGCTTTTTGTGTCCGAGTTATTACAAAGCATGTCTTGTAGAAATCACTGGATGTTTGAGGTTTGAACACTCAGAGCAGTGGACAGACGATTGGTGTCTAACTTTGATCATGAGCGGCTGCAATTTATATGCGACACACCCAGTCAACCCTTAGTAAGAGATTCATTTTGTTAAATCACATGATCCAAAGGGAACTGGTTTTCTAAACATACAAAGCTACGTGGCCTCACACTATGAACTGTGAAAATAACACCAAACAGGCAGCAACAACTGCAACTGGACACAATTGTAGCAATTGTTTTTCTACTACATAATTCCTTTGATTCTGATCAAAACACTTTGAAGACTAAATGCTTTCACTCACTCTGCTGTTACTTAAGTAATTTGGTGTGTCTTTAAGAAATAATTGCAATGAGGCTGTGATCTAAATTATTGTGTGTAAAAGGCTTTGATTTCAACAAAAACAGCATGAATTTTTAGATTTTCTTTTTCTTTTTTTAAACAGCAACAATTTAAACTGATCAAAGATTCAGAAGAGTTCAAGTTGCAGTTTAAAATGTCAGAGAAAATATTTCATTTTAAGTTTGGAAGTGGAAGCAACAAAGACTTCACATTTGTTGAAGTGGGAGCATTAAAAGTTGAGTTTGTGTACTCACTAAAAAGCAGATGAAACTGCATTTGAACCATGACAGGTAAAAGTAGCAGCATGGTCTTCTCAGAGGTGATGCAGTGTTGGATGGTTGGCAGAGGACAACTTACCATCACTTGACCCTCTGTCTACCTGCAGGAAACTCACTCGTGACATATTTTCCAGGCTTAGTCATTGGGTGTGATAGGTGATGGAAAGAAAATGCAATAGCAGAGTACAGATAGGCATTGTGCCTCATAGTACAGCACTTTCCTCTCGGAGAAACCAAAATAGACATCTGCTCAAAAAAAGTCACCTCAGCATCTTTCTAATTTTCTATTGGATCCATGGCTGATCCAAAACTGCTAAAACGTTTGAACTGGGGCAATGTGGAGGGTTTTTCCATCTGCTTTCGAAAGGATGTGTTATTTTCAATTCAATGTGTGACACACCCGCCCTGCGTCAGGTGCAAATTCTTTCTAAAGAAAGGACAAAAAACAAAACCGAAAGGATGTTACAAGGTTTGTAGCTGCAGGTCCGCACCCAAAACACTTCAATGTAGATAACACCAAACAGGATTCAACAACTACTGACACGTTAAGGTAACTATGTCTCTAAATAAGTGATTAGTGATTATGAACTAATTTTAGCCGCTTCTTATTTTTCCCCAAGAAACTTTGGTCACATTCTATTGCCAAAGGACTGAAAAAGAAACTTGAAAAAAGCATTTTCTTTTATTTCAGTCATTACTTGAGGTAAACCTCACCACTTATTTTCACGGACATTTCAGCCGAGGTAAGAAGTTTTATTATATTTTTTAATATAATATAAGTTATATAAATGTTTGATTATTTCCTAAGGGTGGAAGAAAACAATCAAGGAAATGCAGTCTAACCAATGCAATATTTAAACAATCATATATTGATAAGAGGCAATTTATTTGAATCCACCTGATTGCCTATAACCTGAAAAGAACCGTATAGGGTCTTTTTGCAATGACTGCACTCAAAGAGAACAGCATTAACATGTTTGGGGATAAGTTAAATCATTTATTTTACCTTTGATGTCTGTTAAATGTAAGGTGCAGTAAACATGAACAGACTTATACATTTTCACTGAAATTGAAGATAAACTAAATATTTCAAGTATATTTTAAAACTAGATAGGTATTTAAAGGGTTTAATATAACACAAAACTGTCCCTATGGCAGTAGTACGCTTATCAAGTATATACTGTAAACTCATAAGCAAGTACTGTGAGTATTTATTGAGTGGGACAATTTAGCTTTTGATCAAGTGAAAGTGAAAAATGTTTACAGTTTTTAGTTATTTTACCTTTGTACTTTTTAACTTGAACAACATTTATTTGTTGTATATTTTCTGAAGTAACAATCAAACGGACTTTAAGATTTTCCTATGCAGCACATTTGAGTCAGTATGAGAAGTTGCCAAACAAAGGGATTTATAGTATTATACAACATTGTAATAATAACTACTTACTATACATGATAAATGTTGTGAAATATTTGATCTCAAATGTTGTATTGATAATGTTTTTACAACAAGCTTTTGTTAAAGCCATAGGAAACGACCAATCGAATTCCCCTCACCTCGTCTGCTGACTTCTAAAATGGGTAAGTAACTCAAAATGTTTCAAACATTGCCTAATAGAGGTATACAAGTATATAGTGTAAACTCATAAGCAAGTCATGTGTGGATTTGTTGTGCGGGACAATTTTAATTTTGATCAAGTGAAAGTAATTTTTTACAGTTTTTAGTTATTTTACCTTTGTACTTTTCAAATTGAATGAACTTTATTTGTTGTATATTTGCTGAAGTAACAATTCAACAGACTTTAATATATTAATAAATTATGAAAGGTTTTCCTGTGCAGGCTTATGGAATTGGTTAAAATCTATTTTTCTGGGCGATCCTCCCCCACCTTCTCCAAAAGGTAAGTAACTCAACATTTTTCTAAACATTGCCTAATAGATCAAATCAATCAAAATGGGACTAATGTTTTACTGCAAATGTTCACTTTACTTTTCAGTTCTGCCTCAAGAATGGAGGAACGTTCCTTGGGGGTGAGTTCATTTTTCAGTGTGTGGTGTCTCTGGTGTTTAGTGGCTTTTATTCAAATAACAATTTTTAAAAGCACAACAATGAACCTGCACACTCCTTTGTTGAGACCCACCTTTGTTATGCAAATGTTTCTATTTGTTGTCACTTCTTAGAAACATGATGTGTTTTTTTCTTGGGTCTCAGTGACACCATTGTGCAAAACTGATTTTCTTTTCCATTGAACAGAAAACAAGCAGGAGACTTGCAGATTGTGAAGGAATACCAGCCTTTTAAAGATAATGTCCAGCTCAGATTTATGCTTTATGGATCTGTTGGTGCTGGCAAGTCCAGCTTCATCAACTCTGTGGAAAGTGCTTTACGAGGCGAAATAACTGATCGAGCTAAAACAGATGTGATCGGTGGCAAGAGCTACACCACAAAAGTAAGAATCCCTTTTCAGTGTTATCATGAATGTCTTACATTGTAACACTTGAAATGTAACAACTCTTGTATCTATTATATTATTTTACTTTACTTTTAAGCAGGAGACACACTGCTATGATGGCCCTGAAAGTCCAAACATAAAAACCTTTCACAAGACACAACAACAATTAAAAAACATGAAGTATTTATTTCTCTGGCTCAGTGGTTAGAGCTGGTGCCCCATGCTCTGAGGCTTGTGGTCTGTTAACACGTGTCATCACTCTATCCCCCCCTATCAACACTTTCATTCTCAAATAAAATGCTGTCTGGCCCAACAAAAATATTTAAAAAAAAGTTGTTTCACATTGTTTTGTTTTGTAAAAATGTACTTTGTTAAAAAAAAGATATTGATTCAAAAAATGTTGTTGTTATTGTTGCGTCCGGCAGTGGCTCAGTCAGTAGGGGCTTGGACTGTGAGCCGTAGGGTCGCTGGTTCAAGTCCCCGAACAGACCTAAATATGTAGTGTGGACTGCTACTTGGAGAGTTCCCAGTTCACCTCCTGGGCCCTGCCGTGGTGCCCTTGAGCAAGGCACCGGACAACCCCCTTCCCCCCCACTCCCATTGCTCCCTGGGCGCTGTACAATAGCTGCCCACTGCTCTTAGTACTAGACTCCTGATACTAGGATGGGTTAAATGCAGAGGCCAAATGTCACTGTGTGCTGTGTGCTCTGCATGTGTGACAATTAAAGAGGGTTTCATCCCTCCGATTCTATCTATCTATCTATCTATAAATTATGTAATGTTTTGACCTTCAAGGCAACCTAACTACCATGTCATTATGATTCTATCTATCTATCTATCTATCTATTATGAAATTGTGTAATGTTTTGACCTTCAAGGCAACCTAACTACCATGTCATTATGGTAACGGGACTTTCTTATCTTACAGTACAAAGCCTACAAAATCCAAAAAGGAGGACCAGGGACACATTACCCTTTTGTCTTCAATGACATCATGGGCCTCGAGAAGGATGAAGGAGTTTGTCTGGAAGACATCAAACTGGCCATGAAGGGACACGTGAAGGATGGTTACAAGGTACAACTGAATTCTTTAAACCTTATCTCTGTTGCATATATTTGAGGAACACAATCCCACTGCATGATAAATAGTTTGCACATGAAATATGGAAAACTAACAAGGTTCCAATAGAAACTATTGTATTTCTGATTTCTAATGTTATTTTTTGATTCCATTTAACATTGTTTTTCAGTTCAATCCTCGCTCTTCCTTGTCTGAGAATGATCAATACTACAACAGAGACCCCTCTCTAAATGACAGAGTTCATGTTCTGGTTTGCATCCTCCCTGGCAGCATAGCAGGATTGCAGCATGATTCTGTGAAAAAGTTGAGGGAAGTCAGACTTGCAGCCAGGGACATGGGTAAGGGTTAGGCTTTTACAATAATGCAAAACATTAAATCTGACATAAATCATATATATATTCTATTTGTATATAATAAGAAAAAATATAATAATGCAATAAAATAACTGTACCAACATTATTTTAAACTGATTTTGATTCTGCTCTGTATTGGCAGACATTCCTGAAATTGCTATTCTCACCAAAATTGATGAAGCCTGTCCAGAGGTCGGCAGGGATATACAGAACGTGTATAAGAGCAAGTACCTGAAGAACAAGGTATGTTTCTATCTGTAATTCAGTTTGTAGAGAGCTGTAATTAAGGTTGGAATATCATTTTGTTTTACACTGTAATATTGTAACAGCAACATCTCCTTGGATCACCACTTTCATTTCTTAAATGTCAAATTCTTAAATGTAGATTGAGGAGGTGAGTGGCGTGCTGGGTTTCCCAACAAGCTGCATCTTTCCTGTGAAGAACTACAACTCAGAGCACGAGACAAGTGATAACACTGATACACTGATACTGAGCGCACTGAGACGGATGATTAAATCTGGAGAAGACTTTGTCAACGACCTGTAAAACTACATTCTGCTGAGGCAGGTCTTGTTTTTATAACAACATGTAAAAAGGTCCTGGGAACAAGAATGATAATTACATGAAGTGGGCAATGTAGCTTTTAGGTTTTCCTTTGCAGCCTGTAATGCACCATACAGTATCTATACTATAAATGATGGTATCTGTAATGAGTAAATATGAAAATGCTTTATATTTGCATTGTAATGTTGTTAGTTTTGCTTTTTTGATTCAAGAGCTATTTTATCTTGCCATCTGCAGCTAATCAATAATCTGAACATTAACAGGTCAAAAGACAAAATGTGGTTCTAAAGTAAAGCTTTACGTTTAGACTTGTGATTACATAAGCTGTACCAGTCACTGATTAAAATATATTTTCCTATTCAATGTTGGACGAGATTTATATTTAACATTTTACTACTAGGTTCAGGTAGAAACACAATAAATCGCAAAAATATTGGAATTTGCTATTTGTCCTTTTTTATGAACTTTCTTTCTATTCCACACATTACTTTCAAGTATAATTTCACATCTGTCCACCAGAGAGCGCAATTTGAGTGCAATTTGAGTTGTATGTCAAGGAGGATGCAGATCGAAGCTACAGTATATAAAGGGTCAGAGTACAGGGGTCTGATTTGAGTCTTGGGTGCTACAAAATAATAACTTGATATGACATGAAACCAAAGTATTTTCTCTAAACAAATGTGAAAAGCGTTGTAATGCATTCTTAAGTCTGTAACTCCTTTACACAATCTATACAATATAAAATAATTCATATATAACACCAACCCTATATAGTATATACAAGTGTGAATATAACATATAATTAAAACTACATTTAAGTAAATTAAAAGAGGAAGGCCTTAAACAAGAAGAGACAATCTAACATATTAAAGAAAATGAGGACTGTGATATCCACCACCGGACACCTAACTCTAATCCTCTAATAACTCCTAATATTAACAGCCTCGGTATTTACTCTTATTAGTGAAGCACTGAGCGGTAAAACACCACAGCACCACCTCCCCTCTGTCATGAACCTTGGACTGACCTTTAATAGCGCTTTTAAATTTGATGAGCAGGTCAGCACCGTAGTCAAATCCTGCTTTTTTTAAATACGACTATTAGCTAAAACCAAGTCGTATTTATCTTTTAAAGACCTAGAAAGGGTTATAAACGCCTTTGTTACCTCGAGACTGGATTACTGCAACGCTCTGTACGTGGGTATGGACCAGGCCTCAATTAGACGCCTGCAGCTATTTCAGAACGCAGCTGCACGTCTTCTCACTGGCCATAAAAAGCGTGACCACATCACCCCAATTCTGGCCTCACTGCACTGGCTTCCAGTTCGGTTCAGAATAGATTTTAAACTCCTTTTATTTGTTTTCAAAGCCCTAAATGGGCTGGCTCCGGCCTATATAGCCGAACTCCTCCAGCGCTACACCCCAACAAGAGCTTTAAGGTCTGCTGACCAGTTGCTGTTGATAGTGCCTAAGACCAGGCTTAAAACCCGAGGGCACCGAGCATTCGCAGCAGAGGGCCCCAGGCTCTGGAACATTTTGCCCCTCCATGTGAGGTCGGCCCAGACCCTAGGGGTTTTTAAATCAACACTTAAAACTTACTTCATCTCTCTGGCCTTCACTTAAATCCTAAAATGTGGATCTTACATTGAAAAATAAGAGGGAAACAGGTTTGCAGAGAAGCTCATCTAGGCAGGGGAGTGTTATGATCGTTTTCACAGCTTCCTCCCTACCTCTGCTAAATTCCAACTAAGGCTCCATTCTTTCAAAACAAAAGACAAAAACCGAAAGGATATTAAAGCATATCAAGCTGCAGGTCCTCACACAAAACACTACAATGCAAATAAAACCGAGCAGGATTCAACAACTGACAAGTTAAGGCAACTATGTCTCTACATTCACAAGTTTAGGAACGTCAACTTGTGAATATGAACAACTTTTCATTGCTTTTTATTTTTCCCCAAGAAACTGTGGTCAAATGATATTGCCAAATTAGTGAAAAGGAAACTTAAAAAAAAAAATAAAGTGTAATATAGTCATTTGTGAATCACTAAAGATAAATCAACTTTACTTCAAGAGGTCAGGAAATATAAAATTGTACATCTATAAAGGTAATTCTTTTAAGTCACATGGTGTGCTATAACTGAACATGAAAGTGAAAGTGAGCAACTGTTATTATATAAAACAGACTTTACCTGTTGAGTTGAAAGGCACTTGGGAGAGAGGCACATAACTGAAGGTGAGGATTTATATTATTTCCCAATTCTTGTTATGCTATCATCATTTTGATTATAGTTATCCTTTTTGTGTAGTACAGTTATAGAGATAATTACTGTATGTATGTTAACATTAGTTTTATCGCAAACTTATAATGTTTTGTAGAGCTGCACTTAGAAAAAAAAGAAATGTATATTAACCTATATTTTTCTAGCTCTGTGAGTTTATTTATTTGGTTTCGTTTAATCTCTTTATAACTTGTACAAAAACTGAATTTTCCAAAAAGCTGCTTGTTTGTAGTGAGCAAGAGTAAATGAAACATACTGTGAAGTATATAATTCTCTGGATAAATACAAAATAAGTCATTTTAGATTGCTGCTTAGTGATTCACTTAGATGTTCGGGTCTTGGTTTGAATATAGTCTGATCATAAGGCAAAGAATGCATTATAGGGTATTTGTTCCTGACTGCACTCAAAGAGAAGAGCATTCACACTCTCCTTTATTCTTTAAATAAAAGAAAGGGGATAAGTGAAATCATTTATTTTACCTTCAATGTCTGTTAAACGTAAGGTGCAGTAAACTTAACAGACTTACTCAGTTTCACTGAAATTGTAGATAAACTAAATATTTCAAGTCTATTTTAAAACTGCATAGACTTATTTAAAGGGTTTAAGATAGCACAAAACTGTCACTATGGCAGTAGTACGCTTATCAAGTATATGCTGTAAACTCATAACCAAGTACTGTCAGTATTTATTGAGTGGGACAATTTAGCTTTTGATCAAGTGAAAGTAATTTATTTTTACAGTTTTTAGTCATTTTACCTTTGTACTTTTTAAATTGAACAAACTTTATTTGTTATATATTTTCTGAAGTAACAATTAAACAGACTTTAAGATATTCATAAATGATCAAAGTTTTCCTGTGCAGCACATTTGAGTCAGTATGAGAAGTTGCAAAACTAAGGGATTTATAATATTATACATCATTATAATAATACTTTACTCTACATGATGAATGTTGTGAAATATTTGATCTCAAATGTTGTATTGATAATGTTTTTACAACAATTTTTTGTTGAAGCCATGGGAAACTTCCAATCTAGACCTTCGCCAAAAGGTAAGTAACTCAACATTTTTCTAAACATTGCCTAATAGATTAAATCAATCAAAATGGGACTAATGTTTTACTGCAAATGTTCACTTTACTTTTCAGTTCTGCCTCAAGAATGGAGGAACGGTCCTTGGGGGTGAGTTCATTTTTCAGTGTTTGGTGTCTCTGGTGTTTAGTGGCTTTTATTCAAATAACACTTTTTAAAAGCACAACAAGGAACCTGCACACTCCTTTGTTGAGACGTTGAGACTCACATTTGTTATGTAATCTTTTCTATGTATTGTCACTTCTTAGAAACATGATGGTTTCTTCTCTTGGGTCTCAGTGACACCATTATGCAAAACTGATAATAATTTGATCTAAACTAAAGTCTAATGTTTTTCCATTGAACAGAAACAAAGCGAGAGATTTACAGATTGTGAAGGATTACCAGCCTTTTAAAGAGGATGTCCAGCTCAGATTCATGCTTTATGGACCTGCTGGTGCTGGCAAGTCCAGCTTCATCAACGCTGTCGACAGTGTTTTACGAGGGAAAATAACTAATCGAGCTGCTGCAGATGCACTCTTCCACGGGACTTTCACCAAAAAAGTAAGAATCCCTGAAAGCAGTTCACAACAATTAAAAACCACAGAACATATTTTTCTCTGGCTCAGTGGTTAGAGCTGGTGCCCCATGTTCTGAGGCTCAGTCCCTGAGGTCGATGCAAGTTTGAATCTGGCTTGTGGTCCGTTAACACATGTCTTCTTTTTATCTCCCCCCTACCAAGAGGTTAATTGTCAAATAAACAGGATAATCTGGCCCCGCCCCCCAAAAAAATGTTTTGCGTTACAATATTCAATTTTTTAATTGTAGTTTGGATTTTTTAAATGTGGTATTTGATTTTATGTTTTTTTTGTTTTTTATGTTGATTTGTGGGTTTTTTAATAAATATTTTCTGTTTTGTGAAATGATGTTATGTTTTAAACGTTAGGTTAACCATAACTGCATTTGTTTTGTCTTACAGTACAGAGAGTACAAAATCCCAAAAGTACCAGGGACACAATACCCTTTTGTCTTCAATGACATCATGGGCCTCGAGAAGGATGCAAGTACAGGAGTTTGTGTGGAAGACATCAAACTGGCCATGAAGGGACACGTGAAAAATGGTTACAAGGTACAACTTGGTACAACACAATTCCACATTGTGGTCATTTTCTACTATCAATATTATGGATGGAATGTATGAAATGTGAAATATGGAAAACTAACGAGGCTCCAATAGAAACTATTGGATTTGTGCATGCAAATGTAATTTTTTTATTAACTTTGTTTTCCAGTTCAATCCTATCTCTGTCATCTCTGAAGATAACCAACACTACAACAGAGACCCCTCTCTAAGTGACAAAGTTCATGTTCTGGTTTGCGTCATCCCTGGCAACACAGCAGGATTGAAGGATGATAATAACCCATCACAGTTACTGACTGAGGATTTCGAGACAAAGTTGAGGGAAGTCAGACTTGCAGCCAGTGATATGGGTAAGGGTTGGATATTCAAATAACAAATTCAATTATATATATCGTATTTTATAATTAAGTTTAATATATTATAATTCTAATAAAATAAAAGAACCTGACTAAGATTATTTTTGAATGATTTTGCTCTGTATTGGCAGGGATTCCCGAAATTGCTATTCTCACCAAAATTGATGAAGCCTGTCCAGAGGTCGGCGAGGATATACAGAACGTGTATAAGAGCAAGTACCTGAAGAACAAGGTACGTTTCTATTGGTAATTTAGTTTTAGACAACTGTAATTCAAGTTGGAATATCATTTTGTTTCACACTGTTATATTTGAACAGCAAAATCTCCTTGGATCAGCACTTTCATTTCTTAATTGTCATATTCTTAAATGTAGATTGAGGTGTTGAGTGGCAGGATGGGATTTCCACTAAACTGCATATTTCCTGTGAAGAACTACAACTCAGAGCTTGAGATAAATGATGACACTGATACACTGATACTGAGCGCACTGAGACGGATGATTGAATCTGGAGAAGACTTTGTCAACGACCTGTAAAACTATACTGCTGAGGCAGGTCTTGTTTTTATAACAACTGTGACGACCCCTGCTTTACTGTCTCCTGTGGTGTGTGTATGGCCCTTTAATGTTCTCCCTCTGTTTGTGTCAGCGCTGATTGAGGACACCTGAGGCCAGGGTTGCGGTCGAATAGTCCAAAAATCAGCTCCTAAGTTCTAACCCTATTGTCTATTCCTTGACCTCTGAGTGAAACGTCACGGGGTTAAGGGATAGTGGATAGGAGAATTCAAAAGGACTTAGGAGAAGAGACTGCGGTATCACTGTGTATATCACCATTCAAACATTTTTTTAAAAGTTGAACAAACCCCACACAGCTCAGTAAAGCAGCTTGTTTTTAAAGCACTAAATGGGCTGGCTCCGGCCTATATAGCTGAACTCCTCGAGCGCTACACCCCAGCCAGAGCTTTAAGGTCTGCTGACCAGCTGCTGCTGGTAGTGCCCAAGACCAGGCTTAAAACCCGAGGGCACCGAGCCTTCGCAGCAGCTGGCCCTAGGCTCTGGAACACTCTGCCCCTCCATGTGAGGTCGGCCCAGACCCTAGGGAGTTTTTAAATCTACACTAAAAACACACTTCTTCTCTCTGGCTTTCTAGTTAGAGCGGAGCACGACTCCTGACTTTTCCTTGTGTTTTTATTTTAATTTTGATTTTTATATATATCTGTTGTAATTTATTGTCGTTTATTGTGATTGTAGTAATGTGTTTTTATTACATGTACAGCACTTTGGCTCGACCAAAAATCGCTTTTAAATGTGCTATATAAATAAAACCTGATTTGATTTGATTTAGTAAAGACTGTGAAATGTTGACTGATGAACGTTCAAAACAAAGCACTTTGGCAACTTACCACATACGTTTTGAACCGTAATTTTCATGATATCATTTCTCGTTCATAATCGGTTGTTTCCGTGAACGGCCGACTGTTGTGTGACGGCAAATGCCTGTTTTATACAGTGTGCCTATTCTAGGATGGTTACATTTTAATGCTTTGATTTCTGTAAAGATGAAGATGAAGCTGTTGATCTACAAACATTTGATTCTCACCAATAATATTTTGAGCAATAAATGCATTCACACATTCAATTGTGACTTAGTGTGTACTGTAGTCATTTGGTGTAAATCCTCATTGCTGAAAAAGTAAGGTTGAAACATATGTATTCAAACTTTATATGAATGTAAAGGATAGTCAAGGCAGCACATTTATTTGGGTTGTTGACACGCAGCAAAACATTTTTGGGTGGTCTCTGCTGTTTTGCTTCTAACGCTATGGCCTAAATCAGGGGTATTCAACTAAAATTCAACGAGGTCCAGTTATGGCGCGTTTCCACTACAGCGCGGAGCACGGTTTAAGAGGGCTGTGACGTCAGCGGCCCGTCTTTGGTTGCGTTTCCACTTGGCCTAGTACCGGCCGGCGGGTCCTAATTCACAGTTTTTCTGGCCTCATAAAATCGTGGGTCTAGGGCCAGAGACAACGAGGCTGAGTCGGGCTGAGTATGCTAAACTAGAGAGAGCATCGCTGGCAAGGGGGCTACAACTACAACAAGATGGACATATTTGACCGTGATTTAATTGTAATACACGTTTCAAAATGATGCCGAAGTAACAACATACTGATACCGGTTAGTAAAAACCATGAATTAATGCTTTGTCAAGTCTGCAGACAGACGGCAGGCGAAAAACCTTTTAAAATGCGTGTTTTCTAAATGGAGATTGGCTAAGCTAACGCAGTATATGCTCCGACCGTCCACACTCACAACAACGGCCTATACAGACATAAATAAAGCAGCGACTGTATTCGCCATGACACAGGCAGTCTGTGGTTTGTACTTGTTTAACTTTTGTCTAGTTTCTGAACATATATGAGGAGCTGTGAGCTCTGAGTGCTAACAGCTAACGGCTGTGTTGTTTTTCTGGGGTTCTCATTGAAGATGACGTCACGGCTCCGCCTACACTGCGTTACTATAGATACTACCCCAGTTCCTAAACTGTAATGGAAATGCGCCATAAAGTGAGCCAGTCCTAACGAGGCCTAGCCATACCGAGCGGGGCAGAGCGAGGCCGTGTAGTGGAAACGCGCCATTAGAGAAAACTCCCCATGCAAAGGTCCGGAACATCAAAATGTTTAACTTGCTTTATGAATTAGTGTGATATATATTGAAGTAGCCTGTAGCTTTATCAACGTCTGCATGTAATCAACAACTGACTGCCAATCAAATAAAGAAAGTACAATTCAAAAACAACAATATTTATTGTCAATTAACATTGAACTATACAGATATACACTAAAATACTGTGGATATGTATGTGTAATGTTCCTCTCTGGCTGCATTTAAAAATAAAATAGAGAAAATAAACAAAACAGCTTTTGAAAATATGTGCATCTTAAAAGTGCTTAATTTTAGATAAATAAAATAAAGTGTAGCAGCAGCTTGAGTTTTCCTTTTTCTTTATTAACCGTTTCACATCATGACTTAACAGTTTCAGACGATTATAGAACATATCAGTCTTTACACATCATAACAATTGAACAGTTTTAAAGTTTCTCTTTCTTTCCCTCTTATATCGCAGTCCCTCACTCACTTTGTTTTGTTCAGTGCGAGAATTGAGCTCGAGCTTGTCCTGCCAGGAGTCTAAATCTGGGCTGAAATGGTGTCAGGGCCATTCTCATACACACATGCAGGTGCTCATTGGTTAGCCTGGAACAATATTTAGTTTTAATTTTGATCCTGGTGGACTGATCATATTGGGCTCTGAGACCAATACATATTTAATTTATTGTTTTGGTTGTGTGTGATTTAATTAATTTATTATAATTTAATTAATTTGTTTTATTTATTATATATAATTTATATATTTTAATATTTTTTCACATTTCATTTGCAATGTTGAATGTTCAATAAAATGTTCTGTTTGAAAGGATGTACTTGAGATTACATTTCATTCAGCTGATGCTTTTATCCAAAGCTTTTATCGTGTCATTTCACATTTAACAGCAGTATCTTTACTGAATGCACCAGCTCAGCTTCAACAAAACTCCCCTGCCATGATATTCTGTGGCAATAAAATATCTTAAATTATAGCTCCACTCATACTTTTCCTCCTAAAATATAACTTCATTGACAAGATACATTCCATGAATGATGTTTAGTCTGTAATATTACTTAAATAACATTTCAAACAGTTGCTTATCTTAATAAAAAACATTCTAATTTAATTTTGATTTATTGCTACATATACATTATTTGTATTTGTTTCCATACTGCTGCTGCCTCTCGAGGTTAAGAGTAGTACTACATCACATAACACAGAATGACTGAGTGCAATGCCAAAAATAGAACCGGGCTGTTGAGAAAACATCCGTGGCTGCAGCCCTGCAAGCCCACCCCTCCCTTCTCCCCTGATCCTTTTAAATCACGTGATCTAAAGGAAACTGTAGATACCACCAAACCAGAATCAAACAGCTATACTGGACACACTTCACATTCAAACCATGTTTTTGTATTTCAATAGTATTCTGAGGTAAACTCATGAGAAAGTGTGTTTAAGTTCTAAAGTCACAAAACCCACTTTTTCACGTCTTTTCTACATCAACAGATGTCCCCTCTGTGTAAAGAGATTCTGAACGTTTCAGTAAAAAGCATTCGCTCACTTTTTGTCCTGATCCATTTATATAAAAACCTGTCTGAAAATGAGCCGATCAGATTTTGGCCACTTTATGATGTTATAACGATTTTTTGGCTTGTGTAACCATAAGCCAATCACCAACCAAGGTAACCCCCGCCCACCTTATCACCTGAATCTCCTCCTAGAGCACCATTGTGTTCTTTTTAACCAAATATCTTGCAGAGCGGCGTTGGGAGTGGCTCCTTATTTTCATCTAAAGCAGGGGTCTGCAACCTTTTTGACCAAAAGAGCAATTTTGCCCCCTTTTCCACCAATTGTTTTTGTCTGGAGCCGCAAAACATATTCGATAGCTGGATAGCTTATAAAGTTGTATATGTTGTATCGACAAAAACTACAGTTTTTTTGCATTTATTATTTATTACATTATAGAAAACGGTTTACCTCTAATAATAAACAAATAACTCTTACATGTATAAGGAGAATAAAAAAAAAATACACAGGCCTACTTTAAAATTAATTAAACACAGCACTTGGGGAGTCCTCTGCACATTTGCAGAAAATAAAAATAAATAAAATGGGCCCACTTTAAAATAAATAAAACATATAGCTGCACCCTAAAAAGAGTTAACTGATTGAATTATGACTGAAGATCGTCAGCTGTCTACCTCTTCCGTGTTGTTCCTCGATACGTAAAGGAGCAGAGGGCTTAAAGAGCCGCATGCGGCTCCAGAGCAACGGGTTGTAGACCCCTGATCTAAAGTAACAGACAGAGAATCAGCACTTTTGAAACAGAGCTGAAACAGAGGAGTTTATGGGACGCTACAATGCATGATCTGTTTGGTATTTCGAGCCAAATACTTCAGAGACATGTTTTGTATATATCTGAGACCTATAATATATTGATGAAAAACAGTATAATAGGGGACCTTTAAGTTGTACATCATAAAGGCAATTCCTTTAAGTCACATGGTGTGCTATAACTGAACATGAAAGTGAAAGTGAGCAGCTGTTATCATATAAAACAGACTTTTCCTGTCAGTTGAGAGCAGTTTTT